GGTGTAGATTGTACATACCAAGTTTGGGGGTGAACAAATAAAAACTCAGGATAAGGCAGGGCATTGACTGTGACAACTTCCATAAATGGGATGCAACAAAATGGGAAATTCTGAATGACTGCAACCTACTGAAAGCAATTCACCATTTGAAGAGAGATATTTTGTACACTGGATCCAGTGTACAAAATATCTCTTCTTCAAATGGTGAATTGCTTTCAGTAGGTTGCAGTCATTCAGAATTTCCCATTTTGTTGCATCCCATTTATGGAAGTTGTCACAGTCAATGCCCTGCCTTATCCTGAGTTTTTATTTGTTCACCCCCAAATTTGGTATGTACAATCTACACCTCCTTAGCTATGTTTCATACACCAGAGCTTAGTTCTTAAAATGTTTGGTTCTTGTGTTATAGCACCAACTTTGTCCAAAAAATGATGTGACATTACTTTTGATCAGGTAGTGTAGCTTTCTCCCGATTTCACCTTCACCGATCATTGCCCTCTCTCGCTTTCGATGAAGAGTGCCTTTCAGTGGGCATTTTTCTTTGGAGGGGCACAAACTGCACAAATGCATTTTTGCTACGGGCGAGTTGACGCCTTATCGTGCACTTGTCTAACTGGGCACGACCAGACTATGAGCAATGCTGATCCGCCAGCATCCACCAGTAAGTCTCCTTGACGACGTATCCTCGCCTTCCGAGTCCCTGCTCACCCACTGATCCTTAGGATTGTCCACGCACCAGGAATCGACAACTTTCAATGCGAAAAAAGCGGAGGAGCGGCTTGGATGGTTCGTTGAACTGCGTTGGCTTTTGGCTGCTCGTCATTCATCAGCATCTTTACGATGACTTTGCCCAGACAGATGCACCTATTGTGCAGAACCAAGATCTTAAGCCCGTCTAAGTCCCTTTCACGATCGATTGGCGGCCGGACCCCCACGCAAACCACACAGCGAAATTTCCTCGGTCCCTTCTTGAACGCTTTGTCACAAAAAACACCATTGCACTTACCACCAATTCCACGAGGACCCTCCATGCCCTTTCCCTCCCCATGACGTGAAGCGTTGTCTCCCCATACACGGCTGTGACACTATGCCACTACTGCCCTGACCATTCGGTTTGTTAGGTCGTACAGTCATCCTGGTTCAATTGTCCGTTGCTTCAAAGGAGGACCGAGCGACACACCTTGGCTTTCATCTCGTCGTAATGGAATCTGGAGCGGATGTACTCTCCTCACTTCCCCTTCATCCTTCTCGTCCCAGCTGGAGGATGATAATGACCATGACTTATTGCCATGTAGATACGCTGAACTTCGTGATGGGTTACTCTGTTACCAATACCGCGCATATGCCATATGGGTCTGGGATTTGAGCTATGTCTTGCCCGTACAGCGGGGGTGTTTGGATAACATGAACGAAGGGAAGTTGCAAACCGTGCCCGCTGGTCGCAGAACAACAGGCCGACGATCATCCAGGTACTAGTCAAACCAATTGCGTCTGCCTGCATGATGCCGAGTCCGGGCAGCCCTCAGATGTTGCCCCCAAAGCAGCATGTACAACATACTCTTCTCGGGATCTCTTTCATGTAACCTTCTTATGACACTATGCCTCCCAAACCCCCAGCTTCGTCGGTCCCTACTTAAACAGGATCTCAAGGGCAGAGTTGGTCCCTTACTATTTTATGGGCGTTGGGTTTTGTTGGTGCAAGCCCCTCGTTTCCTGCTTGGCATGGAGGTCGTTTGAGCGCCTGCGGCTCTATTCCGCCTTGCTCTTCTTGGCGAAAGTATCTTTGAAGGAGCACCTACTACAAAGCGAGGACGTGGAGTCAGGCTTGCTCTTGCTCAATATCCATCGGGGACCTTCCAAACCTTGGGGAAAGGGTTCCGAACGTACTTCGCCACAAAGTCGACTACCACTATGGCGGGTGTCGCACATTTGTCTGTCGCAACATTTAGGCCTCTGCATTCTGTGATTCATTTCGTGCTTCTCATCGGTGGGTGTGAGCGGCCTTCACGATTCGGCGGAGCCAAGAAGTTCGACCCCACTTATCATGACCAACCTCACTTTACGCCTCGGATCCAGGCTGGGCTCCATCCAACTCTCCACTTAGTACGCTCCTGCCTTGGCAGGCGAACCACGATTAACGCAGTCTTTCGACGATATCGATGAAGTTTGCGAACTTGATTCCATGCTAGCATCCACTTGGCCTCGATCAGTGCATACCCCTATACGGCGAACGAATTTCTTGTGCCGTGAACGTCTTGATGCCACCTTCGCCCGGTACTCTAGATGCCGCGAAAAGGGGTCTTTCGCCAATGACCACCTGGCCCAAGCCTAGGACTCATGGTGACGATGTGATGCCAGAGAACTTGCTATTGCCGTGATACCTGCATTCAACCAGCCTTGGCCAAGTTGGTCAAATTGACTCAACGTACTCAAGCCTGGTCCCACCCCCTGTTGCAAATCCGAAAAAAATCCTCAAACCAATAATGAACTATATTTTTGCCAAGGGATGCAATGCGAACATCAATGCACTGACAATCGACCAGTGTGCGCATACGAGCTCAAACTACTGAGTCGAAGAGGGTACAGATGACAACCCGACCTCCAGTATCACTCTCTTCGCCAACCACTCTTTCGTTGCAACATCAACGGTGGTAGTTGGGACCTTGATTTGTCCCATGGGGCGTCCCGTCAGCTCAAGTCTCCACTCACGATAAGCTCTAAATGTACGCGGTGCGACAATTCGAATAGTGGGCATTCCAATCCTTCCGTAGTCGGTGAATTTCTTGTACCCTGGATTTGTGAGGAGGACCTCTTGCACTTTGCGTGGAGCAGAGTCGGGATCGGGTCCTGAGATTGGAGATGATTTTGAGAAGCTTAGCAGGCAGGGATATGATACGCACCCAGCTCTCCTTCGAGTTCTACAAAATAGCCGTAATTTCTAGGAAATTGTCGGTCATCTAGCTCCGAGACGAACTCCAACACGCGGCCAAGCGTGTCGTGCACCGAATAAATGGCATCTTGTAGCAGTCTATCTGTTACCAACTCAGCATGAATGCGGAATCCAACACTGCAGGATGAGTGAATCGGGGTAATAATGCGATGCGGAAACGACCTACCCTCGCCGTTCAACAAATCGAATGAGAGGCTGCCCGTCAGTTGGGTGAAAGCCACCAATCTCGACAACGTCCCTCATTTGGTATCGCCAGAGACCGTGTCTTGTGGTCACCACGAGTTCATAACGTTGCCCGATCTGGACCTCCCACTAAAGGAAAATAAAAATGAACCTGGTTTTCCCTTCGTAATAAACAAGGACTTGCTGCTTGACGGAGTGACATCCTTGACTCGACTTCAGCGACATCAAGGAACTCGAAATACGAATCACCAGAGAGGCGATAGAGATTGTGATCATTTGCCGAATCGTATCCATACCCAACCATACACTCGGTCGCACCATAGCTGTAGCTTTCTATGTCGACAGCAGGCCCGACGTGATGTCGAACCTAGGGGGAAATGTGAGTTTGAGATGTAACGGTCTTGGTGAAAAATGAACCTTAGCGGCAAAGGCGGCGTAGCTTCCGCTGTTGGACGCTCTGACAACCTTGAGCAACGGCCAGATTTCCCTCAACCATCCCTCCTTCCCCTTCTCTATTATTCGGAGCTCTGCTGCCCGGTGTGGATTTGGCTTGACTTGTGCCTGAAGTTCTTGTTGAGCATCAGAAGGCGATGGGGAAGACTTTACCAACCTCTAAATATGGCCTGCAGTAGTCAAGATCGTATATGTCGGGAATTGTTCCGTTCTCGACAGCATCGATAACAGTATCCCAGTGTTCTTCTAAAATCAAAACAGCGTCGTAGAAAATTGATGTGTAACTTGCGCGCATGAAAACAAGTGACGGATCCAGAACGGCAAAGAACATGGTCATGAAGAGGTTTCCCATAAATGTCGGAATGTACCACACTGCAAAGGGGACCGAAGAACAGGGGGCTGTGTGAAAGCAAATGCCCTGGCTCAGTGGTCGATCCTGCAGCTGATGGCCTCATAAAAAAAACGAACGTGTCTGGGACATGACCTTGTCGTCATCCTGCAATTCAACACCCATACGCCGCCTCATGATCCCGCTTCCGATTATAGTAACAGGGAGCTCCCTCTGCAAGTCTCCCTCCTCATTCACAATGTTCACGGCGCCAGAGACGCGCAAACTACTGAATCCACAGTACCGAATGCCCTTAGGGATATAGTGGCCGTTTTCCGGCACAGGGTACCTTGGGAACGACTTGACAGTTGATCCCGACGTTCCAGACGTCTGAGCGATAAAATCAGGGAAGCCGGGGGAGAGTAGATCACGAACGGAGGAAGAGCGAGGTGAGTTTTCGAAGAAACGGGAGACAAAGGGCTCATATGCATTGTATAAAGTTAAAGGAATAGTCTCGCGAAAGCACTGAACGAAGTCTCGACGAGGTTCCAAAGGGTTTGGGTCGCCTGCTCTTGAGTTTGAACTGAGATTGTAGCCAAGACGATCGCGAAACGCTGAGAATAGAGGTGCTTCCCGGAAGAAGATGGTGTGAGAGTTCATTTGCATGAGTTGGATGAGCACACTTTCCATGCGCTCCTGTAGTGTGAGCGTTAGTTCAGGTGTTAGCAATTGTAGGGGAGGTGGAGGCGCAGCCATTGCAGTTGAAGAGAACTCGCTCCAAGATACCGAGAAGTCAATTTTACGGGGCGACGATTGAGGGGTAAGAGTGGTCCTGCAGCGGATAAGGATACCAGCTGCCACTGGCAGGTGCCTTTTATAAATGTCGATATCGACGTAATATCGACGTCCAATCGACGTCTGGAAGAATGGCAAAACGTGGAACCGGAGAGTGGTCTATAGCCTGGCCCTAGCAGGACCCCTGCCTCATGCCATCTGAAAGTCCTTATCTGCACCCGAAATAAGAAATTTTATTCCCCAACTCCCACATCACTGTCATCAGCAACCGGCGGTGGCCGTGTCACGTGTGGCGGTGGAGCAGCAGGAAACGAGAGTTTGCTGCGTGGTTGCTCCAACACTTGACTTTGTTACCATTGTAGCCTGTAGGTGTGCCATTGACTCGGAATCGGAGTCTACTTACTCCCCATGACTCCCCAGAGCTCGAAAGCACTTGCCAAAATAGATACCTACTCGCAACATTGAACACGTCCTCAGCAGATCTTTGGGGGATTCCTGACCAGAATTAATCCCAGTGCTCGGTTCCGGCTAGGCCTAACTTCGGATGAAATTGCTTGATCGCAATACATAGGAGGAGAACGGAAATTTTGACATCAGGCATTTTCGGCTAATGTCGGTGTCATTCTTAGTTCGGCTCAAGGTGAGAGGTCTGCTTTAATTCCCGGCCACTTACTTCTTTGAGAATTGATTAGCCCGGTTCAACGTAGGCAGCCACAGGCCCGGAACTTACGCGCCGCATCGTTCAAGACGTCAGTAAATTGATGACCTGAACATTGCCTGAACATATGAAAGGTTTATTTCGATTGCCGTGAGACTCCTGCCCTATACCGGTATGACGACTTCCCCACCGCCAATTCTATCGTTGACACCAGAGCTCAGATGCTCACTTCGTGAGCGTATCGAATCCTTGTTGATCCGTCTTATAACGAAAAACTCCAAAACAATTTTTTTTCGCGATTCCACTCTGCTATCAGAGTTCCGCCGAGCCCATACCCACTCAAAAGACGCCCAGAGTCAAGCAATAGGCTCCGCAGAGCACGATGAAAAACTCCTCGACGCGTTTTACAATGCGATTCCTCTTTCGTCGTATGATGAATATCGGCCATTCGTCTCTCGGTTCTTCGACGAATCGCCATGCCCTGTATCCGCTGTCCGTGATCTGCTTTCTCCAGGCTTCCCGGAATTTATTGCGCAATCGTCCGGCACATCTGGATCAAAATTCAAATTTTTCCCTCGATATCCCAACACCCAAAGTTCATCTTATGTTCCCGATGGCGTCAGATATTGCGTCTTCGCCAACGTTGGCATCACGCGTGTTTTGGAAGTCGTTAGCGAAGGGGGCGAGAATGGATGGCGGATTCCCGTAACAACCGTCACGAGTGGGAACATGCGAAGGCGTATGCGAATTGAACTGGGGGATGATGAGAACATGATGACTCGGACACGTATGTGAAGATTGCTGGATCGCCACGTTATTGGACATGCTGACAACTTTTCAAAGCTGATTTCTCATCGACACCCTTCGTGGTTTGGTACATTCCGACCTATGGCGGCAATCTCCTTATGACCTTATTCTTCGCGATCATGGACCAATCGCTCGTTTTCATTCGCGTAACCTTCGCATCTATCTTTTACGACGCCATCCGGACACTGGAACAGTATTGGGATGTTGTGGTCGACGCTATTGAAAAAGGAACAATTCCCGATGTATTTGATCTGGGTCATTGTAAACCTTATTTGGAGGTTTGGCGGAACGACCTCTCTTGATTCATTTCCAGGCTTACTACTTACCTGCTAGGCTCAAGTGAAACCGAACCCAGATCGCGCGCTGGAATTACGAATGGTGGATAGGAGTGTTCCTGGGTGGCTGAAGGATATATGGCCTTTGCTCACTGTAATTGTGACAGCTGCAAGTGGAATTTATTCCACGTTCACACCAAAGGTGCTCTCATGCGCACATATCTTTCCCGCTGCTCGCCTCATTTTTTTCTTAGATACGGCATTACGTCGGCCCTTCGGTTGACATTCAAAGCTACAATTACGGCGCAAGTGAATGTTTCGTCGGTCGTGGATATGACCCTGTCAATGATCATAACCTATTCCGCATCAGCAACGCAGACCATTTTGAGTATCTTGACTGCGCTAAGGTGGAATCCAGTCAATCATTGCGCCAAGCGGTACGCTATTTATCATCAACATTCCTGTAAGCCTATTGTTTGACGTATAACTATCTTTCACCAGTGGCACCTTCAACATGGAAAACAGTATGAACTCGTGGTGACGACACAAGATGGTCTCTGGCGGTATCGGATGGGGGACATAATAGAAATTGGGGGTTTTGATCCAGCTGATGGGCAACCCCTCATTCGATTCATCGAGCGACGAGGGTTTGTCACACTCCTGCTTTTTCGAACGCTGACCTAAAGGGTTTTTCTTAGCGTGGCTATTCGTATTGCGGGTGAATTTTTATCAGAGACGATATTCAAGAATGCAGTCCATCTGGTAGCTGAGGCGTTGGGTTCTGTGTTGGAGTTTGTTACGGAGGTAGACGATAGAAAAAATCCCCGGAGGTATGGATTCTTTGTCGAACTCGACGGAGAACTAGGTGAGCGGCCAATCGTATCGATTACATACTATGTTACCTATTACCTTTGCGATTTTAGGTTCTCATCCAGACGACGCCCCCAGAATGATTCACGACTTCTTCTGCACTGACCCTGGCTACAAAAAATGGGCCGATTTTGGCAGGATTGGTATGCCTACTGTTCGCCTCGTCGCCCGCGGAACATTCCAAGAGTATCGTGAATGGCGGATGGTGGTAACGGGAAATCCAATGGGACAAATGAAAGTACCCATTAGCACGCTAGACCCTGCGACTAAGGAATGGTTGGCAGCAAAGGTTGTACTGGAAGTTGGGAACTTGTGACGGCTTGCCATGATACATAGACATAATGGACATTGTCAGGGAAGACTGAAGTACTTCGTAAGAGATTTCTCAACTCTTCTTAGGCGTTTTGTCGACCCTTGAAGCTTGCAGGACCTACAATAATTTTGGCATAGACGTTTTTTTTTCTGATTCAAAGCCCTTCCTATCTATCGGTCATTCCAGTATTACTTAGCGCCACAAAAATGGAAGAAAGTCGCTGGCTTCAATGACGGCCGTCCTTACGTGCGTTCATACACCTTCAGAAAGTATACCTAATATTAAATACCAAGCTTCTCCGGAGGTCACGATCCTGAATTTCATTGGATGGGCTTTCGGGATTAGTATGCAAACTCCGCGTCAGAAAATACCCAGATGCTCTAAACGGCAGTTAACCCTGCTTATACTTCAGTTTTAGATTTGCCGGTGAGGGTGTTTCCAGTCGTGATGGATTTTCCATATCAAGGGTGGTCAGGACCTAGTACACCTCGATTCCCTTCGATGGATTCTGATTGATTTGCTGTCAGTTGCTCTTTTAGTTTCCCAAGGCGTTGTAGGGGAGGAACCAGCCAAGTACGGGAAGTTCCTCTCCAAAATGCGGGGAAAGACGTTGACAGTATGGGGCACGTTTTGATTTGCAAAATCGTCGGCAGCAGTCTCTAGATCTTGAAAGTCTCTGCTATGCATTCCAACAATGAATCCAACTTATAAATCAAGTCGAAATTAAGTTCTGAATGGCATCGAGTTAACCACACCTCAAGTCCTTCTCTGAGTGTAAGTATTTCCAGGGAAGGTTCTACTTGGATATATTGTACAAGAACTTGGCAGGCCATCGTCGGAGAGGTAACATGTACTCCCATCTTAATCGAACGTGCTGCGTCGGGCAGCTTCTATTGAGCTGGAGTCCAGACCGTCCAAAACCATTGTGACCCATCGAACGCCAACCGAAGCGCCTCCTTTGTAGGAAAACGGGCTATTGCGAAGGTGCATCTACCGAAAACGATTGGTTTGTGGATGCTTGCATTAAACAATTGATTGTTGGCACCTGCGAAGCTCGATGAGAACCTCAGTAATTCCCAAATTGAGGCGCTTCTCGTTTTAAGGGGTGACCGCAGAAGAAGCCGACATCGCGGGTTGTGCTGGTTGAATATTCAATTTGAATTTATCGCCCCTCCAAATTTATTATTCGCTCCATCTGGGAGGCGAAGAGATTATAAAGATACCTCTCGTTCCACGCGGGATGAAAGCACGTTGTTGGGAAGATGTCTGGAAGTTGAGAGAACGTAAAGGAATGTAACTTGTAGCCTAATGTAAACACACGGGTCGACCAAGAAGTAAATTGCTCACCCAGAACGTCTGAACATCTGTGTCATGGAATCACGACCGCAACAGCCCCGTGGACAATACCTTGGTCAAATTTTTCCTTGCGACGTAATTGGGTCGATAAATCTGCCAGGACCTGTTCAGCTTAAAAGGCGGTAGGTCTTTTGGTGGCATACCCAGAGAACCCCACTTCTCTACGCCCCCCAGCTCTACTACAACAGCAATCGCGCCCTCAGCACAATGCAACTCCAGCTTTCCGCCCTTCTCTCACTCCTGACCGTCGCCCTCTTCGCCGTTCCCGCTTCGTCCCAACGCACCCTCAACATTGAAGTCTTTGATTCCCCCCGCCGATGCCTAGGGACCAGTTTCATCTTCCGTAACGTCGCCCCGGGTGTCTGCTGCACCAATATCCCTAGAGGATATGGGTTTTCCGTAAGTTTCCTGGGTCTTCAGGCGGGGTCAGTTGGCGATGGGTTCGTCACCAATTCGTGCGCGAGCCAACACTTGTTTGAGGTCTTCCGAGGCGGAGAGTGCTGGCAGTCGAGGGACGGCCGCCGCGTGGGGGCTGTGCGCTGGAAACCAGCAGGACCCTGCCCGGGATGTCTCTTGGAGGACGGACAGACTAAGGGCCCAGCACCATCTGTGTTCACCTACGATGATCACTCCGGAGTCAAGAACACCATCGTCGTTCCAGCTGATGACGAAGATGCCGCTCAGAAGATTGCTGACCTGTACGAAGCGAAGGACTTTGAGGCGTTGGCTAAGTACGAGAAGGAAGAGTAAGAGGTCAGTAAGCCTCCGCCTTTTCCTTCTTCGCAATCGCTTTACTCACCGTTCGCTGTCCTATAGGTTGAAAGTTCCCATCCGTTGGGCATTCTTGGAGAGACTGGATATGAGCTTTGATATGTTTTGATTTTTTTTTATTACGTAGACGCGACCGAGTTGCTTCCCGGTACTAAATGCAACTTCAACCACACGATCGCGTTTATCTGGACAATATGTATGATATTTGTGTCTGATGTGTAGTCATTCTGATTCAATTTGTGTGCTTGTGAATGCGTTATTTCATTGGGGGTGCGATTACGAACTGTTTCTAGTTTTGTTTGAAGTCGGACGCATCAGAAAACCTGGTTGGATCAGTTGGCTGCATTTTAAGTAGGCTACCATTACCGTAAGGTAGAGGACATCCATACCTCGTTACCATAATGTAAGTGCTGACAATCCACGTTCTTTGTTTGTCAATGACAGCGTTCGTGATAGCAGTGGTGCATTTCTCCCCGACCCCGTGGATGGTTTCGAAAGAAGAAGGATGTCACATCCGTCACAGCACCGTGCACGCACGTGAGCGCGTCAGCGCGACAACGCGTCCCCAACGCGTCGCGTAGGTAGGATTGCATTGAATAACCACGTAGGCGACTGCGGCCCATTTTTGAGTTGGCCAGGTTTTAGTACTTGTGCTGGTTCCAATGATATTCGTTAGATACATTATATTCGTTAAATACATTGAATTACAGTAAGTATTGAGTAAGTAATTACACGTCGCTCGGCACTCATGGGCGTTGTGATATTGAAGTTTACTCAATGGGTTGTCCCTTCAACTTCCCTTACTTACCTCAAGACTTCAAATCCTTCCACAAAACCAAAAACCAAATGAAAACAACGAAAGTGTATATGATATGACAGGGTATCATAAGTGAGTGAGGTAATACTGTATTCCATAATGATGATGATGATGGTGGGTGGCGGTAAAGCTAAGTACCAAAAATCCAAATGACGACGAAAAATCCCAACGAAAACAAACACCTAAAACTCCCCCTGCCCCGAAACCAAAATCGCAAACCACCCAAACATAGACATCAAAAACCGAACCATCCACGCCGGGTCCGCACCGAGACCAAGACCAGGGCGGAGCTGCATCGCTAGTGCGATGTCCAGTGGTGAGCGGGACACCCTAATTCGTTGGGTATCTGGAGTTTGTATTAAAGATGAGATGGTCTTGATGGAGGTGGTAGCTGTCGTGGTTGTGGTTGTGGTCGTATTTGAAGAGGATGGAGCTTGGGAATCGGGGAACGAACCCGGCAGCGCCTCGGTGTCGGTCTCTTCTTGCACCTTCACCTCCTCCACCACCTCCTCCGTTAACACCACCCCACCCTTCTTCAAACTCGGACTAGCCACAGGCGTCGAACTCGACGAAGAAGAAGAGCTCAATCCAAGCGGAGGCGCGTCCGCCGCGCGGAGGGACCACGCAGGCCTCAACCCCAACGTTGGAATCCTCGGTGAGCTAGGCGCCGTTCGCGTCGTCAACTTCACCACTCCCAGACCACCAGGGGACAAAGGCGGCGAGTCGGGGGGTGTAGGCGTTTGTGAGGGCGGTGAACGCTTCTCTTTGTCTTCCTTGATACTACTGCTGATGAAATCGAGATCAGGAAGAGGGAGTAACTCCGGATCGGGGTACTCCTCCTCGTGTGAGCGCTTGGTATCATTGGAGATGGTGATGAGCGGAATGGTGAGTGGTGGAAGGAGGGGTAAAGGCGGGGAATCTTCCACGGAGTTGGTCATGAAAGGAAGTGATTCGGGGTCTTGTTGTTGGATTAATAAATCGTGTGGTGGTTTCTCGTCCAGGAGAGACTCATCACCATTCGGGAGTGGCACAGTAACGTCAGAGTCCGTACCGTCCAAAGGCAAAGGCAACGGAGCATCGACTAAATCCAGCCCCAAGCTCCACGCACGCATCATGTCGTCTTCTTCATCCCATTGCCACGCTGTTGCTGTGGGTTTTTGTTCGGAAGTGGCCTGATCCTGAGGGAGGTCGACTGGTTTGGTGGGTTCGGGAGAGGGGTGTATGTCCACTAAGTAGGGCACGTCTACGAGGACGTCCGTCGTTTTCGGGAAAGAGACCTCCACAACCTCCACAACCTCAAGCTGAGAAACCTCCACGTCCACAACCTCTGGTGCGGAAACCTCGACAACCTCCACCGCAGAAACCTCCACAGCCTCTGCCGCGGAAACTTCCACAACTTCCACCGCAGAAACCTCCACAACCTCCACCGCAGAAACCTCCACATCCACATCCACCTCCACAACCTCGGGAAGGGGAACCTCCACATCCACAGGACGAGGAGATACATCCACCAGCACACCTTCTTCTTCTTCCTCCTCCTCTTCCTCTTCCTCTGGCTCAGCCTCTTCCTCTGTCTCTTCTTCCTTCTCTTCCTCTTCCTCTGCCTCAGCCTCCGCCCCAGTCCCTTTTTCTTCAGGAACGACAATAGCGTCTTCATAACCGACATGCACCAACTCCTCTCCCCCTTCCTCCTGGCTCTCAACCGGCACAACCGCTTCATTCAAATCCAAAATGGAAACGGGTGCAACGATGGGCAGCTGTGCAACAGGCCGCACCGCAACTGGGAGATGCACAAGAGGCTCAACATTCACTGGGACAGGCGACGCCTCCCTCGACACCACCCGACTGGTTCCAACGGATAACACCACGGGTTCCATAGGTGAAATAGTCCTAGATGAGGACGTGTCCACATCCACGTCTACGAGCTTTTCTTCCGTTATTGAGGAATCAACGTCGATGAGGGTGTCGTTGGAGGGGTGTGCTAGGGTTTTGGGAGGGAGAGGGAGAGGAAGAAGCTCGACGTCCCGCTTTAGCGCGACCAACTCGACCTCGACGTCCCCACCGATACTCCTTCTGCGGGACATCATGACGCCTGTCTTGAAGCCAAACACGTCTTCCTCCCCCCCTCCCTCTGCACGTGTTGTTGTGTCGGATAGATCGACTAAAGGCATGGAGACCAACTCGAGCGGACCACCCGGAACCAGCGAGTTCTTTGCAGCCCTCTTCCGACGACCGAAGACACCAACGTCCTCGTCATCCTGATCTTCTTCGCCTTCGGAGCTGGAGGAAAAGTCGATCAAGGGTGCGTCCTTGGACGTGCGGTATAAATTCCGCATCTCAACCTCCGCTTCCGCATGCGGGAACGCAAGCCCAAGTCTGGAATTTGCAACTTTCCTCACGGTAACACCACCCAGACTCTTCGACCGTCTATGTGCGGTCGTCGGAGGGGGTGTGGTAGCTAGGAAGGGCGGGGACGGTGTTCGTGGACGATTGGGGGAAATGATGCTCTTTGGTTGAGGTTGGAGGGGGACGTACGGGCCTGGAAAGAGGGAGAAGGGCGTGGGGAGGGGAATGCGTAGCGGGATCGAGGAGAAGGGGGAGTGGGAGTGGTGTGCTGGGGAGGGTGTGCGTGGGCCTGGGGAAGTTGTTGATGTGCCGGGTGAGGACGAGGAGGTGAGTGGGGGTGTTGGTGGGAAAGGGAGAGGGGTCGCTGGGGTTTGGAACGCACTTTGTTGCTCGGCGTACACGCCGTAATCGACTAGAGCAGCTGTAGGTGGTGGACTGGCCACGTGTGTAGGTAACAGCTCGACGCTGTTACCCCTGGAAGGCAACACGAGTGCCGATGCCTTGCGGTATGCGTTCGCCGTGGTCTTCTTGAACGGTGTCAGATCCCATGAGGGGACTGGTATCCTCGACTTTTTGGGTTCGGAGGGGGCGTTGCTAGTTGGCAGAGTCTCCAAGGAAGAAGAAGAGGAAGCAGAAGAAGAAGACGAAGAGCGAGAGAGCAAGTTCCTAAAATTGACGATGCGGATGAGGCGTTGGACGATGTATGAGAATACGAGTGCGAGGACGGAGTATCCCAATATGGGGATGGCGGCGAAGGAGGACATGCTGGTTGTCGTAGTCGTGGTTAGGACCGGCTGCGCTCTGTGTGACATGAGTGAGATTGAATGATAAAGAAGTGAACGTTTGAACACGAACGCAGCACGGGTATTGAGAGAGAGGGTAGAAAGGGAGAAAGTCGTGAAAGTCATTAAGAAGACGAGGCGATATAGGGAAACAGGCGAGGAGCGAGCACGAGGATCAAGCCAGTTGTGCAGACACTGACGAGATGGTGTCTCCTCGAGGAGTACACGAGGTAGATTATGTTTGCTGGCATGACCACGTGCTTATTTTTTTCAACGTTCCGGTTGCTTGGCGAGAACGGAACGACCACACCAAGGACGCGTTGTTTTTCCATTGCGACGCGTTCTTTTTGTAAGAGAATACAACTCTTTACATTCCGAGGTGAAAGTACGTGTTGTGTTTGACTTTAGGTGCTGATCACGACGACGTCATTGACGCCACATCACACAAGCGCACTGATCTGCGCACAAAACATATTGCGCATCAGTATCGCTCACTCAGGGCCTCGTACAGCACAAGGCGTCTACTCCACGCAAGCCGACAACGAACATCATGTTCCCTCGATCGCTCCCCACCCAAGGAAATCCCAATGACCGCACCACGCACAGTGACATTTCGTCGCTAGCTACGGAACGTGAATGAACTCCCCGACGAATGTGAGCGCTGGCCATGGTATGACTCTAAGACAGTCAATCGCAAGAAGAATATGAGGGTCTCATGTCCATTACATCGGAGGGGACGTGGACGATACGTACCCAGCGCTTCAAGCTTCAAGGCGCGAGTCCACAGCCATGATCAAGCTATTCGACATTTGTCGTTGTACCATCGCTGTCACCCATCCGCTTTTTTTTTTAAAAACCATTCATGAATTCGGTATGTCGCTTCACAAGTTCAAAAAGAATACTCCGGAAATTCACCAAATCTCTATCTAGGGCTCTGATCAGTCAACCACGCTGAGTATCACAGTACTTAACACAGGAATGATTTCGGAGGTACATGATTTTTTCTCCTGTGCGATCGATATATAATGAATCACCTTTCCCGAGCAGAATTCAGGGTAACTTTCACTCAAGTCGTACTTCCCGATGCAGAGGACTACACCCCCCGATTACAGACTCTCCAGATGTGTGCCAAGCCGTTACACCCCTAGGCCGTCGCCCATAGCTGGCGAAGGTCGAGATCAGGTGGAGGATTTGTCCGTACGTAAAAAGTTCTGCAATTGAACAAGTCATCTGGATGACCTAGTCCTGAATCGAACAGGAACTCACTGGCCAGACTGATCAAATCCATTTCGGATATTCTCCAGCTGTGCGCCGCCATTACACCACTAGGTCGTATGATTCCTCTTGATGGATGCTCATCTCATATCATTTATTCAGTCTCGGCTTCAATTGCAATTTTAAGGCGCGCAGTGGGGAATCAGCCTTCAAGCTCATCCGCCACCGTCATACCTACTAAGTTTTTGGCAAGGCATAGAGGCTATGCGACGCAACCACGGTTTTTTTCTGCAACCTTAGACTGACCCCTAGGAAGTCCAGAAACGCATGCATAGTATTTCATCTCGGACAACATCCTCCTCAGAAATGTATCGCGGGGACTCCCAAATAAGTAAGGTAATAATGCGACCCCAATCTCAGGCTCGAACAAACCCCATCTATTCGTTCCTCGTCACCTGAAAGGTGACCGGTGACCATTTACTTATCGTGATATACAGTAGTGTTCTGGGAACACCCTCACTTCCCTTCCTTCCGAGGCCTCTGCGGCGATGTGATGCAGTCTTGAGAAGCAATTAGAGCCGGTGATGAATTCTAATCCTACCACGTAGTTCTTGGGTTTGGCTAGTACAGCCTGGAAGGGCTTATTTATGACCGTGGAAGAGTCGTTACACTCTTTTAAACCTAGTCGGTGACGATTGCTACCCGCATACCACCATGAAGTCCTTCCTTGCTCCCCTCACGTTCGCTATAGTCTTGGCCTCCAACGCTCTCGCTGAAATCATCCAAGTCACTTTTTCTCCGTAACTTCTTCCATCTTTTCTCTCCATTCGCTGTCTCTCATTTCGTCGCTCATTAGCAACAATGGAACTGTCTTCCTTGGCGAAATTCTTCAAGTCGAATGGCAAGGTGGAGAATGTGAGCGTTTCTCGCACTTGTCCAACATTGTAAAAGCATTCACTCACACTCAAAACCCAGCCCCTTATACCTTTGTGCGTCCTGCTTATCGTTGTCATCACTGTGCTAACCTTGGTGCTAACGATTTCTTTTTCAGAGGCACGTCACTACTACTTAGTTGTTTCTTTATGTTTCTCGTTGGTATTAATACCTCTTTGATCAGTGTCATCTCCAGTGCCAACCTGGGCACCACTCTTGGCTACTCTCGCGACATAACAGGCCACACCTGGGACTGGATCGCCGCAGTTACGGGTAGTCTTCTGCATGAAGGTCAGTCATACGATGAAGTTCCGAGTCCTATAAATACAGTTTATCGTCTTACCCTCTTCCAAGGAACGTCGGCCTCCTTCTTTCAAGTGGAAGATGCCAAGGGTGATGTTGGTCGATCCGAGACATTCGCCATTCATGCTGAAAGTAAGTCTGACCCAAATAAATAAGAACTGAAGAACTGAAGCCTAAGTTTCCCAAATAGATTGAAAGTTCCGGCTCTTTCATTCTTGGAATGAGCTTTGATACGTTTGACAATTTTTTTCTTGACGTCGATGTTGCTTTTGGGTAATACGTAGTCGTGGCCTTTCAACCAGGCGATCACGTTTATCTGGACAATATGTATGATTTTTCATTGAAATCCGAATTTGTCTGCTTGTGAATGCGATATTTCGTCGACGGCGCAATTAAGAACTGTTTCTTTTTTGTTCAAAGTCTTCTGCTGCCATCGAAAGGTCATCCTTGGAGTTTATTAATACAAGTTGAGTGGGCTCACAAGAGAAAGCTTATGATCGCATTTCTTGTTTTAATTTCACCCGAGGAGCACGGAACTGTGAATCGAGGTGGTGGTACTTATACAGTTATACTCCAGCACCGGAGGCGGACGAAAAGAGACAAAAGCAAAATAAAGAACTGAGTTTGCCAAGCTTTGCCAAGATGACGCCGAAGATCAATACAACCAAATACCTGCCTTTTTTTCCAAGTGGTTGACGCCGTAAAAGTCAGCAAAGCGCACCTCATTCACTTCGACCTTTGTGAAGACCAAACATTCTTTTTGCTGATTCAGATACTTCTTGAAAAACGACGCAGAACAGGCTAATAGAGCTATCGTAGGCCTACGGCCGTGGTCTTGGCAGGACAATCACTTGCAGGCATCAAAATGAAAACACAAAGGTACACACTCGGTGCTGGACCTGGTCGTCGACGGCACAGCCCTTTCAATGGAAGGTTTTGAACGATGAAGCCTCGCACGAGTCGCATTTTCTGTGCATGAGATGGACCGTGGGTGAGCTTATCTGTTCCATCTCTCAGATATTCAGCAATTCTGACTGACTCGCTACGTAGTAGGAGCGCTGGGGAAAAAGTCGTTGAGGGGACGTGATGCTTCAAGATTTGCGTAGAAAACTCTATGACCCTGACATGTGTACAGATCTGGAGTCAAAAAGTTGCTGTGCGGGCAGACAAAGGGCATACCTCTGCGGCGGATCCGGCCTTTCCGCATATAATAAGACCCGTACCGTCGAGGCATCCATCACCTGCGTTTTTCTTTTTCCTCATCAATCTCCATTTTTTCTCCTTCCGCCCCTCTCTCCTCCGCTTACGACAACCACTTACCTTGGAGACGACAGTCCTTGCCTTGACCATGAAGAGTTCAGTCGCTTCACTGCTGGTCGCCCTCACCTCTGCAACGACGTCTGCCTATGGCTTGGAGCTCGAGTTTCAACGACGTTCAATTATGGTGGGATCGCAGTCCACCGATAATCGGTTTGACCTGCTGAAAACGTTGGGAGGGAAAGATGCGACGTCAAGTTCAACTTCAAATGTTACGAATATTCAAAACACGAGAGTAAGTGGCCTTAATCTCCTTTGTACTCTTCTCTGAAATTTGATTAGTACACGACGAACATTGTGTTAAATGGCAAACGTGGGTTTCACCCTGGTGATATATTGAGCTGGATCCTCATCAACTCTCTGTAGAGGTTCTTGTCGCGTTAGACACAGGGAGCACAGATCTCTGGTATGACCCACCTCTCCTTTTACCCCGTTCTCCCTTCCCAATCAATCGTTTTCAGGGTTGCCCCGACGGTTGACATCGGCAGCTTCAATGACTCTGGCATACCGCTGGAGCTTCTTTATGGCGATGGCTCATATGGTGTCAGCGGGACGATCGGCGTTGCACCATTTAAACTGGGAACGTACGATGTACCACAACAAGGTACGCTCTCCATCTCCGACCTGGGACGATAGCCAGTCAAGCTAATGATACCACCCCAGCGTTCCTTCGTGCCACCAAAGTGAGTTCGATGCTTGTTTTGAATGATGTATCCTGTTTATCTTTGAACCCAGGGATCTGTGTCAGGAATCACGGATATTGGGGTATCGGGTCTGCTCGGTTTGAGCTTTGACTTTGTCTCCGCTTCTCCCATCAACGCCCACATCAAATCGATCTATGGAACTGACGCAACGTGGGGACGTTCCGTTCTCAAGAACATCTTCAGTCAAAACGCCTCTCAGCCCAACTTTATCGCCATCGATCTCGCACGGACGGATGACTTGGAGGAGACGGCCGGTGGGGCGTTCTCGATCGGCGAATACGCACCGAAATACGTTGCCATTGCCAACTCTCCGAAACTCACCCAGTTCCCCAAGAACGGCGATAGGTGGACTACCTTGCTTGAGAGTGTTCACGTTAATGGAGCTGCTATTGCTCTCAAATCGAAGATCCAGGGTGTGCTTTCGGGAACCTCCCAAGCTCTCCTCGACACCGGCGACCCGGCTGCGATTCTGCCAACATACCTCTTCGATGCAATCTACTCTCAAATCCCGGGCGCAGTGGCTTATGACGAGGGCAGCACTCACCTTTATATCCTTCCTTGCAACACTACCCAATCAGTTTCGCTCTTCTTTGGGTAATGTCGACTTTCACTTATCCTTGGCTTTGATCATGAGCTCATGCAATTTGTTCGTAGTGGCAAGGAGTACCCCATCCATCCTCTGGACTTGTCAACGATCACCCAACCGCTGGAGATCGATGGTAAGCAATACGTCGCCTGCGCATCGTCTTTCATGGCCGCGGACAACTGGGCCGGCGATGCTTATGAGGTATCCTTGGGTGATGCTTTCCTGCGCAACGTCTACACCGTGTACGTCTCGTTAGGTCTGATCCCGACCGCTTTGCTGATCGCTCTTCACTTTCAGCTTTGATTTTGGCGACACTGGCACGGATGGCAGCACTGACGAACCATACATGAAGCTCTTTGCCAAGACGGACCCAGTGAAAGCTGCCAGCCAAGTCGCAACTATTCGTGGCAAGACAATGGCTGGCATGCCACCGGAGATCGCCCCCTCAACCCTTATCAAGCTAATTAATGGTGGCGCTGTTGCAGGTAAGCAACCCGGCCAGTGCGATGGAAGAGCATCATGCTAACCGATGTGCGCTATCTATCAGCTGCGGGTTCATCGGCCAACTCAACTAAATCGGCTTCCAATCTCGATGCGTCTGTGCTGTCGGTGTCGGGCGAAACAATTGCGAAATATGGACTCATCGCCGTCCTCCTCCTTAGTGCCAACGTTATCATTGGACTTGCGCTCCTCGTCTTCGCCATTTTGAACTGCGTTCGAAGAGAGTCATCAAAGTCTGTGTCAAGGGCTGCCCCTCAATACATTCCGGTGAAAGTGAGAGATGAGGAGTCGGCCTACTCAACTCCATATCATGATCAAAGCAAATATTCACAGTAATTGAGCGTTTTCTGATGATGTTTGTATTTATCACGATGGACATACCAACGGACACTTCATATTCACGACTAACTACTACACACGCATTTTCAATGTCTTGTAACGTTATACCCACAACGTGCTTGGGGCACCTCAATGGAGCTTCCTCATATGAAGGAAGTGGTGTTAGTCATGAGTTCGGTAGTGACTTACTCTGAGCGCTGAGCAGTGAGCCTGAGAAAAGTTTGAGTAGGTGATCGCCCAGTAAATTCATTCAACCGGAAGTCTGCTACCTCTGTTTACTTGATCCTGCCCAAAGCTTCTTTCCAGCGCCACGGTTCTCATATCCGCCTCGCTACCCGAATCTTTGTCCCTCCTACTGCCCTTCTCCCTCCTTGGTGGAGTCCCATCCCTTTTATCACCAGACCTTGGTGATCGACTTCTGTCTCTCGGCTTCATCACAATCCCGCCCGCAGATGTCGTCGGAGGCGTCCCACTTCTTGAATTTCCTCCACCCTTACCCTTCGACGAGCTCACTGACGCGGTCCTCGAAGGCACGGTCGGCGTGACACTAGCAGGTGGCGTCGTCGGGCTCCCCTCCCGATCCCAAAATGCCATCCGACCTAACCACGTCTTCCTCATCTCTGCCCTCTCCTTCTCTTCCCGTTTCCGCTCAAATGTCGCCCTGTGACGTTCATAACCCTCCCTGAAACTTTTGTCCACTTTTGATGAGAATATCAGCTCGCCCCGCGGGTTAGCTGCTGGTGGTATCGTGGGTATCGGCCGCGAGGTGGAGGCTGATCGCGCGCGGGCCTCAGGGGAGGTCGAGCGTGAGTTGGATCTGGATGCATTGGGGGACACCTCCGCTGGGCGGGGGAAGAAGAACGTTATGGGGTTCCAGTAGAACTTTGATCGGAGGGGTGGTCTACGGACGTTGAGGTACATGTTAAATGAACGCAAGGCGCGGTTCGCGTGTGGTACATATCTTGAACACGACCATGAGCAGTGTGGCCAACGAAAATCAGAATTACATCAACGTACTTGTTTGCATAGCCAATCTTCTCCGAGTACATCCCACTGGCGAAGAACAAAACGAGTGTCGTGACACTCACAAATAGAAGACCACTCGCAAAATACGGAGGGAAGACCACGTCTTTCTCCGTGGTATAGACGCTAGGCAGCACCCGCTGCAAAACCATCTTGCATGGAACAACGAGGAGCGAATTCTCTGGTGGTAACAGAACTTCCCAGAGAAGAAATGCTATGACGATGAGTAATTGAAGTAGGAATACTGAAATCAAGGCGTTAGAATCGAAAACGAACGGCAGGGAGTGAACGTACTTTGGTACCGCGATTTACGGCGCTGGAGGCTTGCCGCAGTCGTTTTGAGCCTCTCCTCAAACAAGAGAAGATCTCTGTATGTGGCACTGTCATTTTGAGGAAATACTACGCCTTTTGGAGGAGGGGTTGAGCGCGAGGGCATGAAATGCAGGAAAAGGGGTGGTGGCAGGAGAAAAGGAAGCCCTCTGATTGTGAAAGCTTGACACGTGGTAGATAAGATAAGATATTTAACCATGAACTTGAACATGATCACGATACAAAAAATCCAAAGTGCCCTATCCTCAACGAACAATATCTGCCTGTTTTTCTTTGGTAATTGCAGCAACAAACGCCTTTCTCGCCAGACTTGTTCAGATCTTCTGCTCAGAACGGCGCTTTGCGGCGGCACCATTTCCAACATAAGTAGCTCATATTTTTGGAGCTCTTAGTTTGCTCTTAGTCCTTGAACATTTGTTTATTCTTTCGGCAACTACCTTGCCCGTACTCTTACATCCGGTCTGTGTTATTGTATATTTCGAGTCCTGACCTTAGAAAACAGTACCATCACTCTCAATTTCAATCGGGGGACCACAAGTCTCTGGTCGCTTCGCCTTGGCAATTTCGCGGCCGCCCTTCCATGTCGCACTTTCCAGTACTTGCGCTAAAGTGAGTTGATCAGTTCTCAAACCGAGTTGTTTCCTAATGGCATCAGCAATACGATCCCTTATGTTTATAAGAATTAGAAGCAGCAAAATCGGAAGTTGTTGAGACGGCGCACAGTTCGATGACGGTCATCGCCCTCCATTCTACGATGGCGGGATGAGACGGAGCCACGCGTGGTAAGCCTGAGTTTGTGTCAATAGGAAGGGCTCCCTCCTTCAAACTGAGCACCCCGAGATCAACGAGAAGGCCCCCGTTTCGATACTCGGGCAACCCAGTCATATCTTCGATTCCATCTAACCGCCATTTAAGCTTCTTTTCGAGAACTTCAACAAGGCTGTATGTAAGCCACATTGTGAGCTTGTGGAATGGGACGAGGTTGTTGCTGTCGTCGTGGGTGGTATTGTTAATATCCAGCGCGGGACAAGGCCAGACGTCCCCAAGTGAAACGCCGCCGAACGAGAGGCGTGACGGCCAGATGGGGTTGAGTCCTTCAATGAGAGCGAACCATAGAGCGGAGATAGGAGCCGCACGGACGCCGTCCAGGTCTACGACCGATTGAGATTCGAGGAAGTCTGAAAGGAACTACTGGTGAGCGGCTGAAGGATGTATTACGTCGGCTCATACCAATGATGTTTCCAGGTCGTCCATCAGAGCCAAAGAACTGAGGACATTCTTTGAGGGCTTCGCTAAGGTTGAAGAGAAGAGAAGCACGGCCTTCAATTCCAACCATTGGGTTGGAGTCGCTCACTTGCATCGCCGTTGCAGTCTTTTCCGCAGTAATTTTCGACAGGCCCTCAGCTAACGCGAGATGAATGTCAAGTTTCTGGAAGATGACAGATCCGCACCATCGACACGGTATGGTTGCTCGGAGTCGCTCGAAAAGAGACCAGACTGGAACATATGCATACTGGCTACTCCCAGCCCTTCGGAGCGAGTGAAAGTCTGCCCAGATGATTCTTCGCGGTATTTCCATGCACTACCGGCACCAGCATCGAGGAGAACGGAAACAACGAAGAGGTCGATGGTTCTCTTGGCTATCTCCTTTTCATCTACGTCGGACCATTTGGAGATCATCGGATCGATACGGTCTACGCTTGCGTCAAGATGTCTCCATCGGCCGTGAGGCGGAATCTTCATGGCCCCGTCGGCGAGGTGAACACCGACTAGTGGTTTGCAAATGAACTCACGCTCGCAAAGTTTGTCCCATAGTCTCGCTAGCAACGTTCAACTATTTGCGTCACTACAATTAGAAGTAAAGCCCACCTTGATAATATTTATACAAAAACTGGCAACGTCCGCCTCCTTCTCCGGGTGATACTCGAAATATTGTAATTTCTTCTGCGTCGCAAGATCGAAGACACGTGAACACCGTTCCCGAATAGCGGGTAGAGTACGCAGATAAGTTGCTGCCTGCACAGGAGTGAGAGTGCTCGCGATGTTCATCGTTGTCGTCACGGTCGAGGAGAAAGAACTAAATCGGGATGCAGATAAAATCTTTGTTTGTGATGGCTTGTCTTTGGCTTGTCGCACCAGAAATTACAGCTACCACTGATAGTCATGTCACTCAACACTACATCGGTCAAGGACGATTCCTTCGAGCTATACGATCTGAGAGTGGAAGTGATCTGTCCACCCAACGAACGCATAATGTGCGGAGCTAAAGAGGGAGATCATTTCACACTTCAAGGGGAGACGCTCTATCTACCTCCCAATCAGGGCTTTTCGATATATTCGCTGAGTACATCGTAAACTACTCGTCTCTCACTTCATTCCTGAACGAAAAACTAGGCGCAGTTCTACCTTTACTAGCAGCGAAGCAACGAGTGACTCATCCAAACGATTGGATGTCCACCGATGCAGAAATTGCTTGTCCAGACCCTAATTGCAAGTCTAGGCTTAGAATTGAGAGGACAGGAGTAAGAAAATTCAGCCACGCAGATGTTACGGTGGTTCCCCGGCCAAAGTAGGAAATTTTTCTGCGTGGGTGACTTTCGGACTGCCATCCTACGGCTCTATTGTATTGATTTGCTTCGCTAGGTTATGACCTATGTAGTTCAATGGAGTAAATATTCACCTGCAGTCGGCGGTACTGTGAACTTCGAAGCCACCCTGTTTCCACCGTGACGTCGTAATCATTGCCGTTCAAATGCTCCTATCCGTGAGCTTGTCCACTAAATCATTCCGAAGCTGATGTCCTGGCTTGTAAAAAGGAAACATCGTAAGTATTTGGGGTGCATCAATGCTACTTATATTGCAGGTCTTACCTGGGTTGCTAACACACATGTTGAGCAGCTTCGATTTGATTGTGATGCGCCGCAGTAAACGATTTCTCAAGTTGTTACATGTCGCATCAAGTAGTGAACCTGCGGCGGATATATGTGGAGCACACTGTCGAAGTGTGCCAATCATAACTGCACGTAAAGGAATAAATATGTACAGCGAGACACATAGACTTTAAGGGTACTATTTGAATAATTACAATTTCGACATAGATGTAGGTTGCATTTTATTTACAAAGGCAGAAGCGACGATTCGCCCCGAATCTTTGTCCAAAATCTGCGTGAGATGTAAACTAGGATCATCAAAGGGAAGTTTTTATACTTACCTCACACCTCGAAGACATCACTCGTCCGCCTAATGAGATCGAAGTACTGATAATGCGAAGGATAGTCCCGCTATCCTATATCAACACAACGGTCCAAGAAATCAAATATCGGCCTACCGGGGTGCGGGTGAATGAAACAGGAGGTTCATCGCTTGCGTAACGCCAACGCCGTTTACGTTTTGAAGAAGGCCGAGGACGACAAGTGGGGTGCTACAGCAACTTAAAAAAATCATCGTCATACGAGGCCAGAAGGAAACTTAAGAAACTCACTTGTCGATTAGATACGCAACGCATCCACCATGCAGCATACCGGCCCCATTCAACATGTCTGCGTGAATTTAAAACACGGAAATTGAATGGTTGCGAACAAGGCATACGCACGCTTGGTGACCTTGATCTCCGCGACGGTGGTAGCCTCGAGTCGCCCCTGCCTCTCCAGCTTCCGGTTGACGTTGACCTCGACGAATTTGACTGATGAACCGACCTCGTAGCCAAAACGATCTTCATCTCCCACCCCATACGACATGTAGGTATTGTGATTCAAACGCTTGACATACTGCGGGGCATTACCGCCAATAGACGAAACATCTCCATAGTTCGGTAACGACGCAGGGTCGACCCAAACCTTCGTGGATAGGGACTCAAGAATGGGGGAATGTGGGAGAGAAACGTGGGATGCTGCTGCTGTCGTATGGGTCGAGATGCTTGAAGCGGACGCGTTTTGGGACCTAGAGGACATGGCGTTGAGAAAGAAGAGGAAAAGGAGTGCAACGAGAAAGAAACCTTGGCCCCAACTTTTGTACACACCGTCTGCCGGATATAGGGTTTACTTGTACCCCCCAATTCCTTAACTTGGATCAGTATGGTAGTGGGGAGGGAAGGTTCGTGTTCCCATCATGTACATAGAAAACGATTACAAGCCTCCCGCGCGTTCTTTTAGAGTCGCCGTAGGAAAAAAAGGCGGATTTTCTGCGGATCGCTCCGCAAGATGGCGCCCTGTTGCCATCCGGCATGAGGCTTAGTTCTCGAAGCTTGAGAAGTTCAAATAACCTACGATTGATCGTCTTATCTTTTGCAATCCTTTGGTTTGTACTTTCGAGGACGAGGGATCTGGGTTTTATTGTAGAGCGGCAGGTTTCATTCAGTCGCAAATGCATTGTTGGATGTTGGGTGATGCGGGCGGGATACGTGATGCACGAATTTTGCCACAACCTGATCTCGGCGTCTTTTCGCTCTTCTCGGCCCAAACAGACGTCACATCAATAATTTCTGATGATACTAAAGAGTCAACTGAGGGGTTTAGCCACTGGGTTCTCCGCCATATTCCAGAGTCCTGTTTCTTGGCATCGTCCATGTAAGGATCTAAAGAATATAGAAATACCCGAAAATATCGGATCTAATCAGGGAGTCAACTTTGAGGCCTTCAAAAGCAGCTACTTACGTTCAAATTGGCAAGGATAAAAACTTACAGGATCTTTCCCTTCAAATTCAATCGACGAAATTGCTAGAAAAAAAGGGGGAAATGGAGGCATATTCAGACTTGAATAGAGTTTGGGTGGATCCATGTACATACCTGGTGTTACGATCATCAAGGCAAATGATGAATGGTTGCAAGGCGACGACGCTCTACGACGTTGGACCTTTGCATCATTGTGAAATCAGGTGAGGCCGTGTAGAATGGAAATGTAATTTCTGAACGAGAGATTTATGGCATCGCGTTCTGATCGACCCGACTTCTTGCTGTCATGGGATTTTCTACCTGCTTAATCCGACCTTGCTGCAGATTGAACCGTGGCTCCAGCGTGCAAACAAGCTAGTAGGCCACGTTGCCTTTTTTTAGATAGGCATATGCTAGGCGTGCTACAGGATTCGATGAAACGATAGCCTGATGTGATTCAAGCATTGTTGACCTCAGACCTACCTCGTTTGTTAACACGGTGGATCGGTCGAAACCTACCTCATTAGTGAATACTTATGAGGAGTTCATCAGTGGAGCGTGGATGATTGATTACAAAGTGCGGTGCGCGAACTGCCACCAGATGACAAGCTTGAAGATCTTCCCCCGAGTTGTGTTTGTGCAGAAACAAAGTGACGCCAAGTTCCACGAATTTTGTACCAGATAATATCACTTTGATCTTTTTGCAGTGTGTAAAGATTGCCGGAGTGGGTATATTGCAAGCTGTTAAACGATTTATGCTATTGAGCAGACAACATACACCGAGACAACTTACTGTTGGACCGTAATCATGATTGAATACAATCCAACTTCCTTGACTTTCGGAATGTTGCCTGCTAATAAGTTGTCAGATGTTTGCGTTTATCCAGTAAGCGCTGGTTGAGCGCTGGCGATCTTATAAAATGGTCAGTGGCGAAGAAGTCATGACTATGATGGGCGCTGTTCTACACACATGGAGGAATGATTTTAGTAAACACTAGGGGGCGGCTCACGTCGTGAAGGAAATACCCGATCTGACCGAACGAAGGTCGATCTGGCACAGTGGCAAAAGCGCCAGTGTGACAGAAAAGGTCCACACATCCCGTAGAGCTTATTTGAACGATGCACCAAAACCACGTATAGAGTTCTCCCTGTAAATATGCTGAAAAAATGATTGAGTGAAGCGTACTGTACGATTACGACCTCTTCGCGTCACGCATCACAGAGGGGTTTGAATGAAGGGAAGTGAGCGTGACATCACGCATCACTGTAGGTTTTGAAGTTGTTTTCTCTTGCGTCTAAAATACCAATTTTTTCGAGCCTGCGGCGCTCCTAGCTGTGTAAACAGCACTAGGCATCCTTAAACTAATTTCTAAGGAGACCTATCCCACCATTGAAGATTTGACTGCAAGAACAGCCTAAGTATTCTTGATTTTCTGAAGTACAGATGAAGAGATTGTACTCTTCGTCACGCCTCACATCAGATGTTGAAGTGACGAAGAGTTGATCGAAATAGGTCACGCCCTAAACGGCTTGAAGAGTTGGTCGTAATCGTACAGTAGTAATAGAATCTACGCTCGTTCCTTGCGGATATCTTGGACCCCTTCCTTTTGTGTCTGGGTTTTTTTCGTTTTTACCTCGACCGTGCGTGAATAAAAGACAATGCGCTGGCATGACTGAACGAGTATTTCAATAGTCTCAAGAGAAGTGAATTGAATGAGTGGAAACGCGCAAGAATTGCCCAACGAGCGTTTTCGAATTGTAGATGCTGGAGTCTTTTCCAGAGTTTCTTGGTAATGCAATCTAAAGGAAACGCTCTCATGAAGTTTCACTCCAAGATCGGGCAGGGTCGTATCTTTCATTACGGTCAAGATTGTTTGTAAATTCTTTATAAGTATATCCTTCCAAGGTCAATATTAGCACTTCATTTTTGAACTTAATCCTCGTTCGAACGTCTTTCCCATCTCTTTTTAGGTGAGAGGTTAGGTGAGGTTAGGTTAATCGCCTTGAAATTTCGAATCCAGATACTCCAAAACAAATGATGTTCAGTTCTACATCTCATTAAAATCATATACCAAAAGGGGCCTGCCAAACGGTGGCAGATCAAGGAAGTGTAAGCCACTTTTCCAAAAGCTTCGCAAAGGACGGGGTACCAAGACCTGTGACAGGATCCCATCCGGGAACAGCGCTAAAGCCAGGCGTGTTACACCCTTGGTTGTTTCCAGACGTGATGTCATGAAAAGCAGAAGAAAAAGCGTCAGAGTATATCTGTGACTGAAGTCAGACTTGATTATGCATATGCCCAGATACACAACTCACAGCCGGGTTGATGAAACCGATTGGCTTTTTTCCAATTGTCAAGCGTGCATCATTCACCATCGCGAGGATTGAACCAACAACGGGAGTTGAAGCAGATGTTCCAAACACACGGGCGAACCGTCCATCAACCTTGTTGAGTTTCTCAGGTATAAGGGATCGTTCGAAGTGAGATGATAGGCATACGAACCGCGACTACGTAATTCGCTCTGGCATAATTTTTATCATGGTCAGATTTGAATCTTGGGCAAAGAACGATCCACTGACCCGTTAGCTGAAATATCTGGGTACCCTCGGCTCTGATCCGATCGAGGGAGAGTCAAACAACATGATATTAACGAACGGAAAGACGTACAACACCAGTCGAATTCCAGATATCTGCAAAGTGGCTCGGTTTGTGGTCTTGAAGATATTTCCCAACCGCCTTCTTTTGGTAGTCCGGTATTCCGAAATAATTACTGAACCCTCCGCCGCTGAAAATAACTTGCTCACACGCAACTTCGGGATCAGTATATTTATTGCCTAGATTGATCTGTGTTGCTCCGACGGAGGTTACGAATGGACACGTTGATGGAAATCCTTTGAAAGGAAGCACTCAGATATTTTGCGACTGATGAAAAATGAAATGTACCCGGGTTGAATATCATGCCGTCTTCCGTTTGGGAACCTAAGGATGTTTGAGTGTTACTTTGCAACGTTGCAGATGGACAGCTACCGTCAACGTTTAGACAAAGAGCCCCATTTCCTACACAAACTCCGATGAGTAGATAAATATGACCAAGAAATGGGGACGTACCAGCGACTCCATTATCACCTGAAGAGAAGAGGACGGTGACTCCCATCAACCCAAGTTTTGCATATCTGTTGAATCGTTTATTCTCTAATGACGGCTCAAACGTTTAATGAATGAACTTACTCAGCGCACTGTCGGAGAGTATAAGATGGGGAGAGATCAGCCTCGTTATATCCATATGAGGTGGATATAACGTTCGCGGGTTTCGTGGTACCACAATTGGCTGCCCCTGAGAAGTAATCGTAATGGCTTCTCCACCACAAATTGTAAGATTGGGCCTACCATTGTACCCATTTGGTAGATTATCGGGAAATATTTCATCCTGACTGGGGTCGTCGCCACCCTCGAATGTACAGTACGAACCATCGAGAGCATCAAGAAAGTTGTTGAAAGAGGCGCCTAAAAGCCTTCTGAGGGGTCGAGAAGAGTGAAGTTAATGATCTCCTGACCTTGTGGAAGATCTCCTACTTGATATAGGACCACTTCTTGCTTCGAACCTACAGGGTTAACCAGGTTCATAGCATATTGAAGGTCAAGGTTTGATTCCCCATTGAAATTGAAGCCTGTTTGCATCGTTTGTATCACGCCTACAAAAATCAACACCTTCGAGAAGCAACAAAATTACTCGGACTGACCTCCATCAATTGAAACGAATTCTGGGGATTTTCCGACGAGAGAAGACGAGAAATTTGCGAAGAACAGATCTAGGTCGGATTGGAGATAGGCTTGAGGGGTGTACTCAACTAAGCAAGTGGTGAGTGAGTGAACTGCGAAACGAATGATTATGTTACCCACCAATGCCAAATGTGTTCTTTTTGGTTGAGAGAGGGGCATAATTGAGGCCGTATAACGCCCTAAGGCAGATTGGAGTGATCATTACATCGCAATTCTCCAATCGAGATAAAATAGAAGAAATATTCCCCGTTGTTTTGGGAAAAATGCCCACGCCTGGTAAGCCAACGGTTTTTGCTGGTGTGGCCCCGGACCCTCGCTTGCCGAGAATGGCGTCAAAGTGGATGGATGGATTTACTAGGTCCACATGTGGCGAAACGTAAATGGGTAGATGGTATTCGCTGCACGCTGAGATCGGCAAGTATTATAAGTCAGAATATGTAACCGAGCCCACGACGACGTATACGCACCCGTATGTATTTTGCCGCTTTTATGTCCATAAACGTGGTACTCGGTTTTCAACAGGTGCTCGGCTTCTTCCACTGTGGTGTTCACCTCGAGCCAATTCCGCGACGGCGCGAGCTTCACCCTGTCGAAACCAAATCCTGCACCCTCCAACCAGCCGCGCACGATTTCAACTGTTTCTTGACTTGGAGCGAACGTCTGGGTGACTTGAGCTGGCGCCCAATGATTCCCATAGTTAGACGAATCAGGATGAGAGATATCATATAACATGTCTTCCAACTTGTTTATGCTCGATTGTTTGAGCCCGAACCGCAGCGGGAGGACGGAAGAAGCGTCGCGTCGGCGAAGTACATCCCATCCCGAAGGCGTGTGGGATCTTTTTTCGTGAAGAATGTAGGAAGAACGTAGTGTCGGCTTAGTTACACCCAGAAGTCCCCAGCTGAGCAGAAAAACGATTAAGAGGACCAGCTGCATGTTCATGAAGAGGTAGAATGTGACGCGAGGATATAGAGGTCAAATTTTATACCTCGAAATCGAAGGAGCCAAGGATCGCACGACCACGTTGGCAAACGCATCATAAGACAACCTGTCAGACGTAAGAGAACTTCAGCTAGATTAGGTGCGGCTAACCATGTGGCCGCTTACACACATCGACGCTTTGAAGCCATGTTGTTTGTAAGTGACAGGCAATCCTTTGAAAAGTAGGTCTTAGAGGAGCGGTCAAGGGGACAATGTCTTGATGCATCGTAGGATAGCATTATCCAGGCCATTGAGCACAAGTCTGGGGAAAGAGTTTATTTCGAGGATAGGCTTTTCCTTCTGTGCCACGGGGTCCGCTGACGTGCTAGAGATAGGTTGGCTTCTGCATCATGGTAAGCGCCTCAGCAATATGAAATAAGCTGAAGGTCGTTGTTTTTGGCAGTTGAATATGATGATATTTGCGTTTTCCCCATCGATAGTCTATCAACGCTAGTTATTTCAATGAGAATGAAGGCAATAGACGGACACAAGACCGTGATAAAGCCAGACCATTGGGTGACGGAATTGACAATGTTGAAATCGCCTGAAAGAAGTTTAGAGGCATAATAACGTCATCGACGAATCCTCAATCGATGTTCCATCAAGTCGTGTTCGATTCCTCATTCCAACACGATAGCCCCACAAAGCTCTCAAGTTGAAAGCTAAGACTATGTATCGTCAGTGACACCAACTGATAGAGGAGGCCGCACTTACGATAGCCGCAGGAGGATGTGACTCGGACGACCCTCTTTGTTGACGAACTTGTGAAGACAGGATCACCAGATTTTGGCCGCTGGAGCGGATACAGCTCAAGGTGAATGGCCTCTGCAAGAGCAGATGCATATATGGCAGCTATATCAGTAGCTGCGTCATGCACCGAATAGGGCCTTCCATAGATCCGTCGGCAGCACCACCCTAAAGAGCGGCGCTGCCCAGTGCTGAAAAAATATCGTCAGCGTTTGAGTATGTAGTCATCAAGTCAGAGATACCCTGCTCGTTGATCACTCAAGCAGTATGTGTCATTTTTCGTGTCTATAAGACAATGATTTGCTAGCTCGCTGTGCGTTCATCATGATGGAGGTGCAATGAGGTGAGATGAGCTTACCAAGATTACGTCATGTGATATAATTTTTTCTCGGGGGAGCCTTGTCCTTTGCTGTCATCATATCAACGGTCGCGGGCTTGTCTTCACGGTTGTCTCACCTACCGATGACTCCAAGCTTTACCTTGCTGCGGCGATCCTTAGGAAGACTACCGCAACGGACATCACCATTCATTAGCGCCAAGGGGAACGGAAGAGGCAGGAGGACGCGTAGTCTCCATACGTCGGCAGGTTTGTAAGATTATCGATTGTATTGTGCTGAACTCATTGAGATTCTGCAGTTTCACAACACTCCGGAATAAATAGACCAGCACCTGGCACTGGGTGCGTTTCTTGCTTCCATTTTCGCTGTCATCATTCTAATTGCGTAGGGGACGTTCGCAGAATCAAGGTCCATTTTAAGGACTCTAAGGGGAATTTACTGAAAACGGTGGAGGCCAACGAAGGTGATGATGTCCTGGCCATAGCCCATGAGTACGATATAGATCTTGAAGGCGCGTGGTTATTACCTATCGATCTCAGAACCAAATCGTGACTCATTTTCCACCGTGGTCCCCATTTAACAACCTACGCCTTATCTTTGTATCATCATTGGAAAACCTTGTCCTTTCATTTCCACCCTCAGGAGCCTGCGAAGGCTCAGTGGCTTGCTCCACCTGCCATGTCATCCTACCACCAGAGTACTATGATCTCCTACCCGAACCGGAAGACGACGAGAATGACATGCTCGACATGGCGTTCGGCCTCACGGATACCAGTCGGTTGGGATGTCAGGTTAAGCTTACACGAGAGCTTGACGGACTTACCGCGACGTTACCCTCTGCCACGCGGAATATGTTTGTCGACGGTACGTAGATCGTTCCCTCCAGCAGAGTGGTAACTTCTTCCCTCTGCTATCTAAGTATGGAAGCCGCTGATAATCCAATCTCCACCCTTAGGGAAGAAGGCATCTCACTGACAGATGCCAATGTCTATTCTTATTTCTCTACGTCCTGTCTAAAATTACCATGCAAGAAAACGACCAGTATATGCCGAACCGATACGGAAATCAGTGCTCAAGCGGTCACTGCTCAATGTCTCTGAGCCGCTGGGTGCCTGGCAGTCGTTATCACCCGCGCGATTTTCGACAAAACCCTCCAACGGCAACCAAGACTTGTTTTATTAATTATTTGCCCAGAGAATCAGGGATGGTTCGCTGCAAACAGTCGAAAGGGAACAAGCCGCCTGCCGCTTCCAGTTCAGCTGCCTTGGAAATAGATAGCCCGACTGTTCTAACATCTTATGACCAGCAATTCCAGTTTCTATTTCAATCGTCTGCTCTTCGAAGTCTTCTGCATCACGTCTCTGTCCGTCACACGACAAGTTTTCTCCTTCAATAATCCGGCTTGTCAATATTTATAAGCGGCGAGATAGGCGGTGCTGACACATTTGGAAATTCCTTGGCGCATTTTCTTCTTCTGTTGATCCTCGACCCGAGCATCCACCGAATATTGTGCTTCAGCTCAACCGTGGTAAGTCAGCCTCCAGGCAAGCCTCAAGGATTCATGGCCGTTGGACAAAGGTCTTCTTATACACGAATTCGTACGAGTTTCTATGTGACTGATCTTCAACATCATCGTGCTGTCACTGTCAAGTTATTTTAACTTCAGGGTGAGATTTGTTTTCCCGCTCATCTCGAACCGCATCCTCCGAGATCATCTGAGGTCCTTGACTTCTCAAGTATGACGCATTCTTAATAGTTGCCATGCCGCACTGACTCCTGCTGGACGCCGCGTTGAGGCTTTCTTCACGATGAACTGCTTATCGAAAATTGTTATGGTCGACGGAGTGTTGATATGGAATCTGTCAGGGTGCCGTGTGATCTCCGCTGCAGAGTTACCTAACCTGCAGGGGTCAGTTTTGGCCTTTGGTTTCTGGCATTTTTCGGCACCAATTTGGTCTCCCGATCACACTACTGAATGGATCTGATTAAAGAGGCACGGTCTTTGTTGCTCAAGAGTTTTTGCGCGCCTACCTCTCCTTCCCAACATTCCCCCCTCCCACCTTGACGAAAGATGGTGCAAGCGACGCTATCGTCCTCCGATGTGCAGGGTCTTCAAGATTCTCGTCCAGTAGTACGTCTTCAAAGCTACATCCTACTAACGATGATTGGCTCAATGGTTCGCGGTTCAGATCCTTCCCATTGTAGACTTGACAGCGAACAAGGCTGGCGAACGTAACTCGCTCACAAATCCCTTGCAAATTCCTTCCATCACGCTGTCCTCCGATGGTTCTCTCGCAGCTCGCCGTCTTAGCTTAACACCTGGAAGGAAGCCAATGCGTTCATCACCTTTAGCTGGCCCATCAGTCTCGCCCCTTTTCATCATCAATGACGCCGACCATGATAATGATTCAGACACCCTCAGGCTCTCCAAACCAGAGATGATCGCATTACCCCAACTTCCCGCGAAAACATTGGTCCCAAGACCGAAGTCTTCCGAGGGCGTCATGCCTCTTCCTGACCGTCGCCTTTCGATAGCCTGGGAGGCTTCACCAAAATCAAGCTTGTCGCCGTTGGATACGTTGCGTCGTCCGGAGAGACACAAGTTAAAGCGCCCGCGGAGCGCTCACTCTCCTGCAGACGCCTATGATTTTTCTCGCCCGCAGGAATTTCCAGCATCCGCTACTGACGATAGCGCCCGTGGCCGCATGACCTCTAACGTCTCCTCACGTCGACCTCACTCGTTTTACATAGATCCAACCGCTATCCCTAGCGGGCCACCTCATTTTCCGGACTGTGTACCGCAATCACCTCCTCGCTCACCTACGGACAATTCGTGGTACATTGCATCCGCTTACGACGTTACGCCTCGCTTTACTAGATTAGGTCTCGCTTCGTCGGGTGTGGTCCTCCCAGTTTCCGCGAAAGCGCATCGTGTCGACAAGCCCTCAACCTCACACTTACGTTCTTCCCCATCCTCCATTACCCTGAAACCTCGATCCACAATACCAAGCAGACTTAGCAAAAGCGCGGGATCAACTCCTTCAAACTCTGTCGTTCATTTGACGAGCAGCACGCCAAGCCTAACTCTGTCGTCTAGCAACGAGTCAGTCACTGACAGTGGCCCACCGACACCCAGCCCCACGAGTACGACGGATCTTTCGGAGCCCAGCTCTGCAAGCACGACGGACTTTTCATCGCACACATCAGACTACCAAGGACGACGAAAGTTCTCATTCTCCCGCATGCGGAAGAACTCTTTGGCGCGTGTTAGAAGCCTCCGCTTCAAGTCTACACATACAAATCCTTATCCATCCTTTGAAAAGGAGATTGATAGCCCACATGTCCGATCGCAGGCTGCGGATTTTAGCGCTCCTGATAAGACGAATTTCCTTGACATGGAGGAGTTGGCGGTTCGAAATGAGCCGCAATCTGCCCTCAAGCCTGAGCCCTTATCTAGAGGAGGGACGATCAAGAGGATGTGGAAGTCGTTGGCTAGTGGCGGGAGGAATCGCTCTTGAACTTGAGCGATTTGTTTGGACTTGAATATACATATATTATATATCTTGTATCAACAATTACACTCGTTTGTCAATGTAGACTTCTCCAACGTACATATTCCCTGGATTTTGTATATACCCTACAATGCCAAGTTCCCTCTCTTGCAATCACTTTCACAAAAATGTGCTACAAAAACTTGCAATAAGCCCTTATTTTAAAAAATTAAAGCACGAGCGCACACTGTTCTGATTACTTACTGCAGCATTGAAGTTATGTGTATCTGTTTGCATCTGTAGACGTGTTATTATGTCAACATCACCTGCTTAGCTAATCCCAAAGGAACCACGAAAGACCACGACACCTTTGTTCAAGATCTGGATATTCGGCCCTCGTGCTGGAGCCTAACTTGACAGTGGCATTCACAATGCCCAGTGTTATCAGTGCACATGACCACAAGGATTGGCATCTTTAAGGAGGCGACAAGATCTAAACTATGTAATCAATCGCTTTACGCCCATCCAATCCATCTCATTCACTTTCCAACTTCCGATCTCTCATCCTGATGAAGCGCGGATTTCTGAAAACTGCAAAGGCCAAGAAGACGGAGGGTGTCGCGCTCCCGCCAGTCGCATCGGCGCCACCCAGTTTAGGTGTGCCACCCAAGGGAGATGGTTCTTTTGGTTAGTCGGATTCGTCAACACGGGTTCTCACCTCACCATGTTAAACACTTGGAACCCTCACCATGTTAAACACTTGGAACTTAGCTCCACGACAAATCAAGTTACCTTATGGGAAGGTTGAGACCCGTAAGTAGCCTCTATTATTGACTTTGTGCAACCTAACATTGTAACAGCGCAGCCAACTGGGGCCTTTGCTCCCAAGAAGCTTTCCGTTCGCGAGTTCTCCGGAGGTACCGTCGATTACAGCGAAAACATGATCGTTTTCACTACTCTCCCACCCATGAATTTGGACGCTACACTGGATGATGAGCCTAACAATTGGACAGAGTGTATCTTGGCTGGTCCCGTCAAGCGTCGAATCCTCAGCACCCCGGGATTTCCTCGCTCCGTAGAGAAAACTGCAGGCGGAAAGGTAAACCATCGTGTTAGGGCTTCACCGTTTGGTGGACTTGGGGTGTTCGCCACGCGTCCCATCCGCACTGGAGATCTCATCGTCGCCGAGAGGCCTCTCCTGATCTCACCACGCGGTTTTGAAATGAGGGTCGAGTCGAAGGGTCTTACACAGGCGGAGAGGATCCAGGTTACAATGCAAGAGTGGGAGGAACGCCTTGACGTCGCAGTGAAGAGGATGACTGATGAAAACCGGAAGGTATTCATGGCGCTGGCGAATAGTCATACTGAAGACAGGAGTGGGCCTATTCAGGGGATCGTTCGCACCAATGGATACAGAGTACCAGGCTTGTACGATGGTCACGAGGGCGACAACACCAGGGCCTATACTGCGGTTATGAATGTGATGTCGAGGATCAATCACAGGTGAGATACTTGAATTATACGACCTCTTGAGCTGAGATTTCTTCAGCTGCTCGCCCAATACTTGTCATCGCTTTGAAATGGCTTCCCTTTCCTTCGAGCTCCGAGCGATTCGCGATATCAGACAAGGAGAAGAGCTGTTCTATTCCTACTGTGACATCTTCCGAACTAAGATCGAGCGTGCTGAGGAACTAGCACCCTACGGCATTGTCTGCGCATGCCCTGCATGTGTCGGAGCAACCAAGGAAACGGATTTGTTACGCTCGGAGCTCGCAAAACGCGTCGAAAAAATACAAGCTGACCACCACGTTTGGATGAAGGATCAATCACGCCCGAACGTACTTGCAGCCTCCCTCAAGCTGATAGCAGAGATTGAAAAAGAAGGTCTGAGCGGTGCTCCGTCGTTCACCTCCCTATTGGGGATGGTTGCGAATGTCTACGTGGAGTCCGATAACATGAACAGCGCGATGAAGTACTTAGATCAGTTCAACAACCATTGCAGGGCATAAACGGGGCATTCGCATCTCAACGGTTCGATGGGCGAAGCTAAGTAACACTGCAGTTCTATTCCAAGTAGCCAAATTGTCTCATGTGAAGCCCTGTATAATTATCCAAGACTGAAGAATGGAGTTAAGTACGAGGAATTGCAATTTTAATCCGCATCTTTGTGCGGTCACTGGCCTCAACTTATCAGCGAGAGGTCTCTTCCTTATATGCGCTTTGTGCATATAACATTTTTAAGGTCATAGGCTTGCTCAATGTAAGTCGGTTGAATAGGGAGTCAAAGTTATAATTCCGTTCCCCTAATCTGGGCTCCTCGGCGCAAGGTTTCACACTGACAACCTTAAAACCGCGACGTTCATCACCTCAACCCACATCAAGTCGGAGAAAAATTCAAGCACCACACACTTTGCAAACACTATGTCTTTCTTCCAACGCCGTTCTAAAGTGATCGTACCCACCCCCGACCCACCTGTGAGACGGCTTCCAGATGACGGGCTAGTCAAGGCTTCGGTTTTGGTCATCCCCCCCGATGGCTCGGTGCGCGAAACGGGGATATTCAAGTACGGGGAGTTTGACGTTGAAAGTGATTCAACGGTCCGTATGTAATTTGATTGTCCCACTGGGCTTCGATCGACATCACCAAGCTCACCATAGTTACAGAAATGGTTCTGCGTCAGTACAGAATTTTGGGGGTGGTTCAAGTGGCGGAATGCAATTCCAGCGCGATCATCATTGCCGACATAGTTTGTGTGCCAATGAAATATGTTGGAGAACAAGTTAAACCAGAAACCTGGTACCTGCCATCAACCTGCCATCGAGCCATACATGGCAATACCCTCTCATTCACCAGCGTCGTGCTCACTTGATTACTCGCTCGAAGGTTGAGGTTCAACACCATAGCACCATGCAGTCCGATGATGATTTCAAAGCTTTGATATCATGGAAGACGGAGATAATGGAGGGTGATCGTGTTTTCCTGGTGGTTCATTGCTTAATTCAAGTCGACGTCCAGCTTTTTATGCAGTCCAAGATCTAATGAGCGTTCGGTAATTGTTGTTCTCCGTTGTGCCCTATTTATTTGTCGGCGCTAGTATATTCTGCGGCTTAATATCCCTATGCACCGCATGCAGGTGTTTCGGTGCACTCGCTACTTATCTGATTCATAGCCTTTTTGGAGTCAAACGAAATAGCGATTTCGCTGAACTGGTCTCGGTCTGGGGACTCGATCATGTTTGCCAGCGAGGCGGGACTGAGCTCCAAGGCAATGTTGGGGTGGGCTTCTTGGTAGTAAAATCGGATGACGTTGGGGTGGTCGTCGCTTTCTTGGACAACGAACTGGTGGGGGTGACGTCTGCGGTGGTGGAGGGCCCGGGCGCCTCTCCGGCCCCCCAAAAACGAAGAGTGGGTAATTGTTCGGGCTCATAGGAAATAGGCTTTCTGTTTCTTCGACCATATCGAAGTAGGCAGAGTCGAGATTGGGTAAGCGGGCGGTGTGGCTGAGGTTGGGGATGACGTATTGGAGTCGGGGACCAAGCTGGAGAAGAACGAAGGGGCGGACTTTGTGTAGGTTGGATGGTTTTTGAAGGACATCGTATATTGCCACGCTGGATTTGAACATTTAGCATGGGGGGACGGAAAGGGGGAGAAAAGACTCGGACGTACATAGGTGTGTTAAAATTGTCCCCTCAACTATATCCGAGTCCGCCGTTTGGGAATACGAGTAAGGTCCGCCGGCACTCTTAAAGTTCGTTCTTGACCTGGGTTATGATCAACCATGTCCCAAAGGGTGGAAGAATCGTTGGTCTGAGGGAGCTTATGACCTTTGAATACAAGGTTCAAGCCTTGTCAGGTTAGCCTGTGTCATTCACAACATCATGCACTTGACCCAGAATTTCGACTCTCGAGTAAGTGAGCGATCAGGTTTTCTTGAAAGTCTTCCCAGTTGACCACTTTGAAATTGTAGGATGTTATGGTGCACCTGATTGCGTCTGTCTACGGTCTACGCGGCATTGCTCGCTTAGCTTAGTAATCGATAATATCTTTGTTCTATTTTCGATCCTCATGCTGAAGCTTTGAAGACTGTCGTCCTTTGTGTACCTTGTTCGTCAAAGGTAATCGAGGACGCCTATGCAAAAGCGGTGAGTGGCACTCATAGTGCCTAATTTGGTGGCTACCCCGAGTCGGTGCACATGGCAAGGTTGTAATCAATCGCTTTACGCGTCTATCTCATCCACTTTCCAACTTCCACACTCTCATCTTGATGAAGCGCGGATTTCTGAAAACTGCAAAGGCGAAGAAGACAGAGGGTATCGCTCTCCCGCCAGTCGCATCAACTCCACCTGGAGGTGTGCCACCCAAGGGAGATGGTTCTTTCGGTTAGTCGGATTCTTCAACAGTGTTTTTCACCTCACCATTTTGAACACCTGGAACTCAGTTGAACGACCTAGTATCAAGTTACCTTATGGGAAGGTTGAGACAGGTAATGTAGCCTCTGTCATTGACTTTGTGCAACCTAACATTGTAAAAGCGCGGCCGACTGAGGGCGTTGTTTCTAGGAAGATTATCGGTCGCGAAATCTCCGGAGACACCGTAGATTACAGCGACTACGTGATCGTATACACTACTCTCCCACCCGTGAATTTGGGCGATACACTGGATGATGAACCCGACAATTGGACGGAGTGTATCTTGGCTGGGCATATCAAGCGGCAAATCCTCAGCACCCCGGGATTTCCGCGCCCCGTAGAGAAAACTGCAGGTGGAAAGGTATACCATCGCGTGAAGCCTTCGCCGTTTGGTGGACTTGGGATGTTCGCCGCACGTCCCGTCCGCACGGGAGACCTCATCGTCGCCGAGAGGCCTCTCCTGATCGCTCAGCGCGGTTTTGAAATGAGGGACGAGTCTGGCTCAAAGGGTCTTACCCAGGCGGAGATGATCCAGGTTTATATGCAACAGTGGGAGGAGCAGCTTGGCATCGCATTGAACAGGATGACCGATGAAAACCGGAAGGCATTCATGGCGTTGGCGAACAGTCATACTGAGGACGGGAGTGGGCCCATTCTGGGGATCGTTCGCACCAATGGATACGAAGTACCAGGCTTGAATGATGGTCACGAGGACGACAGCACCAGGGCTTATACTGCTGTTCTGAATGTGATGTCGAGGGTCAATCACAGGTGAGATACATGAATTATAAGTCCGTCGAGCAATTCATGAGCTGAGGGTATCCTTAGCTGCTCGCCTAATACTACGCATCATTTTGACATGGCTTCCCTTTCCTTTCAGCTCCGAGCTATTCGCGATATTAAACAAGGAGAAGAGCTGTTCTACGCGTACTGCGACATCCTCCGAACCAAGAGCGAGCGTGCTGAAGAGCTAGCACCCTACGGCGTTGTCTGCGTATGTCCCGGGTGTGTCGGAGCAACCAAGGAAACGGATTTGTTGCGCTCGGAGCTCGCAAAACGCATCGCGAAATTACGAGCTGACCATCACGTTTGGATGAAGGATCATTCACGCCCGAACGTACTCGTAGCCTCCCTCAAGCTGATAGCAGAGATTGAAAAAGAAGGCTTGACCGATGCTCCGTCGTTCATCGTCCTATTGAGGATGGTTGTGGAGGTCTACTCGGCGTCCGGAAGCGGGAATAGCGCGATGAAGTACTTAGATCAGCTCAACAACCATTTCAGGGCGTCAGGGAGGCGCTAACGAACACCGCAGTCATTATCACGATTCCCCTGTACTAGAACGGAGAGGATACCAATGTAAATCCGCAAAACATTTCTTTGTGCAGCCATTTACATAAGTTGGTGTGTTGTTTATTCTTCCTCCTTCCTTGAAGCTTGATGCGCAAAGAGGCAGGTGCGTATATAACGTCTGTCGCAGGCTTTGTCTTAGGTTGAATAGGGGAACTCAGAGTCATCAATTTCAAATTTCGAGTTCTAATCTTTGACGCTCCTCGGTGCTCATCACCTCAATCCCGTAAACACTGAGCAATTCTCCATTTCTCTCCTTTTGGTCTCATACCCATTGCTCCTCATTGGGACCGCTCACAATTCACATCTACCCCTACTTCAAGGCTTCGACGCCCCTTGTCATACCGAACGCCAGTTTCAGAGGGTTTGAAGAAAATTTGAAGAGTATACTGTACATACTACAATCAAGCGGTATGCCTTTCGGCCTCTTTCGTCGTCAGGCCAGTCCAGTGAACCTACCCGCCCCTGATCTACCTGATCTACCTGTGAGACGGCTTCCAGACAGCGGAGGACTAGAAGCTTGCGTTCTGATCATTCCTCCCAATGGTTCGACCTGCAAAACAGTACGCGGAGTTTGATATTGAAGCTGATCCCATACTCTGTAGGTCTCGCTCGGTCTTTCATTGTCATGAACCTCTGACCTTACTATAATATAGTAATGGTGTGCTCTAATTACAGCATAGCTGGAGTGATAGAATGCAATACTAGCACGACCATTATTGCTGACATAGTTTGCGTGAACATGGTGGCGGGGAAGTTCAACCAGAAACCTGGTACATTCCATCAACGTTTCCGTGGCGGTTCCCTATCATAGACAAAAATCGTGCTATCTTGCTCGCTCGCTCAAAATAAGACGCTGCTATGGGAGTGGAACCGTGTATTCCTGGTGGTTCATTGGTTATTAGGCCCTTCCAGACTCGGTCAGGACACAAACATTGGGATGAATATATCCGGATATATGGACTTCCACAAGTCGGAATCATCGCGATATTTGTAGTCATGATACATACAGTCCAATATCTCAATGACAAACATTTTTATCCAGTGTTCCATCTATCTATGTCTAAGCTCCCTAGCAAGCCTCCAACACAGTACAAAAGCAAAAGCAGCTGCAAACCCACCAAATCTACAAAAAAGATTAAGTAAGGACGCCTTTCAATGACACCGATGATAAAAGCAAACCACCCACCTAAAAATATATACTACAGAATTCGACTGGCCCCCTCGTTCCCCTGCGTCCTCGTTCAAAGCTCGGACGAGGACATCACCAACAGCCGCAGAAGCATTTTTCAGTGCCTCGAAGGAATCCACACCAGAGGCTGTCGTCGTCCCGTTTATGACACCGCCGATACTTGGTGTTGGGTGGTGGCCGGGCAAGACAGTCTTTTGCGGATCGAATATGGCAAAGACGATGGCGGACAGACCGGTGACGAGGAACTGCGGTATCACGATGAATACATTGTGTATTCCCTGAAAGATTGAGAGTGATGCTTGGTAAGTAAGATGCACACGGACGTGGAGGAGAAAAGAAGCGGTGAAACGAACCAAGATGATGCCAGCCTTCGAACTCAACCCTCCTTCGTTCTCATGACTCCTGTCAACCTGGTCATCGTCCTGTAACGTCAATCGCACGCTATGGACGCCGGAGTGGCGTGGACTCGCCACGATCTCGAAGCCTTCCTCCTCTTCCTCCTCCGACACTCGATCCTTCCGCCCGGTGATGTTGACCCCACTCCTCTGGGCAATGGGGTTACCCAACACGCGCCTCCTTTCTTCCTTCTTCCGCGCCTCTTCCTCGTCCTCCTCGTCTTCGCTGTCAGATGCGTCGCCGGGGAGAAACACTTCCCTCTCCGAGTCAACTTCACGTATGGGTGTACGTGCATCCGCGAGTCGAATCGAAATTGCGTCGTTTACGTGGGATGGAGCTGGTTCGGTTAGGATGGCTTCTGCCAGCTATTAACGGTTTTCTTTAGCAGTGATAGCGATGGAGGATGAGGACGTACGAGAGAGAATGGGGCCCATTGTGTGATGGCCCATGAGAACCCGGTGATGGTGATGAGGATAGTGGCCCCAGTTACGCTGTGGGTGAAACTTTAACATGACCGATGAGCTTCTGAACCAAGAGTGTTGCAAAAAATGACTTACAAAGTGCCCAGCATACACCCAGCGAACACTAAATGGCTCACAGCCCACAAACTCGCAAGGTGGACCTGAAGACCCCTAGGAACGCGACACATCCTCTCCCACCAGCCTTCTTCTGCTCCCCGGCCCGTCGTTGGCGACGTTACACACCGCCTGGCTTCCGTTACGAAAGGGGGTAAGGCAAAGTTGGCAAGGAGTGATAGAAGAGACGAGTAGAAGAGTGCTCGGGAGCCGAGGCGGGTGGCTTCGGCTTCCAGGGCTGCTTGTGCGTCTGGCGTGCCAACTGCGGGCGTGGATCGTTTGTAGAGGTCGCCGATGTAGATGGTTGAGTAGAAGAGGACTGGGAACCAGGCTATCCATGCGCTGTTTGGGCCCCTGCCTGTGAGTGGGGGAAGTTGGTGGAGAGAGCGGGCTTACAAGAATTGGATGATACACTGGAATGTCAGTAGGTGAGTGAGTTGAATGGGTGGAGAGAGGGAGGTGAACGCACGATTTGACGGATGACGCGGGGGAGAGTGAGCATATTCGTCCATATGTCTTTTAGTTCTTGCAGGAAACTTTTTCCATGGCGTCGTTGGCTGTAGGAGACATGAGGTTCAATCAGAAACTGCCCGCTCATCCACCACCAGCAACGCACCCATCAATGTCATTTTGCAGCAGAACCCGTTCCTTAACAAGGCCCGCCGTAACGAGGTGGCCGCCAACGAGAAGGAGGGACACAACCACAGAAAGGACCTGGAGTTGGGATTTCCCAAGGAAAGGGAGTATTCTGGGGAGGTTGATGTTGCCCACGAAAAACCCAACGACGCTTCCGACCCCAAGCATGCGGGCTGCCCAAGCGTTCCCTGAAGCTTGGGCTGAAGATGGGAGAGTGTCTACTAGGAGAGCACGGTCGACTGCCTGGACTAGGGGAAACGTTGGGTATTGGGGCAGTAAGTGATTTGGGCGGGAACTGACCTGCATTTATGGAGAAGTCTATTAGGAATATAGACAGTACGGCGAGCCATATCGTTAACATGTCATTCTGCAAACTCGTAAATTTAGAGGAGGAGTAGAGGCAGTGAGCCGGTCACACGCACAGAATCATTATCCCAACCCGTGAACACCGACGCGACGGGCCTCGTAAACCCAAGTAAAAGCATTGCAAACGCGCAGACTAGAGAGCCGAGTAACATGTATGGCCTCCGACGACCGAACCGTGATGTTGAGTTGTCCGCCAGCACACCTAAAAGTCCGTCAACAAAGTTATTCAGACAAGGGTATTCTATGGGTGAACGTACCTATCAACGGCTGCATTATCAAACCCGACAACGGCCCAGCAATAAACACAGTAGCCAATTTAGACTTGGTCAGTCCTAAAGAAAGCAAATACGGCGAAGCTACCCAAGAAAACGAGCGTTAGATAGTACCACACGGCGCTATGAGCACGAAGAAGAAGGCACACACCATAAGACATCTCAATGCTCCAAAAAATCTGTACACCCAATAACCCAATGGTCAACGTCGGAAGGTGCGCCCATCGCGGTCCTAGGATTCTTGAAACGCCCTTGAATTGTTGGTGTGCGTTGTCATCGCCGTCTTCGTGGGCGAGTGGGACGGCTGAGAAGCCTGTCATGGGTATCGTGGGGAGAGGGAGAGCCCCTTATGTTGCTGGGGCAGAAAGGAGGAGAAGAATGAAGGGAGTTGAGAGGGATGGCAAGGGCCAGGGAAAGTGAGGAGTGGAGATGTGTTGGTTATGTAAGCATTTCTTGGAATACACGCATGAGGTCAGAGCGCTTGTTCACGCTGCTGCTTGAAGGATTCGTAGAGTAAGGGATATAATTTCTTCTACAGACACTGCCTAACGCGATGAAAGTCGAAGGAAGGAGGAACGCATGGCGTAGAATCATGAAAGTGAAGAAAGAATGAAGCAATTGGTAGTGAGGAGAATCCTGTGAGTAAGTATCAATTGGTAGTGAGGAGAATCCTGTGAGTAAGTATGTACGTAAATTCTATTTGGTCAAAGGCAAGATGATATGTTGGTTGGATTGGGTTGGATTGGATGAGAAATAGTCGTCATTCATTCGTAAGTATCGGGTAATCATTAGTGTGGGTTGTTCGAAAGGTAAGTTGGAGGAGTCAAGTGACAAAAGATGGGCGGCAATATGTTTTGGTTCAGGAATGTTACGGGATCATGAGAACCAAGATGCAACCATCCCAAGCAGCTTCAAAAAGCCGAGGATACACCCTCCTGAGATGATGGGCAACGTCAGATTATCATCCAACGACCCCAAATCTGCAGTAAAAACCACAACATCAGCCACCATCAAACTTGGTTTGAGAAAACATACCCAAAGCCTCCGCAACACCACTAACAACACCCGCCACCAACCCAATAAGAGCCAGTCCGGCCCATCCACCACCACCAAGATGTTGTCCCGCGGCGCGGACACCACCTTCCAGCGCCCAGGTCACGTCCCGCCCTCCATTCCGGAAAGGTGCGACGAGGCTCCAGAAGCCGACGGCGATCACGGCGCCTGTGATAGAAGCTGCGGTGAACCCTGCGAGCGACTTGCGCGGAGCGAAGGGGAGGCGGAGGAGGGGGAGGCGTGCTGGAAGCTTGCGTGTGCTGGAGCCGTAGAGGCGGCCGAATGTGGACGCGGCTGTGTCGGCCCATGAGAGACTAGAATGAGGGAGGTTAGATTTGGGTGGGGTGGGTGAGGAAGTGGGGGGAGATTACGTACATGAGGATGGCTACGGTTGCGACATCTTGTGGGTATAGGGAGAGGACGAAGTTGACTCCGAGGATGTACCACACCACGCCGTTAACTGAGTTCTGTAAAGAGTTAGCTTGCAATGTGACGACGGAGGAAGGAGTTTGAGATTACCTTTTCGCTTTCGCGCATGAGGAATCCTAAGAAACGTTCATACGTCCGTTCGAAACGTTGTGAACGGAAACGTAGCAAGTCGGCCGGCACGATGATGGCTAGGGCTGTCCAGAGGGCCAGAGTAATCTTTCGCGCGTCGCCCTCTGAAATGTATAGGTAGAGCGTAAAGAACCCTGGTAGGACGGTCAGCGAATCGTTCAGAAAAATCGTGGAGACAAGGGCAGACGACCAAGACCGCAGAAGCCGACAAACCCGACGTACCAATGGACGCATGCAACACCTTCCTCGGTATCTCCAAATCCACTTTCTTCGTCTTATCCACCGAGCCCCCATTCAGAGCACCATTCCCATTCCCATTCACCGTCGTCAAGTGGTGTGAATAGCCGTTAGTCTCAGGTTTAGCACCAGCACTCCTAATCTCCTCCCTCTCGAGCTCATACAACACCTCCTCAACCTCCCTATCAACCCTTCTCTCCTCCTCATCACCCTCCTCATAAGTAACCATATCCACCACGTCAAGATGTCCGAGCCCCTCAAGCGTCTTGATGACTTTTCGCGTGATGTTCTTGACGCCCTTGGCGTTCTCCGCGGAAGGCGAGAACGAGACGATAGGCGACGGAGAGCGCTTGCTGCTCGTGAGGGAGGGAGAGCGCGCAGCACGGGACCGACGACGACGACGAGGGGCGGCGGCAGTGGGAGTGGGAAAGGTGTCGTGTGCAATGTCAGTGGCAGTGTCAGGTTGGGGTGGTGTCCGAGTCATGGCGTTTTATTTGTCTTGGTCTGGTCGGCGTCGATAGGGTCATGCACGATGTTGCTCGTTTGGTTGGAATGTCGCCTCAGATGCAAGAAGAGTCGGGTCGTGAAAAAAATCAACACTCACCATGTGTTTATCCTCATTTGTATCACATGACTCTTAGGGGATATTCCGCACAGTGTCGGAAAAAACTATTTGGCCTTATAATAGTTTCTTGTTGATTAACTGCCTTACTTGCCTTATAGGGGCCTTACAATAGCCAAATTTTAGCCTTATAAGGCAAGTAAGGCAGGTAATCAACAAGAAACTACTATAAGGCCAAATAGTTTTTTCCGACAAGGGGAAAATGTCCATATACGTGCACAGCTGTATACTAACGATAGTGTAAGGAAAATGAATCAGGCAACTCACATGTTTCAGGAGGATGTAGGTCCCAAGAGGATATTCAACCTGGATTTTCTCTTCTTTTTTTCTTTCTTTTCAAAATCAATTTACTTGTATACAAATATCACAGTGGTGTATATGCTCAACTATATACTAAGGAACCCTTGGATTCTGTGAAGTGTATCAAGATTCAAAGGAGTAATATTACAGTCATCCACCAGCTAGTGTTACATCAAAAAGTGAAAGTTCACTTAAAACATGATGGGGATACATTTTCACTTAAAAATTGTAGATTCAATCTTGGTGATGTACATTCTTTGTGTCCTCCAAATTTCGGAGCTCTCAGGTTTGTTTCTGTTGAGTAATTCTGAAAATACCAGTGTAACATTTAGTGGTGGGAGGTTTTCTGCTAAGTACCCCATTTTGAACAAATCACTACATATTTGATGCTCATCCTGCACACACAAAACTTGATGTGAGGAGAGACCATATATAGGAGCTCCAGATAAAATTTGTTTTAAGGGAGTATGTTGAATATTGCAAAAGTTATTCAGGGAGCAAAAGTGTAACATTCAGTGGTGGTGTAACACAGGCTGGTGGATGACTGTAGATACTCTAACCTGTCTTCTTGTCCTGAAACTTGAACTCAAGCCTCTTCTAAGCAAAATCCCCTGCAAATGAGGTTGGAATGATATCCCTATCCTTGACTTCACTAAAATCAAGCACAAAAGTTTTCCCATTCTTTCCTCCCAAAACTAATATATCAGCACCCCTTCCATAATGACTTCCCCAATTTCCTTTCTCATCCCAGTTTCCATCAGATAAGACAACATTATGTGGAAGCCAGATAATTCTTCTGCCTTTACTATCCAAAATCCAATTATCTTCAACCACTAGGTGATATCTATTTTGCATTGGAGTATTGAATGTGTTCTCCCTGCTGTTCAACTCAAATCTGAACCTATAGCTTTCTTCAAAATTTCCTGAATGGTGCAAGACTACAGCTTTATTGTCTGCTTCAATAATCCAGGGCCTTTCAATTGAATCACGCAGCTCAATCCATGTTATTTTGTATGTTTCAAATTTACCAGATTTCAAAGTCCAAAAGTGAAGATCCAATCTTCTTCTTTCTGAAACAACCATATGCATCAGATTGTTGTTGTCTAGAAATTTCAGAGCACACAAGGTGGAATCAAAGTATTTTGTCTGATGTATATCAAGTTACTGATTCTCCTCTGACTTATTCACAACATTCCACACTTGAATAGATATGTTCTGAGCATTGGACTTTGCAAAATGAATAGCAATATATTCTTTATCTGGTGACAGAGCCAATGCCTCAACAGACCTTCCAAAAGGAACTTCTTTTGTAAAGAACTCATAGCCAGATTTTAGTGACCATATATTTACATTTCCATCTTGTTGCCCAGATGTAATGATTTTACCATCTCATGAGGTACAAACATATGTGACAGCTGCTTGAGATTTTTCAAGAGAATTTGCATTCCAGTGACAAAAGCTTACTGTGCCATCTTGGGCTGAAGCAAGAGTAAAATATGCTCCATCAGGTGCAAAGATAACATCACTATCTTTGTCAAACCTTTTGAATACAGCTTCTGGCTTTGGGGATCCAGACTTAAGATCATAGACTTGTAGCTGCTCAGATTTCCTAAGACTCAAAACTTGTCCATCTGGTGACAAAACAATACATTTGGGAGCTGGCTTCCCAAATTTCTGAGGGTTTTTTCCTGCTCCTTGAATTGACTGTGATGTTTCATTGCATTTAAGCATATTGACTTTCTTATGTGTAAGAAGGTTATGGACCACCACCACATCTTTTTGTATCCAGACAACTAGGGGGCCTGCATGGTTTATGGTAAGAATTGATGGTGTGTTTTGATGCCCTTGAAAGGATTGTACACTGAGTTGACTAAGGATGTTGAAGCAGTGGATATTTGTTGGTGCATATGTTATAAGAATATTGTCTTCAGGTGACCACAAACAATAGATAGTGCCCTTTTCAGATTTAAGGGTACACTCTAGTATGCCTGATGCTGTAGATCGAACACATATTTGACCATGGTCATCAAGTGATGAAAATCTGTTGCTCTTCACAGAAAAGGCAACATCAATCACATGACTCTGATGCCAGCCCACACAGTTCCTAACAAGGTCACCAGTCTGAACATCCCAGAGTCTGACTCCTTTATCACCCCAAGATGAGAGTAAATAGATATTGTCACCTGAAAATGCAATTGCTTTAGGGCTCAAGCCAGAAAGGATCATTGTAGCCAAACAGGCACCAGTTGCTGCATGGAAAATTTGTATTGAGTGGTCACCAGATGTTGCAATAAGACTTCCATCTTGAGAAAAAATAACTGAGGAAAGTTTTGATGACTTTGTTTTAATAGTCCTGAAGGTAGTTTCCCAGTCCTCATCTAGACCTAATTTCACATGTACTTCTTCTGTGAGCAAATTGTGGTGATGTTGCTTAAGCAAACTCTTAGTGGGGCAGAAAGGCAATGCAGAGTAGTAAAGATGCAGTGCAGATTCTTGAATAGCATCAAAGTATTTCAGAACAAAATTCTGTGCATCAACTATCCATGCCACCAACTCATTAGCTCCAGCCTGAAACAAAGAATTAGAATAGAAGACAGTAGTGTTATTATTGTAACTTACATGGTGAAGCCATGTTTGCAATTCTTTCAGACTGTAGACAACTCTTCCCAAATCACCTACAAGGCTCATTACTTCAAACCAGAATATTTGATAATCTCTCAAAAACTCTTTTGTAGAATCAAGCAGTAGATCATTGGATTTCTTAGTATAGCAAAGATGCTTGACCCAGAAGTGACAGGCATATTCCAAGGCATAGCTAACAGAGGCTCCCTTTACTTCAAAGGCAATGTCTTTATTCATAGTATATGGAGGAAGGTCACAGATGTTTCTCTTTAAATTTCTTTTCATCATCTCCAGACAGTGAATTGCCATATCAGCATGGTGAACTTCTATATCAAGATAAAACTTGGTATTCATGCATCTAGATGAATCTGTAATATAATCAGGAAATGATTTGTGATAAATCCTGATGAAGGCTGAATGTGAATCTGGAACCAGAAGAACAGAATGTAACAGCCTCAGAGATGCAGAAATATCATTGAAATCTCTCCCAAGGAGGTCAACCAAAGCTTCTTTAGTGAGAGGATTGTAAGCTGTCATAATACAGCCCCAAACTTGTCTTAAATGCAAGAAGTATGATGGGTCTGTGCTTATTGCTCCATATCCCCCTTCCAGTATCTTTGAATATAGCTCATCAATACCCCATTGTCCCTCATGGATATATGATGTTGGAGAAGATGTTACTAATGCCAGCTGTTTGATTGGTTCATGCCCAATGGATGTGATCAAAGAGACAGCTGTTGCTGCAAAATGAATAGACCTGCAGCTTTTTCAGTAAGAATTTTGATCTCATCATCTGAAGGCCAGGGAAATGGCAGTTCTAGATCACTCCAGTTTTTCACAAGCTCAGGAAGCCTGGTTCTGAAGTATAAAGTAATGTCCTGGTCCACCTGAGATTGTTCCACATCATGAAGAACAAATACAGTTGTTACAGGTTTCATGAGAGGCAGCCTAAATCCTTTCCTAATGGGTGCTTCAGGTCTGCCTGTGATCATAAATTTCACCAGAGGTATCTCATGGATGTATCTACCCAGCAAAGAGAGAATAGCTGATGCAGGTTCATCATCCTTACATTCATCAAAAGCATCAATAGCAATCGCAGTAGCCAACCTAGAAGCCTTTAAAGGTTCAATCAGAAGCTCCTTCAGTTGACTAGATAAAGACTCAAGAGTGCTGTGAGATCTAGACCTGAGAGTCTTTACAACATGAGCACGAAAAGCAGGAACCTGTGTAGCCAGCTGATATGACAGAGTAGGAAAGATGCAAAGTAAATCACTTTGATCAACAAAATCACGAGAACAGAAGAAGCTGGCACCAAGTTGTTTATCAGCAAAAGCTTGCTGACAGAAAGTATGTGCAATGGTAGTCTTTCCACTACCAGCATGGCCATTGAGCCAGTAGACTTGCTGATCTTGAGGATCTTAAGACCACTTCTCAAGCTGTAGGAGAACTTGGGTTCTAGTCCCATGAAGACAAGTCTTGCCTGGATCAGCTTCATAGCTGGCATTTTGGGCACAATAGAGAACTTGAATTTCATGAATTTCATCTGGGATTGTGACAAAAATCAGTGTCACCATGATATGACAACAAAAAATGGTAAGAACCCAATGCCTGTCAAAGAAATGAGCCTGTGATATGAATATCTCAGGTCTATGGAAAGCTCACAATATTTCTGATGTTCTGGTTATAGATATCTGACTGCAAGGCAACATAAATTTTGAGTGCTAACTTGAACCGAGAAAAACTCACCTGATATTCAATGATGGCATCACGAACCTCCTCTACAATCCCTGAAAGCAGGGCAGCCTCATCCCCAGCAGTCACATACTTGAGTAACCCATCCTCAGCTTGAATTTCCTTCAGGTGTTTACAGACATTTTCCAGCTTTCTGTGGTTGCAGACCATGGCACATAAAAATGAGTGATAATTGGTTCATTTGAAGATTATGGCTCTTACCTAGAAAGCTCAGTGTGCCTCTGATATCACTGTCTATATTACTATCTTTCAAAAACTTGCTGTGTAAAGACTTCAGCTGATGCATCAGTTTATCGACATCTTCTCGGTTTGTCAACCATTGCTGACGAACTTGTTAGCTTTGAAAAGTTTACGTGGAAGTTTCAATGACCCACCCAATGGTTGTTCAGCAGAAAAGTTAGACCACCTATGATGCTTTTGAGGGGAGGAAAGGCATCTGATGATTCCTTCGCAGCGGAAAGTAGTGTTCGCAAGTTCAGTTCAGTCCGGTTTTTTGCCCCCAAAATGCGCAACCGTGGACCGCAACCAGTCTAGGACCAACCCAGATATTGAGGGAACCGAACCGAACCACCTAGGACCGGTCTTTTGCAGTCTATGGAGCCAGTTCAGACCGATCCAGACCGGTTTTTTTTGCGTATAATTTATTATACCAATATAAACCATTTGTATCTCGACTATTATTACTCTGAAAAATAAACGGGTTATATAAAATAGTAAAGCATGTAAATACCCGTCATTCTACCAATTTTGAAGAGATTTAATGAAGATTTGACATAGCTATGACTGAAACCGAATTACATCTCGTAGAGACTTGGGTAAAATATGGATTTGGTTATATCTTTCTCAATTCTTAACCGTTTTTGATGAAACAAAAACCCAATAAAAGGTAATAAACGTGGTTACAAGGGTATGTAGCGCACGTAACCGTTTAACCGGTTGCAACCGATCAAAACCGGTCTTTGAACGGTTTTAATATATTTTCGAAATAAGGCAACCAGCAACCAGACCAACCCCAAATTGGGGCAACTGCAACCGAAAAAAAGACTGGACCATGGTCCAGTTCAGTTCGGTCCACCAGTTTTTTGTGGTCCTATGGACTGAACCTTTAAACACTAGCAGAAAGGGCAAACATAGCAACACTGAGCACAGATTTCTGTTTCGAGGATTTGTTGGGATCGTTTGGTGGAGTGGGGGGCTGCTGGCTGCCCTTGGAGCTTGCAGATGGCTGGAATATCTTTCTCAAAGACATAGAGGTTTTGTCGTTGTGGTGAAGATCAAGATGCTTCTTGCATGAGTTTCCCAAGACCTTCCATACATCACAGCCTCGCTGCTGTTTCCGGCCTGCTCCATCAAGCTCCACCACAACCAAGTATATGGCATGGCAGTGATGACACTTGGACGACACAGCCTTTGGATTTCCGTTCTGTCGAGTGGTGATACCTATGCCTCCTGAACATACCTTTCTTTCATTTTCATGAACTTCCAACAACCGATCACAGGGAGAATTGCAGACCTTGGTACGTCCGCTGAATCAGTATTTTGTCCTCTTTTTTACTGTTAAATATCAGAGACTGGTAGTAATTGGGAAGGCACAGGTAGTGGCACTATGTGCTACTTCAGCTTAGAAAGCATTTGTGGATTGTACACCTCACTCTCACTAACTTGGTCTATGAACATGAATCTGATCTTGTTCAACAGCCTTCTTTCTCTGAGTCACTGATTACACAGAAAATGACTGGTATGAGATTGTAGACTCGCCTCTCATTGGATTTCTGAAATGCTTGATACAGGGTGAGAGAATAGCTCTCTGGGGTTCGCTCCCGCATATCAACATACTTTACATTGATCAATCAATTTATTAAAACAGCGGGTGGACCAAATCAGCAAAACAAATGTAGCCCTCTGCCCAAAGAGCCACGTTATCGGGTAAAATTGATGAAATCCTTTCAGGCGATGACCCCGTCATCTGCCCATCTGGTGTGAACACAGCACAGTGTTTCAGTCAGGCGAGGCAAACTCTGTCACGGTCTTACACATCCATCATCCACACTCTAAATGATGATTCAGAGGGGTGTTCTCAGATGTCTCTTTTAGTGATGTGCAGGCCCGGCTTGGCCTGAAAGCCACGGCTATGGCCCGGCTTTGCACGGCTCAGGCTTGTCCAATTTCAAGCCTGAGCTTTTTGCAAGGCTTTAGGCTGGCTCAGGCCTGGCTCAGGCTCAGGCCACGGCTCATGGGCTAAAGTTGAAAAACATGAACAAACAATCAGCTACTCTTGAAACGATGTCGCTTTTTATGTGTCTTGGAAACTTACTCACCTTTTGAACATGGATATGACTAGTTCGTTGGAGTATGAGTCAAGAAAATCAATGTTATCAACCCCAATGCTGTAAGACTAAATAATTAGCACAACCATATCACAACCATATCACACTTACAACTTTTTAGCATAAAGATCACAGTAGAATCTGAGTCATTCCCCATCATAAACCTCAGGCCTCAGCGATAAGACGATATGTCCCCTCTATCACCAACTTTCTTTTGCACTCCTGATTATGCACCCTACAGTTCACCTCGCATGTGACCCAGAGACGTTTCAGCATGATGACCGATGATGTATCTTGACAATCTTGCCACCAAACACCCTGAAATGCTAGGGGCCACTCTTCTCAACAATTCTCAACAACTTAATCACATCAATTTTACCTCTCCAAAGCAAGGTCCTGCCAACCTTTGAGGCCATGGCTCAGGCCACGGCTCAAGGCTTCATGTATTATGAGCCTGAGCCTTGGGCTTTCCTGGGCTTTGACGACGGCCCAAGAAGGCCCGGCTTTGGGAAGGCTGGCCCTGGCTGGCTTACGGCTTTGGGCCGAGCCTGGCACATCACTAGTCTCTTTGGAGTGACCCTTCCACAACTGTGACAGAGTCCAGATAACCTGACTCCCAGTGGCCCTACAGTTTCCCCGCTGCTAAAGTTGTCGAGTTCTTTTAGGACTGTGAAAAGATGCCTCACATTCCTGTGAAGACGATTTTCGGAAACCGTTTTCCAAAGGAGTCCTTTCATCTTCCCACCTGCAACGAGGAGAGACTCCGAGAGAGTGAAGTGGCGGAAGGTGAAGGAGTTGCTTTGCCATAACACCTCCAAAATATTGGCTAGTTTTCGTTGAGTTTTCGTGGAGCGTGGTCCTCGTTTTTGCGAAAGCTCTTGAAGTTGTGCAGTCACATGTTGACCTAGCGTTCACTCATATCTTACGCCATCTCCTTCATAGATATGGTCAGATCATCAATACAGCTTGGGCTACATGCATTTGACAGGATGGTAATATTTTCTTCTGCTAGGATGCAGCACATCCGTCAGCGAGAATAACGACGATGTTTCGGCACGTCATGATTGAGGAAAGTGCCTATGCTCCTTCCCAGTAAAGCTCCTTACGCCACGTCATTTTCAACGGCTTGCATACGACCTCAAATGGGTGCTCGCGCCAGCACACACGAAGTTCAATATTCCGTCGCAAGCCAGGAACTCGGGGCATCTTTTCAACGATAAAACAGGAGTGTCATCCTCGCTGGACATCGTTCTCGGAGTGCACTTGCGCCTAGTTACTCGTCCAGGGCTCGGACATGCCTTAGTAGCAACTGCCAGTGGATCCGATAGGCTACATCGTGTACTACTCGCACAGCGGCTGCAGTACGCAGGATATTCTGTCCTCGAGGATACCCTCGAACCGGAACTCGTCTCGACAAGCTTGCTAGGACCGGCTCTCTGCACTTCAAGTCCAGATCGTTGCGGAAGTGACGTAGGCGAAGCTCCAAACTCAAATAGTAACATACCTCCGAGGTGTACTCGTGGGCTGGTGTGATATGGCATGTGGTGAGTAAGTATTGATACCCGTCATCCTCGTAATGCTTTCCTCTTTAATTTTTATATATTCTAGCGTATAGTCAAGCGCTGATGAAGAGGGAAGGTCTTGACGCGATATCAACGACGGAAACGTGGTTTTGACTTCACGGGATGATAGCACTTGACGAGGACCTGCGGCCATGCATTAGAGTAGGCTTTGCGAACCAGCCACTGATTATGGCTGCGTTGTTGAGACTCTGGCCTGGACTGAGGTTGCACGAATACGATCTCCTCGTGAAAGTAGGGTTACAAAGGCGTGGAGGGCACACCTGGTCTTACAATACGAGCTCGGCTTCGAGTCCCTTCCTTCGTGTTTGTGTACCCCAAGGCGGGCCCTTGAATAAGATTAGTGGAAGCAGAGATTACGTCGTTTTGCCGCCAAATGTTGTGGACGCGTCTGTTCACATGACGGGCCTGCACGATCACCTGACCAGGGTGGCAGTTGAAAAATGCCGCGTTGTTTTGGCGTGTCGTTCTTCTGACTGCTCTTGACTCTTTTTTACTCTGCTACATTGCTATTATACCCTCGTCGCTGTCGACCATGTTCAATAGCCCCAAAACACCCTCTCGTCATCGTTCTCGCTCAGAGGCAAAGACACCTTTGACGCCGTCATTGACAGCAGCCATGAATGGCGTCTCACTCGCTTCTTCTCCTCCCAAACGTTCTCGAGCAAAGTCGAGCTCAAAGTCGTCCACCACGACGCCGTTCAAAGTGACGAACCCTTTCATTGCCCCTCCTTCCTCGCGGTCACGCCCAACGTCACCGGTCAAGAGGACATCGGGTGGCATCCCCGTTTCTGATTCGTTTAGAAGCCAGGCGGGCGGGGGTGTGATAAGAAAGGGGGGTGTGGAAAGTCGGCTGGACGTTGTGACGAACGACTACGTCCCACCCCCAAAACCAGAGATCAAGCGATCCAAGTCTACCCCTGCAGTGGTAAGTCACCCAAAGGGCTCTTACACCCCTTCTAAAGCTGACCCCTCTCGTTGCAGAATCGTGCAGGTCTCGATCAAAGAGATCGCTTTATAACCCAACGCGAGTCAACCGACATCGCCGCCGTCTCCGCCACCCTCGAACAGCTCTCACTCAATCCCCAATCCGCTTCCCCAGGGCACACCGCCCGATTGGCCGCAGCCACCGGAGTACCCTTGAACCGCCGCATTCTGGGCTATCACGAACAACCCCCCTCCGCGTCTTCCTCTGATACCACCCTAGCCCAGCAACGCGAGTTTGCGAGGCCGCTTTACGCTCAAAGGCCTGGTGCGATCGCTACCTCTACTGGAGCTACGACGAACAAGACGAGGAAGATTCCTACACAGCCGGAGAGGGTGCTCGATGCTCCGGGTATGGTGGATGACTTTTATCTCAACCTTCTCAGTTGGTCGTGTCAGAACGCAGTGGCCGTCGCCCTTGAAGCATCCACCTACATCTGGAAAGCAGACACCGGCTCCGTCGTCCAGCTGGGCGAGGCACCCGAGGGCTCGTACGTATCCAGCGTCGACTTTTCCAACGACGGCGCGTTTTTGGGGGTTGGGAATGGGAATGGGGAGGTTGAGCTTTGGGATGTGGAGTCTGGGCAGAAGCTGCGCACGATGAGTGGGCATCAGGGGCAGATTGCTACGCTTTCGTGGCATGAGCATATTTTGAGCTCTGGGTGTGGAGATGGGAGTATTTGGCATCACGATGTGAGGATGCCAAGGCATAAGGTTATGGAGCTGCTTGGACACACGGGGGAGGTGTGTGGGTTGAAGTGGAGGAGTGATGGCGAGCTTTTGGCTAGTGGTGGGAATGATAATGTTGTTAATATTTGGGATGGGCGGTTGGGTGATGTGGGTGAGGGTGCGAGGGGGAGTGCAAAGTGGACGAAGAGGAACCATACAGCTGCTGTTAAGGTGGGGTTGACCACAAGATGTTTGGAACGAAGGCTGACCTTGAACAATGTAGGCAATTGGATGGTGTCCTTGGCAACTCTCACTGCTTGCCTCGGGTGGAGGTACTAACGACGCTACGATCAACGTATGGAACAGCACCACCGGCGCACGTCTACACACCCTCCGCACCCCATCCCAAATCACCTCCGTCCAATGGTCCCCACATCGCAAGGAACTCCTCACCACCCACGGGTACCCCACCAACTCGATCATGCTGCACGCCTACCCTAGCATGGAGCGCGTCGCGGAGATTCGGGACGCCCATGAGTCGAGGGTGCTTTTCAGCTGTTTGAGTCCTGCGGGCGACGTCGTTTGCACGGGCGCTGGGGATGAGAATTTGAAGTTTTGGAGGGTGTGGGACGTGCCGACTGAGACGAGCGGGAAGAAGAAGAAGAAGGCGGGTGTGGATGATGTTGGTGGTGGGAGGTTGAATTCGACCAAGGAGGGGATTTTGAGCATCCGTTGAGTTGGGTTGGATGGAAGGATTGGTATTTACAGACATACCTACCTACTATTTATTCTAAGGACTATGTAAATTGCTTTGTCGTTTCGTGAAAGTGATATACATGGTTTTCTTCCTGGTACTACAGTATATACGTGAAAGTCGTGTATGAATAAGTTATGCCTGGTATCTTCAGAAGGTCGGAGTCTGGCGACACCAACGGTATTGGGAATGCGCGGAGCTTCTATCTGCGTGGGTGTGCGAGGTACTTGAGGTTTATAGTGAGAGTCTAGGGGTGTCGTACTGCTGTGATGTTGTTCAAGTTGTCGTTTTGATAAAGTCTCCTCCCTCTCCGGGTCTACTTAATCAGTGTGATAATGATGTCAAGTAAGCGAGCTGGTCCGAGTCGGAGTAGAACACCGACGTGAACTGCTGTAGCTCTGACACGTCGGAGGACCGTTGGTGTTGTGGCCCGAGTCGACGCATATTCATTATCACACGACAGCCCTATACAGTTAAATGTCACTGAGTTTGGAAGGGCCAAGGAAGTAGATGGCGTACCACGATTGAGAGGAGGGAGACGTACCACCTAAATCAGGTGGTTGTTAGTTTGCTTTTTCTTTTTTGCCTTGGGATGGAGGAAGGAAGACGTACGAAAAGATAGCGTTCCATTTCAAGACTTCCATGTTCTGGGCAATCTCAAAGGTGATTATGAGTGTTACCACAACTTGGGAGGACGATAAGACACGTGAAAATGGATAACGGTCATAGTGCTCACCAATGAGGAGAGCGAAGACGATGACACCATCACGCAACATGAGCGATACGAGCGGCGTTCTCCCCCATCCCAATTTTCGGCCGAGAATGACTTTACTGACGGTCATGAAGAGGAGGGTGCTTTGCACCAAACCGACGCCGGCCCTTAATTAAATTTAAATGAGTCTTTGAGCGAAGGAGTTTGAAAGTGAGCCCAACGTACGCGAAAAGGGCAAGGGCAAGTCGTTCGTAAGGCGGTGGCATGCAGATGTTGTTTGGACTGTCAATGACGGACTTGATGACTCTAATATCGCTCGTTACCTCTAGCGCGAAGCCAGTGATAAATACCAGCCCTAATAGAATCCCAGATTTCCGGCTACGGTTGTAGAGCGCGTGCACTAAGAACTGGGTTTCAGATGAGTAATTACATATAATGGGCTTGGCTTACCGCGGACTAGGAGTATCAGCTCGACGCAGGTTGTTGCAATTTGGGCGGTAACTGCTTTGGTTATGAAACCCATAAGGCAGGTGTGGTCGTGGGCGGAAGGAGATTGTGCTATTTCCATGAAAACGAGGTTGACGCTGGAGTGGTGGTGGCGGTCAGGAGGAGTTGGAGGAGGGAAATCGTGATGAGGGGTTTCTTACATCTGCGCGATGAGGGGGAAGTAGCGCGACCATGCGTATAGGTAGGTGACGAAAGATATCCGACCGCTGGATGAATGGATGAATGGACTATGGTGTTGCGGAGAAAGGGGGTTTACGAACTGCCATATGTATTCGACCTCGTCGGCAAAGCAATGGAAGAATTCCATGATTTGGGTAGCTAGCGCACCAACTTGAAGAGGAGAGAATTGTGTCAGTAGTGGCAGAAGTCATCATGAGGGGCTCACAACAACTTACTGCAAGCCCCCTTCGTCACCCAAATCAGCCAGAAGTGGGGTTCTTGTACCATTTGGATTGACGACATAGATCCAAGGATGGGGAGATGCGGAGGAAGCAAAGGATCGTCGGGTACAGTTTATATTCAAAGCACATCCATCTGAGGACTGATATGTATTTTCGATGATACTTACGCCCTGCGGTTCAAGAGGGAAAGGATCGGCGTCACGCTTATCGCGCGATTTGCCGTGAATCGTGACACATATGTATTCTTGTCAAAACTTCAGGGACGCCCTAGATTTAGGTCAATTCATTTTTTTTAAAAAACAAGGTAAATTTTTGGAAATTCACACACGTTGATATTCTACGCTTGGAACAATATTTCGTATGAGTATTCCGAATCCTAACCTGCTTGGTCCCTCCATTGGCTTTGCTTTGGACGTTACTTCACCAGTTTGCGTTTTTTGAACTCGTTGCAATTATTTGCATTGCTCCTGACTCTGAGCGCAAATCACTACATAACAAATAACGTTTACTGAGTTTCTTTGAATGTTGATCCGGCTGTGCCGCTGTGCGCATCGACTCAAAGATGCCGGCGTCACCGACGCCCGCTTCAATCTTTCACCATCGTTTCGAATTCGGGGCCCGGGGTTTCAAAGTTTCAAGCACACGGAAGTATCAGTCAGAGAGGCCATCCGCTGGCAAAAACCGGATTACTTACTTACTCTGCAATGAAGTATGAAATAAGTAACCCCCAGGGTTCTGAAAGTTGCTGACCGTACGACTCTACGGGAGGCCCCCATCATTGGCTACAAATTTCTAAACTAGAAGGTGTCTAGACCTTTCCTCTGTGCTGTGATATCGACGAACTATACGGCATAGATGGCGTTAGAGCGACTTGTAAAATTTACTCCTCTCATTAGAAACGAAACCCACAAAGCTCAGTTCCTGAGTCACCTCCGCCGATTCTTTTTCCATGGTCGATTTATTGCAGTGCTAAGCACCAACAAGGCACAAAGCACTCCGCAACATATCGCGGAAAGTGCGTGCGACTCTTTGCGGGCCCGCGTCTCAGCACTGAGTACTGAATACCAATGGCGACCCGAGAAAATCGGTATGAAGGTTCGCGTTTTGTCGTAAGTATGTATGAGCAAGTGACGTAGAGTGACGCACCTACAGGTATCAGGAGCCGAGGGTTTTGCCGGAAGCACTGCTCCCCAGGGCCACTACGCGGATGCAGTGTTGGTAGATCAGGGATTGAGACGGAAGAGGGATAGACTCTCCGACTCGGGAGCGGGGACTCGGGGTCACTCGGCCTCTTCCCCAAGCTCCCAGACAACATTATCGCATCGCACTTTGTACCAAGCTTTTCATTATCACTCCGATTTGACGCTAAAACTTCTGAAGGACGAAAGTAAGGCGCATTATCAAATAAATATCTTGCACTACAGCCGTTTGCATAATTCCGTGAACGCCGAAAATTCTTTTTTTGGGCGTGACGTGACTTACCTGGCCAAAAAAGACATTTTCCCGCGTTCTGATAACTGTGCCAACGGCTCAAAATGAAGTGAAGAGTTACATTCATGACACCTTCGCTACCTGAAGATCTGGTGCTACATACTTATGGTGGCTTAGTGCATTGGAGAGGGGTTAAATAAAGACCTGGCCCACTTTTTTATCAGGCTTGTTTGAAAAGTCATGCACAAAGGCTGAGAACATGGCAAAATATAACTAATCCTTTGACAAAAGGACCAGTATGCCTTCCATAATTGAGGAGGGATATTTTTTATACATTTCCGCCGGTCGAGACGCGAAAGAACGAGGCGCAGGACCGTCTGAACTTCTGAAAAGAGCAAGGGAAAGCTGTGCTTAGTCAGGTGACTAGTCACGTCACGCCTTGGTCACGCCCAGAAAAAGAATTTTCGGTGTTCACGGAATTATGCAAACGGCTGTAACCTACCCGTCGGTGTGTTTAATTTGAATGGAGCCACCAACGTAGGAACTTCTCTTGGAAGCCGGAGTAAGTACATAAGAATTTTGCAGTGGGCTCGCCAATTAAAAAAAAATTACCCACGACTTGCCCACGACAATAAAACCGACATTTAATCCAACTCCTTTATCCTTTTCTTGACTTGATATCAAGGCGGACGCTACGGTAAAGTCTGCATCTTGGACTCCCGTTGGCCTTTGGTTGAGCTTACTAAGTAGTTGCGAGTTGAGTGTGAGTGATGAAAACAGCCTTTGTTTGCCGAAATCTTCCGAACCAAATATGTAGGTCATTTAGCATTTGCTCTCGACGTTGACAAGCCACTCAACACCTCCTCCGCCACGGATGCTTCGTGGCAATATGTCCAAACGTTACAATGCGACCATACAACCACGAGCCGAGCGCAAGTTGTGACATGTTAATCCTCTGACCAATATCAACCTCGTTGGCCAATCGTCGGCAATGGGAGCGAGCCTTAGAAGGCGCCTACTAATCAAGCCACCATGGCAGGCAATGGCTACTTTTTTCTCTCTCTCGGTGAGTTGATTTGCTTAGTCGTGGGCTTTGTTAAGATAGATTCTAATCTAATGATTAGACTGTCTCATGGAGACGATCCCGGTGCCTTTACTTAGTCACGGACAGTCTCAACAGTGCACTTGAATTAAGTGTTTTGCCACACCTTTGGCCGCGTCGTGCCTTCGCCTCCATCTCACCTGCTACGGAAAGATGATGTCTATTTCACAATTATCTTGCATCCCAAAGATAGCTCTGCAAGATACCGCAGTGCGCTCTTGAGCGATGTTAATCGCTTCGAGGGCAAAGTCTTGAATGGAGGACCGCGGACTGCACGGATGGAGGCGGAGGTAACTGAGGGATTGTCACTGTGATGCTGGTCGCGGGGAGGAACTTTCCGGTGTGAAGAATCCGAAGACCTCATTTTCCCTTGTTCAAGTGCCCTTCGACCGACGGGCTTGACGCGTCTGCACATACCCTTAGTATCAGTATTGCATTAATTTTTTGGTACGCCCTAGCCACTCGCAAGGCCCAGTCAAATGATGACCTCGTCTCCAGCTCCCTCCTCACCACGATACTGTCGCCAGCTATGTTGTGTGTGCATGCCGCCGCTTGTAAGAAGAGCCGACGTTTTTGGATGTTTGGCACCATGGTCCACTTTATAAGGGCTTCCACTTCCAGCAACGAGCTCATCGACGACTTCGGCGGCAATGTCTTACGGTTACGCATTTATAGGGAAGCACACAAGAATATACATTCCATCATCTGACACTTCACCTTCGCAAAACCTGAAAACCTGGGGCAAGCTCATTTAATTCGGATATCTAGCCGCCGGCTCACGTTTTCTTCACAAGATATACGCTTGAAGCATATGCGATGATCACTCAGATGGTCCCTCTCTTTGGCAAAGTGCACCTCCTTTGCCTGATGCCTTCGACATCAAATTTTCCCTTCCGAATCCATCGCAGACAACAATAGGTTGCAGAAGTCTCCGTATCGTCTTTTGTCCACGAAGTCGCGAAATTCGCCTTTCTCTAACGCTATAGTGCTGTCTTCTCTCATTTCCGTTTTGAAAGGTTTGTCTCAACTGTGATTACTATAGCTGTACTCAGGCGGGTCTGATGTACCGGTGTTCTACATTCAGGACTGCCATTTATCTCTGGGGGAGCCTTCTCCCGGCACGAGTGCGTCTGTAGACGTAAAGCCTCTCCAACGATATGGACGTTGCGCACACCTGGCGGTCCAATCATCTGAGTCCACACCTTCTTGCACTATTTTTCTGCGCCAACTCTGGCGTTTTTGATCAGGAAATGTGGCGAGCTCGATATTTCTACTTTTCGGTTAGTTTTGGTTTTAGCCGAGGCGATAACCTGAGTCTAACAGGCTTTAAGCTGGGCGGATACAAAAAGCTAGCAGTGCGTCCCAAATTGTGACATCCGGCACGTAGTGAGTCCAGGTCAGAATTCGGTGTTTACCTCGGAGCACATGCAGCGAGTTGCAGGTCGAATTCCTCAAGGTTTGTCCGTGGTATCTTTCCCTCGTCGTCTCCAAGACGTTTCGGAGAAATTCATTTAGGGTTTTATGTGTACGCGTCTCACCACAGCAATGCTACAGACATGGACATGAACCAAGTTTTCAAATTCTTTATTCATGTCCATTTTCGGTACTTCAAGAAGTTTCGATGAAGCTTAACCTAGAGGCCTGCTATTCCTGCTATCCTAAACTGATGCTACATGCGTCAGCATCATGGCTACAAAATCCGCAAGGCATGCAGAGAGAGGTGGCTGAAGCAACGATATTCTTTTGGGCCATAATCAAAGGTTTCCACCTTGTGGGTAATTATTACGTACAGGCTGTCCACCTCACCACCAACTTTCTTCTCGTTCCGTTGCGGATTCGAGTCAATTAGCCTAGGAACGCTATTCTTAATCTGGTTTGCCCCTTGTACAAAAGACGCTTCCAGAATCCTGGCCATATCAAGGCTTTCTGTCCTTTTTCGTCTAGATTTACCAAGGAGCAGGCAGTACAGGCATCTATCAAAAGGACGAAACGTGTATTCCAACCCAATCCCAAGCAGATCCAGGACGGGAGAGGGGAACGTGTCCTGATTCCAGACCACATCCAATGTGGACTTCATATTGAAACTGCATCGTTTCCCAACACCGCGATGCGACTTCGGGTGTAAGGTATCCATCGCTTGCGACCCCTTCGGCCTCCCTGTATCATGTTTATCTCGAACGTACCGATCATACTACACCGTGGTTCTAAGGGGAACTGAAATTACATTAGCCATTGGCGCAGGCTTTTTGGTGGTGGAATGTGGCGACGGGTCCAAGAACATGTCTTTTAGCCTTCTTGCTTCTGAATGTGGGTTCAAGGTTTAGATTTCTCTGGTCAAAAATACTTACTTTTGAACAAGAGGTAAGAAATTTGTGACTCGCCAGCACAAACATACCAGAGGTACAAACCGGCGAACATCTCAAAATTGCCTCATCACAGTTCAGACTCAAGGGGCGAACATACCTACATTTCGCACCAATTGGGCCGTATCAACCCGATCGAATCCCGCCGATTGATTCGTGTTCTTAATTTAAGCTAACACCAAGAGGTAATTAATGTCACGATCTTGAGGGTGCACCTTCCGCACTTCTTCGTCGGATATCCTCCCTTCTCGCGTCGGTATATATAAGTCTTGGGATGAACCGCTAGACCCCCATTATCGTCTTCCTCTACGCTCAACATCTCATCCATCAACTATCACCCAACCACCCGACATCGGCATGTCCGAAGTCGCAAGTCGGTCTTCGAATGCGCGTGGCTCTTCGCTCTCTCCCTCTAAATTCGATGCGGAAAAACGGCCGGACGCATCTACAGAGTCGGGTACGGAAGGTGTTGAAACTAAACCTTCATTGGAGGGAGGGAGAGACGCCTGGAAAACGGTCATTGGAACGTGAGTGGACTCCGCCTTTCGTGCACCTCTGTTGAATATATAGTGCGTCAGATGGTTGATACAATTTTGCACATACGGGTACGGTTTCTATCTATCACAATCTGGACAGTACTGATGTTATCCTGCTAGCTATATTTCAGCTTTTGGGGTCTTCCAGGACTATTACACGAGAACCTTTTTGAGTGAGTACAGCGCGTCCGATATAAGGTGAGGGTACCTAGTCAACGTCCTATGGGTTTTCAACTCATCTGGCCTTTTACGTCCGGGAAGCTGGATTGGAAGTTTTCAACTTTTTATGCAGTATGGTCCGGGGCTTCTCGTTGGGATCGCTTTCGATGCGGGATATTTGTACGCTCGCAATCATCTCATCTGCTCTTCTAATCACTGATGTATGTATATTTAGCCGCTCGATGATGACGCTGGGTACGCTACTGCAAGTAGTGTCAATGCTCATGCTGTCTCTCTCTCATCGACAGAAATACTACCAGGTTTATTAGTTCTCTGATTTTACATTGAATAATTCTCAATGTTCTAAAAGGTCTTTCTGACGCAAGCCTTTGGTATGGGGCTTGGTCAATCGCTTCTATTTCTCCCTTCTCTGACAATAATCGGTCAACATTATCAACGCCGTAGGGCATTAGCGACTGGTATTGCCGTTTCTGTTAGTACTTTCCTCTTCAAATGTGATTAAGTACGCCGATCATTATGCAATTCAAGGGAGCATCTTTCGGCGGCGTTGCTTGGCCAATCATCCTTAATACATTGATGGGTCGCCTCGGCTTCGCTAACGCGGTCCGTGTCACCGGAGGCATGGTTGCAGCTCTTCTAATTACGGCGAACGCGATCATGAAAACGAAATACTCTGACGAGCGAAAAGAAGTGAACATCTGCTGGATGAAATTGAAAACTATCTTGCAAGACTCGGCATATCTGCTTTCCGTTGCGTCGTACGTGAGATCTTGAGATCTTGTTATGCATTGGATAACTCGCAACATCGATTGGTATAGCGCGTTCTCCATCAATCTTGGATTGTTCTTCCCGTGTAAGCTGCATTGTACCATTACAGTATCACGACTCACTTCCAGTTGGGTGTTAGATTTTTATCTCCAACTGTTTTCCATTGATCAGGGGATTTCTAGTGGCCTTGCATTTTATTCGGTGAGTTTTGCAACTTGACCTTATCGTGTCCAATCATTTCTTGTATCCTAGATAACCCTGTTGAATGCTGGAAGTGTACTTGGCCGCATCTTCCCAAATTTCTTTGCCGATAGATGTGGAACGTATAACATTCTTCTGCCTTGCCTCTTCATCTCGTCTGCATTGGCATTCAGTATGTTTGCAATCACAAATTTCACAGGGATGGCCGTTTTTGGGGTCCTCTACGGATTTTGGTCAGGATCATGCAAGTAGCGCACCAACAACACGCGCATCCTTATTCTTGTTGACTATAATAAATTTTCGCAGATGTTTCTTTAATCCCTTCTCTGTTAGCCCAGCTAAGTTTACACGCTGGCGAACACGGGTGTGTTAACGCGACAGTTGAATCACTAGCTCATATCATCTGATGCGCATTGCCTCCCAGGACGCGAATGGGAATCGCTTTCTCTATTGTTGGGATATCTCTGCTTGTAGGGACTCCACTTGAAGGAGGGTTGTTACGAGGCGAGTCTGGGACAAACTACACCTGGTATAGATCTATCATATTTTGCGGGGTATGTGTTCCTTCAATATCAGTATTGAATCTAATCCTTGGGCTTCTGTAGGCCGCGGTTCTGATTGGCGCTGTCGGAATGACAGCTTCAAGGCATTTATTCATTCAACAAAATCGAGGACACCCAGGCCGCCTTCGGCGCGTTTGATATTTCCTCTCCAGAGGCCAAACAACGAGTCTGCAGTCCAACCGATTCGTGTATCCGTATCCTGCCCCAAAAGCGAACGACCTACTAGATACCTAAAAATCTGTATTAGGAGTGTGAACTCTTGATTTAACACTTTGTATAAGCACCCTTGCATATCTATTCTTCTGGAATGCGTTGCGAAGAAACTGTAGGGCTGGGCGTCAAAAGAATAGAAACATAGGGTTCTTTTGGGAACGACTTACGTAATAAAGCGAGGGTTGCTTGAACCGAAATTTGATCCGAACCTGAAGCGAGTTGCACAACGCCCAGCTGGGAACCGACATAAAACACAGGTCTCGACCCTCGATGCCTCATAGCCATCACTCTCATTCTGGCCAATTTTGCAAGCATGCTTCTGGTTCTTTGGAAGAGGTCGTGCTGGAAGCTATCCGTCAGCAGTTCCAACTCTATGGTTTGACGGAGCACGTTCCCCGATATCGTTTGGTCGATCTATATCCAGAAGAGGTATACTTCTCGTTATCTCTCGCCGAAACGCCCAATTCATGTTTGAATCTTCTCAATCAACAAGGCAGGAGAGACAACGGATAGTCTTGCGAAACAATTTGAGAAATTCTTAGTTGAAGCCCACCGTTTGAAGACTCACTACGCTTCACAAATTACCATTTTGGTGGGGCTCGAGACTGAATACATTACTGGTCAAGATCTCGATGGCCTGGATTCACTTCTTCAGAAGTTTGGGGACCGCGTGGAATATGTCGTTGGGTCCGTTCATCATGTCGACGGTATCCCCATCGATTTCGACCAAATTACCTATGAACGAGCGCTGCATAACTTCGGAGATGGTGAGACAAATGCCCAGGAAGTTTTCTTATCAACGTACTTCGATGCGCAGTATCAATTGCTTCAACGATTCAAGCCGGAGATAGTTGGCCACTTTGATCTTTGCCGACTCTACACACCCGATTTGCGATTTCTAGAGTATCCTTCTGTCTGGGAGAAGATAACTCGCAATGTGGAATATGCAATCGGATACGGAGCTCTCTTTGAGACGAACGCCGCAGCCTTTAGGAAGGGGTGGGAGACTGCCTACCCGGGCAAAGATATCGTACAGGCAAGTCAAACGGCTCTCGTAAAAGCGTAGACTGAGTAGCACCTTAGCTTATTTTGAATTGCGGAGGGCGTTTCGCGCTATCAGATGATAGTCACGGACCGCGGTTTGTTGGACTCAATTACCATCGCCTCCTTGATTATCTACATGCACAAGGCGTCACCGATATCTGGCTTCTTCAACCCTCAAAAACTCCTAATGCCGCTGGAAGAAGCATACGGCCTGTCAAATTTGAGGGAGAATGGTTAGGACACGAATTTTGGCACGGAAGGTCGACACAAGCCTGATGCTGATGTAGTCAAATTCAAGATAAGGAAACAATTTATTCTTGTTTCACGGTTGTGGGGATGAGGCATTTTCATTGGATTTCTTGTGTTGACCCAAACCCTTTCCAAGGAATTGGCATTTTCTGTCATTCATTAAACAGAAAAAGGACCCTTGAAAGTTCACGCGACGGTAGCTCTATTCGGGCTCACCGTAGGCTTCTAGCGAGTTCGGCTACCAGTTTTGAGCCAGCTGGAGCCTCGATCCCAGCTTGATCCCAGCTAGCATATAATTCTGTTTTGGGGAGGTACTTTGGAGGTACTTAATCTTTTGGGCAGGAAAACCCAAATGGTGACGCACTATGTAAGTGCGCCCTTACCAAACTTCTCAATGACATGTTCTAGTTTCGCGCCAATTCCGTCTGTTCACATGGCGCATGATACCACAAACATTCTACATATGTAATTATTGTGAGTTCTCACCCATCGTATCGACTGACATTGCTTGTGTCGTTTTTCATTTTCTAAGCTGTCGACGCACCAAGCTGACTGTCAAGTTTCGCGACGTCTTCCCATTATAGAAATCTGTAATGCGTATGGACGTCGTCCCGATGTCATATCAATTAGGATGACGGTTTGATCTTCTTTACCCTGAAACCGATGGATCCCTCAAAAGATCACAATTTAACCTCGTGTTTGGGCGACGAGAACACGCTAGGCCGATATACCGAGCCGTGTAAGCCATACCCGTCTGGGAAGCAGTCGTATTCAATGTCTTTCGGTCCATACAGGTCTGGATGATCTCTTTGCCATTTAAAAGCCGAGAACATGTTGAGGATTGACATTCCATTTTTTGCAGACAATCTGTTTATAACAGAATCAAGTGATTCGCGCTGAACGTTTCCTCGCTCGCTGCTGCCATGTGCTTCCGAAAGGTCCAATGCACTCGATATGCTTGCGGTCATGACACCCCCAACGCGGAAAGTCTGGTATGGTTTCTCTCGATGTTCGGGTGACTGTAATGGTGATTACTCCTTTCATTCTAGGTGGATTGTCGCTCCACTCGTTGCCGCTATAGCAAGGAGCACCCGGTGGGTTGCAAAACTTGCTCCACTTCGTGCAAACAGTGGTAAGTGCCTTTCTTCTTCCTTTTTCTGGTAATTCATCCGCCGCCCAGGTTGAGACCTGCCCAGACGGTTGTGTCTTTTCTATCGCCTCTCAACTGCATCCATTGCCGTCGTTAACTCACCCCTCAATTTTTGGCCAGTTCATTCGCCATCGGACTTCTGCGTTTCGTGTATGATTACTGATATATTTCCTCGCAGCATGGTCTAATTTATATCCTTTTTATTGTTCAACATTTATGACCATGCCCAGGACATCTAAATAATTTTACGCCTCAGATTTTCTGTTTACTACAAGTTGACTATGTTACTCTCTGTACGCGTGGTACATAATTTAGCGATCATTATGGACATAGATGGGAGGGTAACTGCCATTCCGCTGGTGGCGTACCCGGCCACGGGGCGGCGTCGACAATTTCTCCCACTGTCGCATTTTTTTTGGAAGGAAGCGCCTAGCTAGTACTAGTAGTGGGAGGCGCTCAGCTGTCAAAGTCACGACTCAGACTCAACTTCACCGTCATGTACACATTCACAACATTGTTAGGCCTCCTTTCTCCGTGCATCCTAAATTTCCCATTGATCATTCATCATGATGTAGTATCTTCCATTTTTCTCTTCTTTGTTTCGTAATTTCAATACTATCCATGTCGCGCACCCTCGGACCCACTGTTATGGAGGCCGCCACCTTGTTGACAGAACGAGGACTCGGACTCAGCGTAGGTTGTGTGCGTAACACTTTCATACTATCGTGAACCAAGGTACGACTTCACATAATATCGAAGTCTGTCTACGAGAGACTACGTAACACTGGCATGACAAAAGAAGCGACCCGGTGCTTTCATATACTCAAACGAGTCTCCAAGGGGCTCAACAAGTCCCTCTGTTAAGTACTTACTATGAGGTGGTGGAAAATTTATGGGTCCTGCCGTCATTCTCTATTAAAAATTGTAGTGTGAAAATCCACACTTCGCGGGGAACTAGAGCGATTTTTTCTATATCTATAGCGGCTCGGAGCTTCAAGGGCGTTGTTTTGTAGCCTATTGGAGTCTATTTCTCGGAACACATTTTATCGAGAACGTAATTGGAGGCCGTTCTGTTATTTAGAGCATTTTCCAACCGGCGGATGCCCCCCCCAACCCTATATCCGGGATCCACGTTCTGCCATTGATATTTTCTTTTCTTTCGAAAGTTCTGCCGGATTTTACGGAGGTACACCCAAGGTACACCATGAAGATCCGGGTTGTAAAACGTGAGTCGTAATTCATTCCTCATACTTTTAACAACGTTTGGGCGGTGAAGACGTATCACTCCATTTACTACCGAGCTGTGCAAGCCCAGGGAAAGTAATGCCGCTTAGGCTTATAAGGCAAGAATATGTTGAAGTTGCGATTACCTTTCCATCTCCCCAAATTAAAGCCAAGTAATTTCGTCGACCTGCGCAATGTGCTTCCGAATAGTTCAACTCGTTGCGGTGCTTGTCTACGTGAGACTGCTCCGACTCATGTTGATAATGCGAAGGTACCGAAGCTGACTCCGACGCGTCTCTGAGAATTTTTGAAATGACCAAGACTTTCTTTACTAGGTTGACTGTGGTTCCTCTCAATCATGTCGCTATGGCGCACAGCACTTTAGCGATGACGAGAATTTTTTGATATCTTGCACTGGCCTGGCTGTTAAGTTTTTCGGCTGCCGTTCCGCAATCACACACCCGCGTTTTTTTAAACTATCACTGGCAGCTTCGATTTATTACTATCATTATCCACAACTTTTCCAAAGACTTCTAGTTGAATATAATTTATGTGTTCTGTAGCTGTTCTGTAGACATCTGTGTTATTTCGTTACTCTAGTAATCTTTTTTTGACCAATAGGCATATACAAACAATCCTCGCAAATGACTAGGCATATCATTACTCCATACATTTGCCATACATGGTGAGCGAATCCAAAATGTACCCAGCATCAGCAAGATCATAGTTTACTTGTCCACTTTTTTACTTGTGACAAGCCAAAACGCTGAAAAGCAGGAAATCTATTTACCGAAAGAAAAGATATGTATGATTCAGCAGATGTTTGAAGATGTGAAGGAAGCCATTGAAAAATAATCCCTTCGATCAAGTCCGATTTATTCACACCACAGTCTTTTCTGCGTTGTCCTCTTCCATCATCGCGACACCCTATAAAAGCGTACAGACCTCCCTACTTGCCTTCTACCCCAGTGCCACCCCTTTCATTTCGAACCTTGTTACAATAAACTACTGAGATTGCATCCGCGACTGTCATAAGGCTCACAGCGAGCACGACCAATTAGTCAAGCGGGACCCCAGATCTACATAGAGCCGCAAGTAGCGCGGTTTGTCGGCATGTGAAGGCGACTCTCGGAAGGCCGTCACACTCGCCAGCGAACCCGGTGACATGAGCAACGCGCTTGAGCCATTCAACCCAACACACGCGTTAGGATCGTGCAAGGCAACGAGATGCACCTCGAGGAATATACTGGTGCGGGGTACGTTGCACATCCGTGTCATTGGGGCTCTTGAGGTTATGGAGGACGGCGAACTTGAAGAGCGGGAGGAGTTGAGGGAGACAGTGATACCGATTTTTGAGGTTGTGTGGAGGGATTTGCGTAGGCTTTTGCTGCCTGGTGGGACTGCTGAGTTTCGTCGTTGTTTCGTCACGCAGGCGCTTGCGTTTGGGAATGTGCATGGTCTGAATGATATGTGAGTCTTTCGTCTTCGTCTTTCGCCGAGTCGTCTGAGACTAAATGCTTCGTTATTAGGCTCAGGGAGAACGACGTGGTCATCTCCCTAGCGATGCACTGCTGGATGAACATGTTCACTTTTCCCCCGAACGGACAACACGCTCTCGCAGCCCTCCTTGACCCAGAATCCTCCCATCCATTCATGGCTCCTCCGAACACCCTCCAGAAAGCCGTCAAGGCCGTGACAATTGACATGATTGCTGTGCGGCTCAAAGAGGCGCTTTCAAGCGAAGAAATGATCCTCTGGCCTCTGAACTACGCATCACCGATATGGAGTTTGCGGATGCTTCCAACAGAACTTGCGCATATAAGGAGATCGCGGTTGCACCGAAGCGGTAGCTGCTGTTGTAGAGTGCACAGTGATGCCGGCTATTTTTCCGCTTTTTCCCCTTCCCGTCTTCCTCCCCTCCCTCTTTCTGCCTTTGTATCCCTTTGCACGGTTTTCTCAGATCGCATCTGCCCCTGTTCGGGTCAGCGCTTCCCGCGGGCTGTGCTCAGGGAATGCTTTCTAAATTCTCGGGGCTTTGGATCGTCTTTCTTTCCATTCGCAGTTTCACTTTTATAGAGCAGGCTGCAATTGGGCTGCAACTCCGGGTACCGTGGTTTCAAAAAGAAGGCAGAAGGTATCAGCCATTTCGGCACAATGTCGGGGGTCCTGGCAGGCTACTAGACCACTCTGAGGTTCCGGAACGTTCTGCCATTCTTCCGGACGTCAATCACTTGGATATCATCATTTATAAAAGGAGCCAGGTGATTGCTATCCTACTCCATCCATACGCTCATTTTCGTGAGCGCGCGCACCGTTACCTCGACTTTTCTGTCCTCGATCAAGTTATTGGCAACAGCTATGGCCCCTCCACCGCCCCTCCAATCGCTATCACCCGAACTGAGGCTCAACCTGCAGAAGAGTTTAGAAAGCGTGCTTACCGAAATCATACAAACCAACAATGGGACTATTTTCTTCCGAGAAGCCGCTCTACTATCATCATTCCGGGATCGTCTCAGCGTCCCTCCTACTCCAATGCCGAAAGCGGTCGCAAATGTTGATGCTGGTCCGTGCGGAGCCATTCACGCTCAAGACTTGGTACAGAGATTTTACGAGACCGTTCCCCTTTCTCTCTACGACGCGTATCAGCCGTTCGTCTCCCGCTTTTTTGACAAGTCACCTTGCCCTTCCTCCGCCGTCCGCGATTTGCTCTCCCCCGGTTTCCCTGATTTCATTGCTCGAACGTCTGGGACGTCGGAATCGACTTTCAAATTGTTCCCATGGTATCCCGAGAACTTTCACCGCCCTTCTGAAGGTGTTAGATTCTGTGCAATCAGCACTTTTCGATTCTGTGGCCCGACCGTGAAAATCGTTGACGAGCAGGGAGAATTGCAGAAGGAAGCGTTTGTTACCATCGCTGGAAGCGGAATCATGAGGAGGCGCATGGGTGTTGCAGTGAAAGATGATGACAAAGCCATAACAGAGACCCGTAAGTTTTTTTTCGACTCATCTGTTGCTAATCGCTGAAGAGGTGCCTCCTCCACAGCCCCTCTTTCCTCCGTCCCTTTCGCAGTTTGGTACATCCCAAATTTCCTGGGAAACCTCTTAATGACTATGTTCTTCGCTGTTACGGATCCGTCGCTTGTCTCCATGCGTGCGACCTATATATCGGCCTTTTACGATGCTGTGTTGACTCTCGAAGAACATTGGGACATTGTCATCGATAGCGTCGAGAAAGGAACAATCCCCGATGTCTACGATCTCGACTATTGCAGACCATTTTTAGAGGTTTGAAACCCATTTTCCTTTTTACCCTCGACTTGATATTGACACACATTGGATAGGCTCAAATCAAGCCAAATCCGCACCGCGCGGCAGAGCTCCGGTCAATACAAAAAGGGACAGAGGGATGGTTGAAGCGGATCTGGCCGTCACTGAAAACCATCAGAGCAATCAGCAGTGGAAGTTATGCCGCCTTTGTTCCCAAGGTATGACTTAATCCAAGTCTATTGCATCCTGAGCTCATATTTACGTGCAGATTCGACATCATATTGGGCCCAACGTTGAAATTGAAAGCACATTTTACGCTTCAACCGAATGTGTCATCGGACATGGATACGATCCAACAAACGATCACAACCTTTATCGTGTTTCTCGTGATTCGCATTTCGAGTATCTCGACGTCACTGAACCACAAGCACTTCATCAAGCAGTATGCCATCTCCTTTTACAGACTAACCAAAAACTTACTCCATTTCGTCTTTCTCGTAGTGGGAGCTACAAACCGGGAAACGGTACGAGATTGTGGCAACCACGAGAAACGGCCTCTGGCGATACCAGATGAGGGACGTTGTCGAAATTGGCGGATTTGATCCAAGTGACGGACAACCTGTTATCCGCTTCATCGGACGGCGAGGGTATATTGTTATTGCATCTTCACGCCACTTCTCCTGATCCAACCCATAGTGTCGGATTCCGCATCTTTGAGGAGATGATGTCAGAAGAGTTGATCAAAAACGCTATTCACTCAACCCACCACACGCTCGGTCGCGTCTTGGAGTTCGTTGCAGAGCTGGATGACCGACAATTTCCGCGGAGTTACGGCTATTTTGTAGAACTCGAGGGAGAGCTAGGTGTGTATTCTATACTGGCACCCTTTCGCACTTCTCATTCACCTTTGCCTTTGGTTTCCAGGGCCCGATCCTGACTCTGCTCCCCGCAAAGTACAAGAGGTTCTTTTCACAAATCCGGGTTACAAGTCCTCCACCGACATCGGAAGGATTGGTATGCCTACCATTCGAATTGTTGCACCGCGTACATTTAGGGCATATCGTGAGTGGAGGCTTGAGCTGACGGGCCACCCTATGGGACAAATTAAAGTCCCAACTACCATCGTCGATGTTGCAACGAGAGAGTGGCTGGCGAAGAGAGTGATATCAGAGGTCGGCCTACCGTCCGTTTCTTCAGTTTAGTGTAGTTTCTGAAGTATATACGTATTGATCAAGTACCGTCTTTCGGAGTGACTTCATCGATAGGCATGTAACTACATGGAGGCGCATAGCGAATTGTTCAGCGCTCTAGGTCACTTCTCCTGGCTGAGGCCAGCTTCTTGAAGAGAATTTAAGTGCAATTCAGAGCAAATTAGTTTCCCCCCAAATACGCCTACAAAGTCCGTCCTCAATCGATGCAGTCATTACTCGAGGAACACTTGATCAACGAAACCTGTCAACGTGAACCCGTTGATCATAGCATCGACCCCACACACCCGTTCCCAAGGTTCGATTAATGTCGGCGTTGGCCACCACAGCCAGAGTCACCGTTGTATACAGAATGGAAACGATTCTGGGGAAATGCATTTGAATTTGGTGCGTTACGGAACTCCGCAAGGGGTGCCTACAAGTGAGTATGTACATAGCGTCTTTATGCTAGATGATGACATCGATTTACTGACTTGGCCTGGATTGAATACGGCGGTCATCGGTGCGTCCCTAAGCGAACGTGTTCGTACTGCCGAGGTCGATGCGTGTAACCCGTCGAGGAGCTGATCTTGTTTGTGTGGCGAAGGGCGACCCGATGATGGGAACGAAAAACGATGGGAAAGAGAAGGGGCCAGACAACGGGAGGAAAGCATAGTTGTTTCGTTCTGTAGCCAACCATTTTCTTCTGCATTCTCAACCCCTTCCTCGTTGTTTTCGGCCGCCAACGAAGAGAGACGATATTTCCGTCGCAGGAAGGCCCCCTGATAGCAAGGTTGTGGGTATGAACGATGAACGACGGGTTGAGCTTCTGTAGAAGATACGCCAGAGGACGACAGCATCAATGGGTGCGGTTGATGAGCATGTAGTTACCTTGGAGGCACCGTTGAAGAGGCTGAGGAGGATATGTCCCGCTGCCCACCGATTTTGTATAATGATTTTCAGTTCGATGGGGCTTTTGTTTACATTTGCAATTTCTCCGCACCTGCAACTTCCCTACTTACATGGCCTTATGACATCCAATTGCTCATGACTGCGCCGACAACGACGTTGCTTAAAATACATTCCCACTGTAACCTGTCCTGTTTCTTCCAATTCACACTTTCCTTGCTGCTGTTCGTCTCTGCTCGTCGTCAAGAATCACGGCCGTAAACTAGGGCCAATAGCGAAGGTCTTCCCAGCTGCCAACACGGAGAGCCGATCTCTCAATGGAGGTCACGGCTAGCCCTATGGACTTGGACCATACATGGATGGTGCAAGCAACGAGCTTCGTGTCATGTCAGTTCAACTCTTCCTTCCTTTCTTTTGCTGGCTGTTGAATTCGTTCGGTCCGATGCATGGTTAGTCGCCGCACTCGCGATGCAGGTGTGGGAGCTGGTGATTCACGTTATCGATGAAGTTGAGTATGTGTGGAAGTGAGTCGAGTCAGTTCGACGAAATGGAACGCCAAAGTATTGACGGACCGTCCTGGAATATAGGAGTAAGATGTCACCGATGAAGGTCCTCTATATCTGGGCGAGATATGGTCAACTCGTAGCGCAAATGTACGTACCCCGGTTTCCCTGTCAAGGATGCATCTGTAACCTGTGTGTGGAGCAGAACAAACTTGGTCACTGTGCAATTACTCTCGGTGGGGTACTTCTCCCCACAGGGCTGCGCGAATGCATTCCTACTTGAGATTTTTATCAGTCAACAGGCGATACTGTGCGTGGAGGGTATCCAGTTGATGAGGTGTACGTCTTCCCTTTTTGGATCTATGGAAATTTGGCTAACGATGGGGTGTGATATTGAGTGTTTGCGTTGTATAACCAAAGTCGAAGGGTCAAATACTTCCTACTTTCGATATTTGGCATCTCTACCGGATTGGAGATAGCTGGAAACATTGCCACTGGGAAGATGTACAGCACTCGTGCGAAATGTACGATGCTCGCCAGCGCTCCTCCTGACAGTGGCCTCACATGGTTTGCGTACGTTTTTTCGTTCGTTGTTTCCCCCCATTGGTTGACCTGCTTCTACTTAGGGTTGGAGCCGGCATGTTCCAAGTCGTGGTGCTGGGAATGACGCTCTCAAAGCAATTATCTACCAAGCATACCCGCTGGGCAAGGACACCATTGTCATCTTTGATGATGAAAGATAGTCTTTTTGTCTTCTTCCTTCTCTTCGGTGTGTACATATATCCGCTCCTCGTGCCTGTTCCCCGGCTGATCGATCGATTGGGAATCGGGAAGTTGTGTTGTCTACGGTGGTAGGCTACGAAGCCGTGTGGAGTTTTGGACCATCATTTTGGAATATAGCTTTTGGGTAAGCCATCCCTATCCTAACGGAACAGGAAACGATCCCAACGCGTTCTGCTCCCCCTAGGTGGTACATCGCATTACTGTCAATCGCGGTATGCATAGCTCCTCTGTCTAGTCCGAAGCCTTACACTGAATCTTGTTTTTTCAATCTCAGGGGTGTAGGCTGATCATGAATATGAGGTCTTTGGCGCTGGGACCCATCCATTCAGATCATGAGGCGTCGATAGGTGCTTCAGAGCCCTTTTATGATGAATCAGACAGATAATTATCATAATCATCGTACATTTCTATTCAGTGTGTCCCTTCAAAGGAAACAATTCAAGCCAATGAAGCAATCAATTCCGGAAGCGACGACTTCTATGATACTGATTAGTTTGCTTTATGGTTCAATGGCGTACTTACACTAGGCAACGCCTGTTCATTCACCCTGTGCTTTCCCTACTGGTCGTAAGCAGGGACAGCTAAGAGTTCCTCAATGTCATATGGTCTGCAGCTGTAGTCAGCGAAGCTACAGAAATAGTAATCGCAGGCGGCTTCGCCGTCCTCCTCGTCTCGGTCGACGCGGACCAACGCGAGCGGGACACCGATCTTCGTTTCGAGGTACTGGAGAAGAAGTCGATGGCTGGATTTGGGTAGATTTTTTAGAGCTTGAATAGCTTTCGATAACTTCAAAGGAACGCGATAGATCACCAGTGCCATGATGGCTGTGAACACTCCTGTGTGATCTCGCTGAAAGGAGAACTTGAAGCGTGGGATTGCTGAGCGACTCAGACTGCACTGCACTCGGACGATAGACACCCCAATCGCAATACCATCCTCTCTTCCACCATGTCTATGGCAGATTCCGAAGAAAAGTGGAGGGCGTCCTCCTCGACCGAGTATGCCCTTGCCACTTCTCATACAAAGATGCAAAACTTATCACCATCTAGTTCATTACCTTCTTATCCGAGCAGCCTTGAAGATGGCCCGGAGAGCGACCCCTTAATCTCGGCTTCGGATTGTTCAGACAATTCAGACAATAGAAATGGTATCGTTATTACTTCGCATCACGACTGAACCATCATCATCTCACAACCAACCTTGAAAGATTCAAGGCCCTCAAGAGGTGGCTTACGCACAACCCTCATTATCCATAGAATCGTCCTTATCCTTACATTCATCCTACTCATCGGTGGATTCATATTTTTCATCGGTGGACTCGTCAGCGCCATTATCCATTACCCCGCCTCTCAGGTTCATTGGCTGGCGTTGGAGAGCTCGAAGCATTGCGAGGGGTACGGAGCGAGGAAGTATTGGGCGAAGATGGGTCCCCTGCCAGATCGTGGGTGGCTTGATCCTATGGAGACGTGTTGGGCTTTGGAGAACGAGATTCGTGGTCGGAAGATGAAACCGACGTATTGCGAGGATAAGGTGTGTTCTGCTGACACCCCCTTTCATTGCTACTAAATAATTAATTCGCAGGGAGCGGATCGTGGGGTATATGGTCATTGGATAGTCGACTTTGACGAAGGCGCGTGTCAACCTTTCTGGGAAGGAGTTACAAATAAAGTCAGTGAATGACTACTACCTTCACCCTACCTCTATTTAATAATTCTTTTCATAGGGATGTACAGCCCCAGGATCTGGTCTCCGGGTATGTGAAACTCATCTCTGCTTTCGTCCCCTCGCGGCTTACATGTTTTCTTGTGATAGCGCTTTGACGCACACCTGATCAATCTCGACTACGCGGACGGATGGAAGGTCATGTGCTCTTCCACACCAGCCGATTTTAATGGGTTGCATTTCAACGGTGCCATGTCCTGCGCTAAAGTGCGTTGTGCTTCCCCTACTTACTGTGCTTCGTCGAGCCTAATTATGTGCACAACAGCGTGTGGACGGTGTTTTTGGAACTTGGGAAATTGTAGATGGTGGCTGCCTCTAGATGAAATAATATTTTGCCATGTCAGAAGGACGCTAGCTACCTCCTGAGGTTTAGGGAAATTGTACACTATCAATTTCATCAGAAAATATTTTTGTCCGTTGCGTTCAATCATAATGCATGAAGTTCAGCGAGAGCAGATGATTTTGGTGAGCATGGCACTTCTAATCCTCCTCGTGGATCAGCCAGTGGCTGTTTCATAGATTTCTGCTCCAGGGGGCGCACCCTAAAGACTCCCGCCTAATCTTTTTAATTTCAGTTCTGTTCCAGTAAATGCGGGCGAATTGCACATTAAATTCGTCAACGGGACTGCAGTGTGTCCCCTCAAAAGAAACCATTCTATCCAGGGAAGCTATTAATTCCGGAGAGCGACAGCTTTTACGAGAGGCCCTTTGCTGAACATCGCCACCTCTATGGAATCGAAGACAACTTGGTTGCTGTGCATGCTTGTTCGTTGTTGTGGTGACTCTTCACTGGTGTCGCAGTTGAGAACCGGCCTGTATGATATTTTTGCGTGCGGTCTGAGCCGCCCATGACGATTCTTCTAAAAAAAATCAGTGTGACTCCTTAGCGTTGCGTGAAGTGAGTGCGTCAAGTTAGAGTAAGCGAGCGGTGCTTGCGGCCGTTGGGTAGAAGAAATATCGGCTTCAGAGGCTTGCCGTCGTGTTCTAGTGACCGCCAGATATATCAGCACCGGCTCCCGGCGAAGAAATCGCATCTAGTTATTATGATCAACTAGGGGTGAATATGCACTTTAACGAAGAAGAAAAGCGCACTTCAGGCTCCGAAAAGGCGCGGTTGGGAGACATATGTTGCTAGAGAAAAATCTCATGAATGACCTTCGGGATGAACGTCTTCTACGTTTCCCAAAGAATCAATCCACTCGTGAATTCGATGAAGGCCCCACAACTTGACGAAAATTTGTGTGTGCTGTATCCAACTATCGGCTTGTATGAGTCAGTCTATTACCAGACGTTTCCAGATACGTCAGTGCCACACCTGAATGATGATTTTGAGGATTATAGACTACCACAAACGTAGGAGTGTTCAGTTTACAGATTGCGGAAGGAAGTCGACACAAAATGGGACACCTTTGGCATGACAGAGATTAGGCAACTAAACGAACCGTAAATGACTTGCCGAAGAGCCCACTCACCCCGCATCCAATTCATGGGCAATTCGGTCTAGATGAGATCAATTGTAACGTTGGGATTAAATTCCGAATTCCGGAAAGAAAACAACCTATGACGCAACTGTCGCAACCGTTACAACGAGTCAACACAAAACTAATGTCGAGTGTACCCTTGCGGCTCCAGGTTAGTGATATACTAGGCACCCAGGAATCGAAAAGGCTCACTCTGACGCACTTTCTTACTTCTGGTTTACGTATGTTTTATTTGACAGACTCCAAGGTCGTCATACAGACGGAGTTTGGACGGAGTTGGAAGCAGGACGTTGAGGAAGAAGATCGGGTAAAGCGGAACTATCGGGGGCTGCGGACGAAAAGTGTAGCAAGCTTGAATCCTAGTAAGTAAGTAGCTGGAGGAGACTTGCTCAGATCGAGCGCTTGTCCAATATTTGCAACTTGTTTGGTCTCAAAGCCATCAACGCTGATCGTATATACATCCTTGAAATTGTTGCCAGTGAGAGGAAGGATTCCGAGGGCCCAGAGAAGCCCGAAAATTGCGCAACTTTCCTATGTAAGAATGGCATCTGGGTATCAATGTAGTGGGCAAGTTTTGTTGTCGGAAGCTCGGAGACCTCGGGATGAAATTATTCGACCGATGGCGCAGCAAGCTTGGCGACTCGGATGCGGATGACCCGGGGCATTTTGGTCGTCTCGGTCGGTCGGTAAATCGTTGCAATGAGAAATACTTTCATCTTGGGCGTGCCATATTCTGTTACCGCAAACTATTCTGTGAGTCGATTTAAGACATAATGGGGAATGTGAGAACCTTTGCACACACATATAAGACCTCGAAAAAAAGACACTCACTCCATAACCCAAGCCTCAATATGAAGTTCACCCTCATCTTCTCAACTGCTTTCCTCGCTTCAATCTCCTTTGTCAATGGTGCCCCCGTCAAGGCCGCTGCCCCTGCCGCGATCGAAGTCGGTCATTATATTTTTTGACAACAAAAAGATTCTCACCACCGTGTCAGGTCAAACTTGGGAAAGAGCTCGGCGTAGACCTTAAAGACGGCGCCGTCTTGGTCTGAGGACTCCAGGTGTGTTTGTTGGTAAATCTGACAAAAACTGAACAAAATATTCATCTCTTGCGTTGAAGTTTGGGAAGGACGTCAAAATTGATACAGACTTCAAAGTTGAAGGCCCCGTTTCGGCCCGCGCGCTCAAGGTGAGTTTGTTGGTATATCTAAAAAAAACCGAACAAGATATTCATTTTTTGCGTTGAAGTTTGGGAAAATTGATACAGACTTCAAAGTTGAAGGCCCCGTTTCGGCCCGCGCGCTCAAGGTGAATTTGTTCGTTCATCTGAAAGAGACTGAACAAAATATTCATATGTTGCGTGCAAGCTTGGAAAAGACGTCAAAGTCGATACAGACTTGAAAGTTGAACGCGCCGTCTTCGCCCGCGAACTTCTGACGGTGAGTTTATTTGTGCATCTGGAAAAAAACTGAAGAAGATATTCATGCATGCGCATTGCGTTGAAGCCTATCAAAGTTGATAAAGGCATCTTGTTACGCGGACTCCAGGTCAGTTTCTTTGTGCATCGAAAGAGGATGGTCGAATTACTGAGATTTGCATTGAAGCCCGTTAAAGACGTCAAACTCGGTGATAAGTATGCTAGCGCCGTCTGGGCTCGAGGAATCAAGGTCAGTTTGTTTGCGTAACGAAAGAGGATGGACGAATTACTGACATGTTGCGTAAAAGCCTCTCAAGGAAGTCGATCCCGACACCGAGTATGCTGATGGAACAGGTCTTGGGGGCGCCGTCTGGGTGCGTGAGGCCAAGGTAAATTTCATCACTTTTAATTGATTTCAACGAATTGATCGCCCACCCGCTGAAGGATATCAAACCTGGTATGGAAATTGTTGATGGTCTTTGACAGGTTCGCAATCTCAAGGTAAGGTGACAACCTCGACCGTCGGGAAGCCCGCTCATCGTAGAAAATCAGTGAATGCGCGGAAAGGAAAGCCCACATCCATGCACGCACGACAGCATAACCCCCCTTTAGTTTTGATTCGTTTCTATGGCTATAGACTTGGACATATTCTGTTGATTTGTAGAACTGTTTCTTGTGTCGATACTGATTTGTACGTCTTCGTCTGAGAGTGACAATCGTGATTCTGTTTACCAAATGAAGAGCCCGCGAAAAACGCACGTTGTATTCTGAGAATGTTGCATCATTATGCTGTGTGCCACCAAAGAACCGAGCATCAATCATTGCCTGCTTAATCGTCAGCAACGAACTCCCGAGAGACGCTTTATCGGTCCCTCAGAGCCCCGAAAACGTTGATCTGGAGTATCCTAAACGTAAGTTGACTAATTGTTCGGGTCTTCCACACAAAAAGGTCAATTCCTCAACTTTCACAAACGCCAATACAGGAAAGCATTCCAACATAACCACCAAAGCTGCCACGATTGAGAACGTCAGCACGATGAATTGCCGCGTAAGGATGGGACGTATCATCAAACAAATCCTGCACGGAGGGCTTCAGCGACAGAAACGAAACAGGCCCAGCGTCGCTCTTTCAAAATCTTGAAAGACAAAGACAAAGACAACTTAGATCACGCAATAATGCAGTCCTCTTTGAAACTAAGATTGTACATCGTCTTGTCTACGATTTTTTCAATCTTCTTCCAATCCGAGCGTCTCTGAATGAATTCGTACACGTCCTATATATATCCCATATCAACTGGATATGCAGAAGGAAAGGAGGGATGAAGCTGACCTCTGGGCGATATGCCCCTCCGTATCGAGTAACGTCCCTCACGATCTGGGCTAGGTCTTTGGCGTCTTCTACTACGAAGACGTGGCCTAGCATTTTGAGGTGCGAGAAGTCGGCTGTGATTGCTGGGACCTACATCGTTGGGTTAGAATTTGCAGGGATAGGTCAGAAGAGATGGGACGGACCTTGAGCGAAGAGATAAAGGCGTTGTAGGCGTTCAGGTCGGCTATGACTTGGAATCCCCCGTTGAGGGATATAATTTGTCTCTTGATGTGCTTTTGCAAGATCCTAAATATCCACCCGATCTTAACAATGTTGAAAGCACCGTAATGGAAAGAAGAAAAACAAACGCGATAAGCCGTATTCCAACTTCCTGGTAGAAAACCTCCAAGACCTCTTTACTTGTGCTCCCTTTGAGCAGCTTACAGTGCGTTTCGAGACACTTTATGGCTTCTTGACACCCGCGAGTGGGACCGAGCTCCAGCATCCCATCTTCAGGGGGGTAGTATTCCCGTGGTTTAGTTAGTGTGACTATAACGTGGTCGACCTGTATGCGAGAGTCAGCCGTGATACTTGTCAAAGAGGAGAGAGGAAAGGAAGGTGCGAAGGAGGGGGAAAGGGTTAAGGAATGGGTGCTAAGGAAGAAGGAAGAACAGAGGGAGGAGGAGACGGAACAAAGGAAGGGGGGGGAGAGGAAGAGGGCGGGAAGAGTAAGGAGGATGGGGGGGAGGAAGCAGGGAAGGAGGGAAGGCGACAGAAGGAAGGTAGAGGGGAAGGAGAAAAGGGGGACAGGGCAAGGGGGCGGAAAAGGAGGAGCAGGGGGGAAAGGCGGGAGGGGAGGAAGGAGGATAGAAAAAGGGAGGAGAGAGGAGGGAAGAAGAAGAAAGAGAAAGTGAGAAGGGAGGAAGGAGAATGTAGAAAGGAGGACGAGGAGGAAGTATAAAAAGGGGTGGAGGGAAGAAGGAAACGGAGTAGGAATGATAAGCGAGGAAAGAACGAAAGAGGGACCAAGAAGCAAGTAAAGAAGGAACGAAGGGACGGAGGAAAAGGAAGGTAGCAAAAGAAAGGCTAGGTAAGGGGGCGGAAAGAATAAGCAGGATAATAGAGAAGAAAGGAAGGAGAGGAGGGAAGAAGGAGGTGATGAACAGGAAGAGAGCAGGACGAGGAAGAAGGAAGACGGAAGAGAAAGGGATGCGGATCGAAAACCGAAATGGGGACAGGTAAAGAAGGAACAGGGGAAGAAACGGAAGACAGAAGGGAAGAAGGACGGAAGATGAAGAAGAGGACTAGGGGAGGAGATGAACGCAGGAAGAAAAGCGATAGAGAAAAGAGAGCAAAAGGGAGTGAAGAAAAAAGTAAAGCCAATCCAACCAACCAACCAACCTGATTCATCAACACCTCCGTACCAGCATTCAACCCAGCCGCCACCGAATCGTCCAAAGAATTCTCGAAGCGCTTCTTTTCGCGTACGACGGCGTTCAGGAAGTCCGTTTTGTCGATGTGGGGTGCCTGCGAAGTAGGTGGTGAGTAAGCTTCAAAGAGGGAGGAAGCCAGAGGGAGAGAGGGAGGAAGGAGAAGGGAGGGACGGAGAATGGACGAAGGGATGGAGAAGGAAGGGAAGGAAGAGAGGCTTACCAACTCCTTCTCAAAATAAACCTGCACCATCGACTGAATCGTATCCCCAATATGCACAAGCTCAAAAAACTGCACGAGTGGCGCTACGTTTGCCGTTTCAGAGTGTTCAGATGGTTTGTACGATTTCATGCGTTGCGTCGCGCTTTATTTACCGCCCTTGGTCAACTCAAAATTCCCAAATACACAAAACGAAGAGGAAAGGAACGTACTCATCAAACCCCCTAACAACATGACCCTCCCCCAACACCCCCAAAAGCGCAATGAAAACCTCCTCGATCGTATCCCTCACACGCCCCCCGTAATGCCCTGGATACCCCGAAAAAGACTCGACGCGTTTGAGGGAGGAGCGGGATAGGTGGATGAGGTTTAGGGCTAGGTCGAGGGAGAGGAGGAGGTCTAGGTTCGCTGTGCTTGTTAGTGTTGGGCTGGGCTGCGAGGCGGAGACGAGGGGCGTGGGTGATGTTATTGAGGGGGATAAGGGGTTGGGAGCATCATGCACGTGTTCTTCTTCTTCTTCCTCAGCCTCGTCGACGTTGAACAATGTTTTACTGTACCCCCCTCCACCTCCATTCGTGACGTTTCCAGCCGGTGCGGCGCCGCCTGATCCCCACCGCTGAGGATTCAACATCGCGATGCCCTGACCCACGCCGCCTACGGCGCGCGGCACGATAGTTACGGGTAGGAGGAGGAGGTTGGTGAATGATGCAAGGACGTTGCGTTTTATTAGGGCTGGATTTTGTGAGGATGTGAATGGCGTGGATGAGGGGGTGGTAGGTGTGGGTGTGGGTGATGATATCTATATAGCATGAAGTAGTGTAAGGTGGAGAGAAGAAAGGAACGTACACCTCGATTCCACTCTTTACAAGCCCCGTCGAAAGCACTCTTGAGCGCCTCAACCTCCTCATCCAAATACTCGTCCATATTCTCTTCAAACATCTGATACACCACATCCTCCGCTCTAGTCCTCGTCACCACAACCACTTCCGAATCTGGCTTGTTTTCCTCGGCGGCAAGCATAATAGCGTCGACCATCTTCCACGACTCTTTAAACGCAGCAGCCACACACCTAAGATACACCCCCGTCCCGAGGTTCCGTGCGCGTGTAAGGAGGGAAGTGACGTATTCACTGACCACCTCCCCCGCTAACTTTTCCGCGAACGCGATGAGGACACCTGAAGAGGGTGGAAACACTCTAACAGCGCGAGAACCATGTTCGGCGATAGAATCTAAGATGAGTGACATGAATTCGTCCATTGCTTCGAAATCTAGTGTGTTGTCGGGGAGGAAGTTTTGAGAGGATGAGGAGGGGAGTGAGTGGGCGTAGAATATTTCTCGCTTTTCGGCCCACATTTTACCCATTTCCCAGTTGGAGGAGGAGGAGGAGAGGGACCAGGATGCGTAGGCTGCTTCTTTCATTGACTTTTCGTCGTTGGAAGAGTCGGCGCTGTCAAAGGCTGTTAGGAGGGACGCGTCGAATCGGTCGATGGCGTTTCTTAGTGGGACTTGTAAGAGGGCGGAGGAGCGGACGGGTTGGATTGTGGGAGAGAGGAAGGAGGAGAGGAGGCGAAGGAGTTTCGCTTGGAGCGAAAGAGGGGGTGAGGGGATGAGGAGGGATGTTAGGGAGGAGAGGAGGAGGTGGGGCGGGGATGAGGAGAGGATTTGGAGGACGGGTTTGAGGAGGTTGTGTGCGCGGATGTATCTTGTCCTAGGCGTCTCTTTTGGTGGGGGTTTGTATGAGGAGGAGGGAAAGGCGCCTATAAAGTCCCCCATTTCCTCTGGCGGATGGCCAGGTGCCAATAGATCCGCTTTTGCGAAATCGCCAAAGTCGTCATTGTCTGCTACGACGATGGTAGGGGGCGCAGCTGCGCGGGATTGGGCGTTTCGTTCGGAGAGTTGTCGTTCCAGGTGGTCAAGGACTGTGTGGAGTGCGTATGTTTCGATGCCTAGGGCGTTGTAGCGTTCTTGCCATATGACCTCGGATTGAGCGAGGGCGGCGGTGGAGTGCGAGCATCGGGAGTAGTTTGGAAAGTCTGGGATGGGGAGGTACCCCAATATGACAAGATGCAAGTCTGATGGGAGACGGCCGACGAGGGGAGGTGGTAGTGAGAGTGGCTTGTTATTATGACTACTAACAGGACCGTAGAGTTTCACAGGTTCGAGAGTAGCAAACTTGTCCATTTCATGGATGAAGGAAGAGAGAACACGTGTATGTACAAACAATACAATCTTAACAGCAGCATGGAATCGGTATAATGTAGCAGCATCCTCCATCCTATACATCAACCAGCATTGAGAAATGGTACTGAATCTGAAAGGAGAATACGAACAGGACAAGGGATACACCCCCCACGCAATCTTAACGCCCCTTCACCACCATCTTGTTTGACGCGCGGCGTTGAAACCTCCATCTCTGCAGCTCGCAATGGTTGCTTTGAAATGATCTTTGCCTGCTCATGCACTTTGGGCGGGTATGCAGGAAGGCTGGTAGTGCTGGTGGTCATGGTCATGGTGCAATGTGCGTGGCTGTGTGGTATCACTTCGGCGTCATAACTGACTCCACGAGGCGAGTTTTCACCGTAAAGGGGTTATCATGATCTTCTTCCACCGTCATAAATTTCACGTATTACATTACTGAAACGAACTCTTAAATACAGCACAGTGGAAGGCAGCAGCACTATACACAACCAGCATCAAAAAATGGTAATTCAACTTGGAAAGGAGAATACGAACGGGACAAGGGATACACCCCCCACGTAATCTTTGCGCCCCTTCACCATCTTGTTTGACAGCCTCCATCTCGGCGGCTCGTAGTGGTTGTTTTGAGATTATCTTTGCCTGCTCGTGTACTTTGGGCGGGTGGGCAGGAAGGTTGGTGGTGGTGGTCATGGTGGTCAAGGCCTAAGGTGCAATGTCTCCGCAGTCTAAGTAAATGGCGGTATTATATTTGATATAAGCGCCATAGATTATGCGAAAGGAGTTTTCACATAAGACATGTCACTTACGCCGGGTCATCTTCTTCCATGATCATATATTTCAAACGTTCGTCAAGCAAGATGAATTCAGTAGGCGTCAGGGTATTACATTACCGAAGAATCAAGCTGGCAGACATTTAAAAAAATACACATTATGACTGCGCTTCCTGGCACGCTAAGGCGTGCGGCTGGGCAGGATATCCGATAAAATCCTTAACAGAGACGTAGTATGGGTTCGTCCTGACTCCTCAGGAAACGGTCAGTCATGGATAGAAGGGGAATGAGATATATGCGAATGGTGTCGAACGGATCTGGATTGGCGGCGCGTAGCGATAGGCGCATGCTGAGCACACCTGAGTACGACAAAAAAAAGGAGTCTTACGAGATTCCGAGCCTGGCCATGGGTTGGCGAGTTTATAAATGTCGAATCAAGAAGAAGCGTTCGAGAGACCGCTGGACGAAAGTGTCGTTTCTGGAAAAGGAGTTGAACTTTGGCACCATGACTTCAGCATACGATGAAGTTGCAGCTGGGACTTGGAGGAAATTGGCCTCGAAGAGAACCCTCTAAAACAGCGTCTCCATCATCCCGGAAGCGACGGCCAGTGTAACGAGCAAGGGTTCAGTGGTGTGAGTAAACCGCAGGCTCTGACCGTGCTGTCAAATAGTAGGCGAGTCGATTGGAATGTGTGTGTAGCTCAGAAATCGAGGGTAGATTTGAGTCCGTGTTGGACACCTGAAAGATTTCCTTTGGACAATCAAAAAGATAAAGACATGGCGTTGATGCAGTCTTATCTGGGGGCGGCATAGAAGAGACCTTCATCTGTGATTGAATGAGAGAAATCAGTGAACCAAAAAGAGATGAAGGCACTATAATGGCGGGAACGTACGGTACGCATTTCGGCATCTCCACACCCCACATTCAATTACGTCCAAGTAGATGATTCTTTGGGGGATATCGGCGCTTCTCCAAGTCCGATACATATACAAGCCATCGCCGTTGGTGTCATGTACTTAGGCTGTCATCAACTGGGGTCTCTCTTTGTCACTGATACATAGAATGCGCAAGCTAACCTCTTCGCTCGCTCTCTTCAAGTTCCTTGCAGCTGTCGCAACGCTGTCCATTGCATCAGTGGAGCCTGGCACAATTTCTAGCCCGTCGTCCGAGTCTCCGAAACCGACATTCCCAATAAACTTGTAGCCCTTATCGGGGTGGCCGTCTCGACCAATGTCAACGACGGTACAATTGAACCCGACTCTTCGGAGGCGTGCGTTGAAAACAGATTGTGTGGCCCGGACATATTTGTTGTGAAGGAGTTTGTACGGTGTGTCATATTTATAGAATACTTTGCCGTTGTTCTTCCTTGGCTGAAGGGAGTTCGCAGATGGGTTCGATTTGTGCGGTACGGGTCTGGATTTTTGGAAGTGGAGAAAGGCCGAGCTATTGGGTGCCCAAGTTTGGATTTTGACCTGGCGCAGGTGGGTCCGAGATACACGAATTTGGCAACGGATGCCAGCCTCGAGTACATGTAGCCATAATCGTCGTACCGTCTTGGCGTAGGAGACTTTTTTCTGTGGATCAGAAAGTCAGTAAACTAGGAGGAGAGAGATGAAGATGCTAGAACGGGAACGGACTTAAGTCGAAACCGACGTCAAAAGTGAATCAGCCGTACATCTGGGCAATGCTGAGGCCTCCCCGCGCCCAATTACTTTCCCTCCGTGCTTCTCGAACTCCCCAGGGACTCCAAAAGTAGCTCCTTGGGGTACAAAAATCATTGCCGTTGCTCTCTAGCCATCAACTGCTCTCCTTGAATTCTTCACTCGGTCTTTTCCTCGCGGCGGTCAGTCTGGCAGTTGCCGCGCCAGCCCCATGCAGAGCCGTCCTGGCCAATGAAGCCCCTATTAATGCGGCTGCCTCGCCCAATGCTAATGATGTGGGTTACCATTCAGCAGTCGAATCCAAGCCTTCAAAGGCATGCTTCCGCTAGACAGCCTATCGTGCGGTCTGAATCATTTTTGTTGTGATGGAGTTCGTATGGCTGCCAGGACGCTTTGACGTTTCTTCCTTCAAGTCAAAGCGTTTGGAACGGAATGGGCTCTTTGAAAGCATTGGCATAAAGGGGTTGATGGAAACTGGCCGACGTGAGCAACGAAAGGATAATCATAGGCTGTAAAAGGCGGCGTCAATAAAAAGGAGGTGCGATTTATCATTTCAGAACTTCGCCTACCTACCACCAACTGCCAACCTGCTCTTCTTGATTTGTCGATACTTGGTCGACAAGATCAACCGTAAAATGTACAAGTTGACCTCTTCACTCGCCCTCGTCCTTACAATGGTCAGACTCGCAATCGCAGCGCCATCATCCTCAGCTTCCAGTGCCATCGTCCCCGCTGCGGCCAATTTCTTCAAGGAAGCCCTGATTAATGCCGAGAAGTTCGAACCCCACTCTCCAAATGCATGCTTTCCTTGGGGTCATGTTTGTTGTGACGGACCGGAGTGTCTGGTGCGTCATTTTTCTTGACCATGAATGAGGGCTTTGTTGTTTCCTTCCGCTAAGTAAGGGCATTTGTAGAATGGCCATTTATGCGGTTGAAAGCGGTAACAGAAGGGGTTGACACGCGAGTAAGCAGAGAGAAGAATCTGTCGAATGCTTTGATGTATAATCGTAATACCTGGATAACCGAAAAAAGGGCCACAAGGAGGGATGAGCTGGAACGAAGCGCGGATGCGTCGCCACCTCTGACCGTGATTCGCTATGAACCACTTGATTGGAATGGGCTGGCTTGCGAGTGATCGGGGCGTAGGATAAAGCGCAAATGCCATATTACGATTTGAGAGGAACTTTGACGGGAGGGGGAGGAAGGGAACATTATGCACCCGATACCAGATCTGTTGAGGGACCCAGGCAATCCCGGTATTGAAGAGATGAGGTGACGACTACATGCCCATATGGGCCGTGATAGCGGGAGACATATCCTGTGAGTTAGGGAATCAGTAAATCATCAACGAGGTGAAGGCACTATAACGGGAACGGACTACAAACAGACGTCGAAAGTGAATCAACCACACATCTGGGCAATGCCCAAGCCTCCCCAAACTCAATTACATTCCCTCCGTGCTTCTTGAATTCACGAGGGGCTCCAAGAGTCCTTCCTTGGCGTTCAAAGGTCATCACCGTCCCTCTCTATTATCAACTGCTCTACCTCTGCCGTCGATAGTGGGTCAACAACACAAAGGCACAAGATGCACAAGTTCACTTCCTCACTCGGTCTTTTCCTCGCAGTGGCCAGTCTGGCATTCGCCGCACCATCCCCCGCAGAGTCCTCAGTTCCTGCCGCCCTCGTCCGGGCCAATGGAGCCCTTATCAAGGCAGGTGCCTCACCCGGTGCCAATGACGCTGGCCACAGTTCACCACCCAAATTCCCTCCGAAGAAATGCTTTTCGTCGGACTTGAACTCGTGCCAGCCGGGTTGGATTTGTTGTCAAGGAGTTTGTTATGTGTGTCATTTGCTGAATGTTTTGATGTTTCTTTCTCTTAATGGAGGTGTTTGTAGGTCGGTACTCTGTGTCCAGACTCCGACAAAGGACTGGCAGAACGAGTTTGATCTTAAGGCTGGCGCCAGCTAGCTATACAAAGAGGAAGGGGGGATAAGCATCTGTAAAATGTTTCAGTGTGCAATGGTATGGCTTGAAAGGACGGATGGAAAAGGGATACATGTTCTCGAAAAGGGCTGTAGAATGGCCATTTATGCGGCTGAAAGCGCTGACAGAATGAGTTGAAACGCGAGTGAGCAGAAAGAAGAATCTGTTGAATGCTTTGATGTGTACTAATCGTGATGCGTGGATAACCGAAAAAGGGCCACAAGGAAGAATGAATTTGAGTGAAGCGTGCCGCCTATGACCGTAATTCGGAATGAACCACTTGATTGGAATGGATTAGCTTGCGAATGACCGGGGTGAAGAATAGGGTGCAGCGTTGTCCAGATGCGATATTACGATTTGAGAGTGACTTTGACGGAGGGGGAGAAAGGGAGCGTTATGCACCCAGGGATCGAAGAGACGGATATTACGAGGGACGAGGTGACCAGTACATGCCCATATGAGCCGTGATAGAGGGAGACATCTCCTGTGAGTTAGGGAATCAGTAAATCATCAACGAGGTGAAGGCACTATAACGGGAACGGACTTCAAACGGACGTCCAAAGTGAACCAACCACACATCCATCTGGGCAATGCCCAAGCCTTCCCAGACTCATTTACATTCCCTCCGTGCTTCTCGAATTCACTAGGGGTTCCAAGAGTCCTTCCTTCCTTGGCGTATAAAGTTCATCACCGTCCCTCTCTCTTATCAACTGCTCTCCCTCTGCCGTCGACAGTGGGTCAACAACACAAAGGCACAAGATGCACAAGTTCACCTCTTCACTAGTACTCGGTCTTTTCCTCGCAGTGGCCAGTCTGGCATTCGCTGCGCCACCCCTCACAGAGTCCTCAGTTTCTGCCGCCTTCGTCTGGGCCGATCGAGCCCTCCTTGCCAAGGCAGGTGCCTCGCCCAGTGCCAATGACGCTGGCTACAGTTTAGAACCAAAATTCCCTCCCAACGAATGCTTTTGCCAGCCGGGTTGGGTTTGTTGTCAAGGAGTTTGTTGCGTGTGTAATTTGCTGAATGTTTTGATGTTTCTTTATCTTAATGGAGGGGCTTGTAGCTCGATGGCCATTATTGCGGTTGAAAGCGCCAAAAGAAGGGGTTGACACGCGAGTAAGCAGAGAGAAGAATCTGTTGAACTTTGATGTGTAGTCATAATGCGTGGATAACCGAAAGAGGGCCACAAGGAAGAATGAAGTTGAATGAAGCGCGGATGCATTGCCGCCTATGACCGTAATTCGGAATGAACCACCTTATTGGAATGGGTTGGCTTGCGAGTGACCGATAGGACGCAGATGCGATATTACGATTTGATTTGAGGGACTGTGACGGGAGGGAGCGTTATGCATCCGGTACCAGATTTGTTGAGGGACCCAACAGATCCGGGATATTGGAAGGACGAAGTGACGAGTATATGCCCATATGAGCCGTGATAGCGAGAGACCCTCTCCTATGAGTTAAAAAGTCAATAATCATAACGAGGTGAAGGCGCTATAACGGGAACGGACTTGAAACGGACGTCAAAAGTGAATCAACCACACATCTATCTGGGCAATGCTCGAGCCACCCCACGCTCAATTACGCTCCCTCCGTGCTTCTCGAATTCACTAGGGGTTTCAAGAGTCCTTCCTTGGCGTATAAAGGTCATCACTGTCCCTCTCTATTATCAACTGCTGCAGCAACACAAAGGCATAAGATGCACAAGCTCACCTCTTCACTTGTTTTTTTCCTTGTAGTGGCCAGTCTGGCATTCGCCGCGCCATCCCTCACAGAGTCCTCAGTTTCTGCCGCCTTCGTCTGGGCCGATCGAGCCCTCCTTGCCAAGGCAGGTGCCTCGCCCAGTGCCAATGACGCTGGCCGCAGTGCAGCACTCAAACCCCCTGGGAAGGCATGCCTTTCGCCGGGCGACTGGTGCCCGTCGCCTTGGATGTGTTGTCAAGGATTTTGTATCGTGTGTCATTTGCTGAACGTTTTGATGTTTCTTTCTCTAAAGGGAGGTGTTTGTAGATCAATAGCCTGTGTCCTGACTCCGACAAAGGACTGGCGGAAAGAGTTTGATCTTAAGGCTGGCGCCAGCTAGTTATATCGACAGGAAGGGGGGACAAGCATCTGTAAAATGCTTCAGTGTGTAATCGTATTACGTGAATGGCTTGAAAGAACGGACGTAACAGACACGTCCTCGAGGGATTTCAGAACCTCATCCACGAAGGTTTCGCAATTCTTGAGAATGATTGCAGAGTGAGGGGTGAACGGTGCTGTTGAAGTAGCTCGCTGACACGGCAAGATGATCCCAATACTGGGAGGAGATTTTGAGGTAGTGGAGTGCAGCTTGCACAAGATGTTCGATTTTACGACGAGGTGCTTACAGAGTAGGTGGAATGTGGGCATTGCCAATGGACTTCAAGTCTGGGTATGCGATTGCGAAGAATGGGCCCGCATGTCAGGTATTGTTGAAAATACTAAAATCCGTCGCGTGCTCAAATGCGTCAGAAGGATAAATAACCTAACTTTCGTCCAGCGGCCACAGAGTCGTTGGAGAAATTGACGAGATGCTTTTTTCCGTGGATATGACGTCCATAACACATAACTGTCTTTTCGAAAAGAAAAAAAAAACCGGCAAACTGCTAGTCCCATAAAGAACTGTCATTGGATGGCACGGCCTTTATTCCCATGTTTGCCGCATCTACTAGTCGCGCGTGTTAGCTACAACCACGAGCATGGGGTAAAGAACTCACTCAGCGAACTTTGCAGTTGGTGGACATGGAGTGAGTGGCTGTGTGTGTGGTTATTTGCAGCTATTATAACCCGCCCCCATTGTTCCTCGTGTTGCTTGGACGTTCACATTTTTGCCCTCTTTTTATCGCGCCACCCTTCTTTCTACAACCACCACAACCCAAAAAAACAATTTTCTAACCACAACGAACACCCAGAAATGCCACCCGACGCAACGTTGCCACCCATTCGACGTGTCCTGAAACGTTCCGCATCGACAGCGTCACTCCCCACGCCCCCTCGCACCCACAGCAAGCGCGGGAGGGGCAGATCGAGGGGGTCGTGCGATAGCGACAGCGATGACCAGGTAGTACTGTTGAGTGACGAGGAGGAGTTGGCTGTTTCGGTTCACAAGAAACGACGAACGGGGGAAGCCACCCAGGAGGGGGAGGATGCGTTTTGGTTGGGTACGGGTGGGTTGACGACGAGGAGCAAGAGGGCGTTTGGATCGTCCAACTCGAAGGCGGTTGATCCGTCTACGCAGGCGCCGTTGATCTATCGCCGTCGTCAAGCTCAAGCCCAGCAGCTGCAGCCCGTTTCACCACCCCCGTCGCATCGCAAGCCCATGGTGGTGTCACCTACCAACAACCCACCTACTACGCCACTTAGGACCTCCCCACGATTCGCCCGTGCTCCGTCGACCGCTTCGCCCCCTGTCACTCCGAAACGAAAGTCGCAGAGGCGAACGACGAGCGTGCTCCGAGACTCTCCGCAGAACCCGTTCCTCGCCTCACCGCTTGATGCCGTCCCGGAGTCGGACAGCGAAGAGAGCCCAAACCAGAGCCCAAAAACGCCGTATCAAGAGAAACCGACTGTCGCTTACGTTTTGTCAGTTTTTTACTATCTTTTTACGGATTGACGGCTGACAATAATGATACGTGTGTAGTCGAGGTATGCGTAGGGAGTTCCACAACCCGTTGTACAACCCGATTACGAACCGACCCATCTCGCCCCCTCGAGGGTCTAAGCTCCCCGTCGAGCACCCGGCCTTTTCCCCTGACCCAAGTTGCCCGCCAAAGCTCCTGTTTCCGGAGGCGCACAAGAGGAGAACCGCAGCAAAGGGGAAGGCGAAGGCTAAGGGAGGGAATGGTGATGATGTATTTGGAGGGGGTGATCCGGTCAAGCCACGAAGCCGAGGCGCTACTACCCTGGACAAGGAGCTGAGAAAGGCCGGGGAGAGATGACTCATGATGACCGACCAGCTGGACAAAAGGGCTCCCCTTTTGATGTTGGGAGTTCCTCTGGTCGTCGTGCTTGCCCTCTTGCTGTTCTCTCTCCTTTTCTTGTGCAGATCTCATTCGCGCTGCACTTGTCCGATTTCCACCTGCCCCGCCGCATTGCCCCGTCTCGATTTGTTCCTTCCCTTTTTGCACATAACCGACTATCCCCCCTCCCCCCCTTGCACTAACTGACCAACCGATCCGTGTAGTATAACACTCCTTCCTTCTCTGCTTCTCTCGCTTTGCCCCGTCATTGATTTGCGATACCACCTCACCACCTCTATACCTCCGACACGCGACACCTACACTGCTATATTATCGTATACTATCTATTTACCTACATACATACTCACACTACAAGTGCCTGTCCTTCCTTTACGTACATATCTACAATGCAATTTATGAGTTGGTATGAAACTGTTACTCATTCTGAGATCTTGGTAGTTTGGTGGAGACTTACAGTTTGACATTTTGCTAGAAAATTGAGTGCATGGTGCATATGGGAAATTCAAGAGCTAGTCAACATTGACTGATTTACATGGTACAAAAGTTCTACCTCATTCACAGAAAAATCAGAGAAAAAAAACTGTAGTCTGCATGTAAGGATATCAAAAAGATGTACCAAATGTTCGAGACTTTGTACTTCAAATCAGTAGTTATTGGAGTATCAAATATGGGCACGAAATTGAAAGAAATCAAACTACCTCTGTGCAGTTAAATAAAAATGTGGGGTAAAGAGAATGCAAATCTTACATACCTGTCTCAACTGCTTGAACCCACATCTCTAGCACTTCTGCATCTGCATCCTTTCCCAGATACCTATATGTCACTGCAAGATGCTTCATGGCTTGAATTGTAAACTTGTGTGTCTCTCCAAATATTTTAGCCCTTACATTCAAAACCTGGATCTCCCGCTGCTCTGCTTCTTCATATCTTTTTAGATGTTTATATGAAAGGGCCAGGTCTTCCATTGTTAAGAGTGTTTGTGGGTGTTCCTCTCCAAGTACTGTGATTCTTGCATCCAGACACTGTTTCAGCAGCTTTTCTGCCTCCATATACTTTCCAAGATCCCTGTATGTTACAGCAAGGTTTCCCATTGCAGTAGTTGTATGGGGGTGATCTTTTCCAAGAATTTTTATGCGTGCATTCAAGACTTTGGTCTCCAGCTCCTCTGCCTCTTTATATCTTCCCATATTCTCATATGTATGACCTAAACCAGCCATTGCTGTAATTGTGTGTGGGTGTTCCTCTCCAAGCAGTCTGATTCTTGTATCCAGACATTGTTTCTGCAGCTTTTCTGCCTCCATATACTTTCCCAGATCCCTGTATGTTACAGCAAGGTTTCCCATTGCAATAGTTGTATGGGGGTGATCTTTTCCAAGAATTTTTATGCTTGCATCCAAGACTTTGGTCTCAGCTCCTCTGCATCTGTATATCTTCCCATGCTCTCATATGTATGACCTAAACCAGCCATTGCTATAATTGTGTGTGGGTGATCCTCTCCAAGCAGTCTGATTCTTGTATCCAAACATTGTTTCTGCAGTTTTGCAGCCTCTGCATACTTTCCCAGATCTCTATATATTGTGGAGAGGTGCTCTACAGCCCTCATGGTCCTTGGTCGATTTTTTCCAAGTGTCTTTCTCCTGACATCCACAACCTTGATTGCTAGAATTTCCGCTTCTTTAAGATAGCCTTGTTCTTTTAAAATCCAGACAAACTTTTCACAAGCATCATCAAAGTAATTGTTCACCACCTCTTCCTTTCATATTCTAGAATGCTGAATATTTGCCTTAACATGTGTCACCAATCCTCTTCTGAATGAATATGGTTGTTGGTCAAAGTTCTTATGTAGAGAGCAAGCCAACATGACATATGCCATTGAACAGAATTCTTCCCTTTCTTTTGAAGTCATTCTGTCCCTATACCATGCATGGATTAGTGGGTGCACAGCATACTCGCCATTCTGTGAACCTAATCTGATGAAACAAAAAGAGAGTAGTAATTGAATCCCTTCCTTAAATATAAATTTATTCCAGGCACCAGCACTAGTGAGAGGGAGCAGTCTGTCATCCAGTTTTGAACTTGCAAGTGGTAAGGTAAACTTTTGGAGTAGAAAGCCAAGCCATCTTTTATTATGGTCTTTTTGTATAGCTGCATTCAAGAAAATATCTTCACTGATACCATCATGATGGAAGAATGAAAATGTTGCCAGGATAAGAATTGCATTTTTAGCTGCTCTAGCTGTATGGAGATTATCAGACTGAGTTCTCTGTTGTATTTCCTTGTAGAGCAATTCCCATGATCCATAGACACTTCGATTATATTTAGATGCCCCTTTGAATTCTGGATGAGATAACAATGTCCTGCGTTGTTGAGAATATATCCCCAGATAATCTGTAATGTTGATGGCCCCTGAATGAATCATGGCACCAGCCTGGTCAATAGCCAGAGGGACACAGAAGAGTTCTTTTACAATCTCAGAAGCTTTCTCATTGAGATCATCAGTCTGGGGTGTATCCAAGCAGCTGGCCTTCAAAAGTAGCAAGATAGCATCACTTTCTGCCATTTCTTTAACCTCAAGACAATTGGCTGGTGAAGTCAGACATTGCATGGCAGAATTGCGACTAGTTATGAAAATATTTCCACCTAGCCCAGATGGAAAATACTGCTCCAGCTCCTCTGGAGTCAATATATCAGCATTGTCAAAGACCATCAGATAATTATCTCTAAGAGCACCAATCCACAAGAGAGCAGATTCAAGTGAGCCATCCAGTGCAGAAGACTGAGCTTCAGGAAGGTTGCAAATCCCCTTTAGCCCCTGAGTGGTGGTTGAAGTTGACGATGCATCAATCCAAAAAACATGAGAAAAGCTGGATTCATTCAACAATGAGGGTCAAAATATGTTGGGGCACTTACTGATCAGACATTTCTTCAATGAACCGTAGGCAGATTTGAGTCTTTCCGATACCCCCCATCCCATGCAGGAGAAAATACTTTCTTTTCCAGAGTCCGTCAGTGGGAGTGGTAAAATGTTCCCTGAGTTTGGCGATAATGTCAGCGCGGCCTGTGAATCGAGTGCTTGAGTTCGGCTTCAGAGGGATCACTGCGTCAGACGTCGTTGCAGGTACAACGTTGTAATATATCTGTATAAGGCCCACGGCAGTATTATGTAAATGCGTAAAAAAGGTATCACGAGGCTTTCACATACGGTGTTAGCTGCATTGAAGGTGCCGCCGCTCACAACAACATTGCGTGCGCTCTGAAATATGGTTGGTCGTCTCATGTTGAAGCACGAGAGATGGTAGCAATGGGAAAGAGATAAGAAGGTGACGACAGGAGACCCCCAACGTATGGAGGCTGTGTATGATTGACAGTTTGGCGCGACTTGCCGAGCGTGTCTGGTCACCTGTGCAGAGCATATCGCAAATGACGTAACCGGTTGCCTTACCCTGGTTCACGCATATTCCGCTTTCCTAGAAACAAGAAAATGAGCATGCATACATTCCTTTCATCATTACATCCACACGTCTCGTTAAGCACTTTCTCCTGCACGTCATCGCCCTTGCCCCCTCTTCCCAATCAACCCTCACCAGCACGGCCTCACATTCCTCAATCAACTCATCCAACCCCGTCGACGTTTCCGAGTACTTCCAGTCAGAAAGCCTTGAGGAGCATGTCGAAGTCCTCTCTCTGTTATTGGATCACATCAAGAGAGAGGCGTGAGTTACTACGTATGCCGAGATGGGAGAAGAAAGAAGTACCGTCTCACACCTGGTGCACTTATCATTCGCAGCCCCTGCAAGAGGTGGACTGCGGAACTGGGCAAGGAAGCGGCTGACTTGATTCGATGCGAGACCGAGAACGCTCCCGTCGTGCTCGGCATAAGATTGCGAGTTGGGCACATTCTTGATTTAGAGGTCGGGCAGGTGCGTGGATTCTAGATGGGGATTATGTTGATCAGATCATGTAATATAAGAAAGATGTGAAGGCAGTGGGAAAGGGCAGGTGCACGTACCATTGGAGGTGCTGCAAGACGGACGCGAGCAGCTCGACAGCCGTGATTGCTGCAGTAGGTGCGAGGCTTGGTCGGGTACATCTGGTGGAGTGTTCGATCCGTCAGGGATTTAGGGCGTATTAGCTGTGTAGTAGAATATATGAGTCGGAATGGGGACGTACGTTGGAGGGAGCTACGATGTCGTTGCGGGGATAAGATCATAGATTGGCTAATCTTCAGGCATGGAAGATATACGGACGCCGTGCAGCATAACGAAAAAAGTGTTCAACCTAGTGCAGAGTTCTGGACGATCTTGAGTTGGTCTGCTTAGTCTATGGAATGAAGTAGGAAGGGCGATGAACTAACCTTTCCCTTTGCAGCTCTGAGGACTGTGGGCATCCATCAACTCTCTCTCGAATCCATGAGCAGAAACACGGCGTTGTCGTCGTCACAGAGTCGTTCAGCGTCTGCGGCGGCTTTGGCGCTTGTGAGACATGCGGCGGTGGGTGGGATAATAGCATGGCTTGTTGTCGGTCTGAGTGTGTCTTGTGTTGCGTTCTATACGTAACAACAATATAGAATGATCATGGAAGAAGGAAGAAATGACGCACACATTCGCAGTTGTGCGTTCAGCTCCATGTGTCCCTCCATCCAAAAAATCTTCAGATTTAAAGAGGGGTTGTCGTGGTGGAGTGGAAAGCCCTGTAAAAAAAGGTAAGTAGTAACAAATTTTGAGGTGAAAGACGGACCATCAAGGTTCAGCATCTCAGCATGCTAGAAGGCACTTTGTATGGTGGAGACCCTCTTAAGGCCGAGGTTGGGTGTAGACTCTCCAACGCATGAGGTTGAGGTTGAGGTCAACGGCCAACCTGAGATGGGTGCATCCATTAGATGCATTCTGAAGAAAGAAAAAGGAGTGAGAACGTACGGGGCAAGATCTATCAAAGGCGCAAAATCCGCAACACAGCAATCGAGCTTTCATCGTAGGTTCTGATCCCATCCCGACGGCGCTTGGTCGACCTTCTACGATGTCATCTTTAACTTGAACGACTCCAAAGCGGTTCTTCCATTCGGCAATTGAAAGTTCGAAATCGCACCAGCAGAACGTGGACGACGGCCTGGATTGGAATGCAGGAAACAAGGGCATGCGTGAAGGTTGGGGAGAGGCCAGCCGGGATTGATTGGGGGATTGGTGGAGAGGTCGATGATGTGCTGTGCCGTGGTCGTAAGTGGGAAAGTTGATGCGAAAGAGTTGCCAAACTAAGGTTCTGAATAGATCATCGTGTTTTTATGACGGGATGTTGAGAGAAGGCGAGGAAACAACGTACAATTGTGGGGGTATATCTTTTTCAATCCAGCAGCTGCGTCTTCGGCTTTGGGTTTGCTATATGCTAGGCAGTGCTCAAACTCAAAGAGGGGTTGTCGGAGGGAGTTGAAGAATGCGGCGTGGCGGAGTCGACGATGTAGCATCCAAGCACGCCCGCCAAGGAGGAGGTATGTCGTCGCTGAAATCTTCGGAATCTCCTTCGCATGAGCTTGAAGTTTCTACAGCTTGGGCGGCCAAACTGCGATTGGCACATTCGTCAGATTCAGTGTATAAAGAGACTAAGCTAAACAAATTCATGCCTGGTAGGATCCACCATATGCGCTAGATTCGCAACGCGACCAAGCTCCTCCTGTAAGCATTTCTCCCATCCGACGGCGATGGATCAACCTTGGACACTCCAAAGCGGCTCGTCCATTCGCAGGTTGGTTCGGAGTCACGCTAGCGAGAACGTGGATAGAGGTCTTGGCAGGGTAAAGTGCATGGAAGGATGCGAGGTGGTTGCGGATTGGCCCGCTTGGGTTCTGAGGGTCGGCAGAGGGGTCGATGAGAGCGACGGTGTTCTGTTGGTGGTAGTGAGTTAGGAAGTTCACCGTGAGAAGAAATGAGGTGTACTGGGGTTGTATAACATGAAGAGCGTTCCGTTGGATTCTAGTATATGCGATTGATGTTGTACTCGCATCCTTGCGAACGAGGAAGAAGGGAGACGGGGTGCTTTGAGCGCGAAGCTGTGCGAGTAGGGACATGTGTGCTGGTGAAGGGTGACACGGTCATCGTAGTGGTCTTGGTGTTCGTGCAAAGTTCCTGTCACGTGAGGGAAGGGTTTAGGACGTCCAGGGGCGTTGATAATAAAACGGATAACCGACTATCCCTCCCCTCCTTGCACTAACTGACCAACCGATCCGTGTAGTATAACACTCCTTCCTTCTCTGCTTCTTCTCGCTTTGCCCCGTCATTGATTTGCGACACACCCTACAAGTGCCTGCCTTTCTTTTACGTACATATCTACAATGCAATTTATGAGTTGGTATGATACTGAGATCTTCAAGTTGGCATACCCATATCCTTTTTCACATTTTGCTAAAAGATTGAGTTCATAGATGATAGTACAGTTCGAGAGCAGTGAATAATTTACGCTGGACATCTATCCAATTCACAGGAAAATCCAAGAAAAATCGGAAAAAAAGGCTGAGTTTGGTGCCACACAAAGGGCAAAAGGGGTTCGTCGCCTGGTAATAAAAAGCCGATACTTATGTGCACAAATTTATTTAAGGGATCTTGAATTCAGAGGAATAACCTGACTTATTGAGAGGGTACTTGAAAGATTTGCCACCATTTGTCACCGCTATGGTGTTGATCCTTGCGAACACACTAATATCCATTAGAACGAAACACTTCTGCATTGTGCAGAGCACATACCAAAAAATAAAGCTGTCCAGAGATTTTGCTGCGAGGCCCGGCAAGACAAAGCTCCACAGGAAGACCACATTCTTCACACTTGTTCCCGTTGTGGTCCAGAGTTGCCGTTGGGAAGCGCGAGCCGGGACAGGACCTGTGATTGGGTTGGGCTGAATGCATAAGAGCGTAAGAATTTACGCTCTGCTGTGGCAGAATTACAGAGAATTACCCGACGTGGAAACCGACGTACGGGATAGCCGTACCACAGACTTTCTGCTGAATCGAGTGCTTGAGTTCAGCTTGAGAGGGATCAATGCATCGGAAATTGTGATGTTGCCATGATTGTGAATTATCTGCAGGCGATTCACGGCAGTCAGCTCAAAAATACATCTGAGGAAAGGCACCCCCAGGCTTTTCACGCACGATGTTAGCTGCTGTGATTGTGCCGCTCACTCCTACGTTCTGAGCATGCTCCAAAAGGGTTGGTCCGCTCATGTTGAAGGGCGAGAATGGTATGAATGTGGAAGGGGGAAGAAAGAGAATAAAGAGGTGACGCCAGGAGGTGCCAACGCTGGAAAGCTGTGAATGATTGACAATTTGGCGCGTATTGTAGTTGCTTCTGATGTCATGGAAATACAACAAAATGCTGTTACTTTCCTGTTAGGCTCCTTGCATCCACACGAGTCCCGCAACTTTCTTGTCCATATCAAAAATCATCCTTGCCCTCTCCCCCCTTCCCAATCAACATTCTCCAGCATGGCCTCACCCTCCTCAAACAGGTTATCCAGCCCCACCAGCGTTTCGAAATATTTCTGATTGTTGGATGGCTTCAGAAGCATGTCTTAAGCTTGAATCGCAAGGATGTGCGTTGGGGTGCAAAGGTATACAAGAACGGCGTACAATTTTGGTGCGCCCAGTATATCTATCACACCCAGGCCCCGTAAGCGGTGAATGGCGGAACTGGGCGAGGAAACCGCAAAGTAGGTGTGGTACAAAACCCCATTTTGTTCGGCATAGAATGGGAGATATGACTCTAGAGATGAAAACTAGGGTTATGGAAATGAAGGAGGCAAGGAAAGAGGAGTAGAAAGTGTGCGCACCCTTGAGGATGCTGCAAGACGGACGTGAGCTGCTCAACGGCCATGGCAGCTGCGATGGATGCGAAGCCTGGTGAGGTAACGGTACACATGTCATCGGTAACTACGTTGGAGGGAGCTATGGCATTGTTACCGTCCTAAACGGGCTGGCTGTGCACCTTTAGCTGTAAAAGATATGCAGGTGCTATGCCGCATGATGAGGAAGGTATCGAAACCTAGGGCAGACACCTTAAACAAAGGATGATCGGGCAGTTAAGCGAAGTTTTTGACAGATTCTAGGACAAATTAATCATTTTTGCACCTGTTATGTAATTAAAACAGACCTATGGGAATTTTTTTATTTTGATAGTGTGTTTGCCTATTGTGCGAAGGCGACGTCCAAATGTAAAAAAATTGTTGTTACTATTTTAAAAATGTGTTGTAAGGTACATCCAGAGGACAAAAGGCTGTTAAGAATTAAAATTTGTCAATGGAATGGATTTCAGGAACAATTCAGTTTGTCTCTTCGGCATGAGGCAAAACTTTAATTTTTAACAAAAGCTTCGCCTAGGGAACAGAGTTGTGGACAAATTTAAACAATAAGCATATTAATTGTTTTTATTGTGTCAACCCCCTTGAACAATTGGCAAATATACTGTCAAAATAAAAATTGTCGCATTTATCTGACCTAATTACATACAAGGTGCAAAAGTGATAAATTTGTCAGGGAATCTGTCCAACACTTTGCTTCACTGCCCGATTGTCCCTCGTTTGAGGTGAGAGTAGATAACTATCTAGTCTTGGTGTGATTAGTTTGGGTAAAGGTGGGTTTGCTCCTTGAGGCGGTTGTTTGGCCATGTTTGACAAGGGCTTCGGAAGTTTGTAGGACATTCATCGATCCACGAGGGTGTTGCAAGGGTGCTTTCGCGTTCATACCCTTTCCCTCGCGTCACTCAGGCCATCTCCAACGAATCTAAGAGATCTTAAATTCGGAGGAATAACTAATTATTTCCAAGCATATAGGGCCCTGTCACATCCCCCATCATTTACAAGGGGGCCCAGGGATTTCAGAAACAACACAGATTTTTTTTTTTGTAAGCTGTCCGTGACGTCCCCCCATCGCTCCTTCTAAATAAGGTATGTTTTCGTCCAAAAAGGGTATGTTTTTCCCACCACTCCTTTGAAGAAATTTCTGGCTGGTGGGCCGTGAACACATGAACCTTAAAATGAATCACTGCTCCCTTTTCAGGTGTACAAATCCAGCTTTTTCACATTTATTTTTGCCATGCAAGTCCGAGCTGAGCAAGAAAAGTGGGAGGGACAACAGATTTTTCATTTCCCCTACACACTGACTTCCATTGTAAGTTATTAATTGTTTGGCTGCATTGGAGGTGCCGCTGATGCATCTAGCGTTGCTACAGGGCCCCAAATATAGATTTTTGAGGCTTATATACTAAATTTTTTTAAGGCCTGCCAGAGGTCCCCCCCCCCACCTACCTTGGGTCACGGGTCGACATCCCGGGGCCCCCTTGATCATTTATGTAGTACACTAGGGCTAAAATCAAGCTAAAATCAATGGTGCAAGATTGGGGGAAGTGGGTGGTGGCAAGGTGGGAATGTTGAAGGTGTCCTCTTGATGAGTTGGCAAAGAAAATCGTTGAGAGGGTAGTCGGTGGGCAGCCTGTCAAAGAAATGCCACCATTTGTTATTACTATGGTGTTGATCCCTGCGAACACACTAATATCCGTTAGAACGCAACACTTCTGCATCGTATAGAGCATATACCAGAAGATAAAAGTGTCCAGAGAATTTGCTGCAAGGACCAGCAAAAGGAATGTGCACAGGGTGACCACATTCTTTGCACTTGTTCTCGTTGTGGTCCAGGGTTGGGTTGCAGGGGGAAACAGCAACGAGTGGTGAGCTGGGACAGGACCCGTGATCGCGTTGGGATGAATGGTAGGAATTCATGCTCTCCTGTGTGGCGGAAGTACCCAACGTACAAACCACCATACAATATTGCTGTACTTGCCGAACCACAGACTTTCTGGTGGATCAAGTGCTTGAGTTCGGCTTGAGATGGATCACTGCATCGGACATCATAATGTTGTAGTTTATCTCCAGATGATTCAGCTTCAAATACCAAAAATGGTGCCCCCAACACACAGTTTTAGCTGCTGTGACTGTGCCGCGAGTCACTCCTACATTCTTAGCACCCTCGAAAAGGGTTGTTCCACTCATGTTGAAGGGCGAGAATGGTGTGAGTGTGGAAGGAAGAAGAAAGAGAATAACAAGGTGATGCCAGGAGGCACCAACACTGGAAGGCTGTGAATGATTGACAGTTTGGTGCGCAATGGCTGAGCGCATTTGGTCAGTTGCAGACCTGCAGTTGACAGTAAAACCCCACGTCTTAGCAGTTCACGAATATTTTGATTCTGCTGTTATGGAAATACAACAAACTGCTGTTACTTTCCATTCAGGCTCTTTGCATCCACACGTGTCTCGTCAACTGTCTTGTTCATATCAAAAATCATCCTTACCCTCCCTCCTCTTTCTAACGAAGCCTCTGCATTGCCTTGCCCTCCTCAAACAGCTTATCCAGCCCCGACGGTGTTTCAAGTGTTTCTGGTCTTTCAATGCCCCGAGGAGGATGTCAGGGCCTCTTTACCGTATGCTTGGATCAGCTACTGGGCGAGGGGGGGGTCATGCGTGTCGAGATGAAAAGGGTGAGAAGTCAGAAGTGCAATTTCACTGCACCCGGTGCATTTATCATTCGCAGGCCCGGTAGGCAGTGAATTGCGAAACTGGGCAAGGAAGCCACAGAGTTGGTGTGGTACGAGACCGAGAATGCTCGCGCTGAGTTCAGCGTGGGATTGGGAATGTGGAGGTGGGGCAGGTGCATGGATTCTACAGGTGAAAGATAACATATGTTAGGGTTATGGAATGGAAGGAGTGAAGGAAAGAGGAGGGGAAAGTGTACGTACTTGAGGATGCTTGAAGATGGAAGCGAGCTGCTCAACCCCAATGGTGGCTGAGATGGGTGTGAAGCCTGTTTAGGTGATGGTACACATATCATCAATGGTTCAGCCTGTCAGGAATTGAAGCTATATTAGCTTGAGTGGGAGTTGAGTTGGAATGGGTACATACATTGGAGGGAGCTATGGTGTTGTTGCCCCAAAATGGGCAGGCTGTGCATCTTTAGGCATAGAAGATACACAGGCACCATGTGTAGTGCAAGACTACCCGGTGTTCATGTGGTTGGTTCAGGTAAAGGAGTAAGAAGGATGATGGACTGACCTCCCCCTTTGTAACCTCAAGGACTGTATGTAGACAACCATCAACCTCCCCTTGACTGTGGAGAGTGTCTTGTGTTTCGTTCTATATGTAATAACTATTTGAGCTGTAAGATAATAATTGAAGAAGATAGAGAAATGATGCACAATTCCGAGGTATACATATCTTTGTTGGTAGATGCCCATTCAGCTTTATGTTCCCCTCCATCCAATTAATCTTCCAATTCAAAGAGGGGTTCATCATTATGGGGTGGATGCCCCAGCCCTGTAAAAGGAGGTTAGTAATGTGAGAAGGTGAGGAGAAAAACAGACCATTGAGACTGGGACGATGTAGCATTAGCATGCCAGCACTGAGGAGAAGGCACTTTGTGTGGCAGAGACCTTCTTGAGGTCAAGGTTGGGAGCTTGAGGTTCCGGTCAACAACTGACCTACCAATCTGAAGTGGGCGCATTCAGTAGATGTCTCACACAAAGATAGAAAAAGGACTGAGAACATACATGATGGGATCCATCAAAGGTTTAAGATCCGCAACCCGGGGGCCGATTTTTTCTCGAAGATTCTTAACCCATCCGACAGTGAAGCTTGGTTGATTGTTTACGATGCTTGAAACAGCTCTTCTATTCGGAAATTGGGAGTTCCAAATCATGCCAGCAGAGAACGTGGAGAAAGACTTGATATGGAGCAAGGGTATGCAAGGAGGTTGAGGAGTGGCCGGCCGGAATTTGGGGCAATAGGCAGAGGGGTAGATGAAGGTGGTTGTGTGCTGTGAGGTGGTTTTGAGACATTGAGGTTCTGAATATATGACCTTATTGGTGAGTGGAAAAGATGTATGATTCCAGGGTATATCTTCGTCATTGTAGCAGCTGCGCATTCGGTTGAGTTCGCCTTCGTCTACGCAATCCTCCAATTCAGAGAAAGTTTGTCAGACAGGGCTGCAGAATGAGACACAGGAGGCAGGAGTCAACAAGGGTGATGGTGCGAACACCCCAGCCCTGTTAAAAAGCATAAGTTGAATGAATGTGTGATATTTTGGGAGGGGAGAACAGACCATTGCAGCCTGTGTGACGTAGCATCCAGGAAGGCCTGATGTACAAGTTGACAGGTTGGGTGGCCAGTCTAGGTGCATAGCTTCATTAGATGCAGTGTATGGAGAAGGTAAGACAAAACAAACCTGGCAGGATCCATCATTGGTGCGAGATCCGCAACTCAAGGGTTGAACTTTCCTTGTGAGTATTTCTCTGTTCTGATGGCGGTTGGTTGAGCTTTGGGGTTATTTGTGGTTCAAACAGCTGCAAAGTAGCTGGTCCATTTGGAAGTTGAAGTCTCGCCAGAAGCTAGGCAAGGAGATTTCGGAATGGGCAGCCAGGTTCTGGGGGTTGGTGGAGGAATTGATGAAAGCAACTGCACGCCGTAAGGTGGTCATGAGGGCAATTTGATTGTGAAAGAAATGAGACATACTGGCAGGATGGTTTGAGCTCGAATTTGCATGTGTAGGGACACTCCTGCTGGTGGACAGTGTGGTTGTCGAAGTGCCAGCCGAGGGAACGGATTTCCGGCAAAATGTACTTGGCAAGTTGGGAAATATGCCAAAGTGTCAATCATTCACAGCCTTGCTGCGTGAGGGGTCTCCTGCTTGTCTCCTGCTGTCACCCATTTATCTCTTTCTTCCTCCTTCCACATTTCTACCATCTCTTGTGCTTCAACATGAGTGGACCGACCATTTTTCAAGGTGCTCAGAACGTTGCAGTGAGCGGCAGTACCTTCAACACAGCTAATAAACTGTCACAGCTCTCCCCCCGTCTCACTTTCCTTATAAGGAAAGTTGATCATTTGGGGGAGGATATAGTGCATGAGGAATGATATAAATATATGCCAGTTTGGTGTAGTGGTTCTTTATGCAGGTTTCCTCATGCTTACCAAAGTGTTCGCCGTTCGATTCTACTTCCTCCATTTTTTTTTCTACATATGAAACAATTACTTTACAGAATATTTTTCTCTCTGCACAGTAGCGCGTTCATTAGGTTAGGAGGTTAGGTTAGCTGTTAGGGATGGGGATATTTTTCTCCCTGCGCGGTAGTGCGTTCTTGGTTAGGTTAGGTGGTTAGGTTAGTGGTTAGGGTTGGGGATATTTTTCTCCCCGCGCGGTAGCACGTTCTCAGTCAGGTTAGATGGTTATGTGGTTAGATGGTTATTGGATGGTTAGGTGGTTAGGTAGTTAGGGTAGGTTACATGCTCGAGAACGCGCGGTAGCGCACTCTTGAGCCGACTTAGGGCAATGTGCCATTGCCCTAAGTCAGGTTAGGTGGTTAAGTAGTTAGGGACCAGGGTAGGTTAGGTGCTCGAGAATGCGCAGTAGCACGTTCTCAAGCCAACTTAGGGCAATGGCACATTGCCCTAAGTTGGAGTGCCAGTGATTGCCAGCACATCACATGTGAGACGGGGGGAGACATACGACACTTCAGCTAATACTGTGTGTGTTAAAGCCTTGTGGTGCCTTTCTATGCATTTCATACTCACTGCCATGGGTCTTCTGCAGATAAACTACAACCTTATCAATGCAACAACGTCTGATGCAGTAATTCCTCTTAAACTGAACTTGAGCACTCGATTCACAGGCTGCACTGACATTATTGCCAAACTCAAGGAACATTTCACCAGTCCCAGTGACAGACTTTGGACAAGAAAGTATTTTCTCCTGCATGGGATGGGGGGTATTGGAAAGACTCAAATCTGCTTACGGTTCATTGAAGAAATGTCTGATCAGTGAGACCTAACAATTGTTGAGCCTGGTCACTGAATTTGCACTGAATGAAATTTGACTTCTCCAGCTTTTTCCATGTTTCCTGGATTGATGCATCCTCTATGTCAACCATCACTCAGGGGCTAAAGGGGATTTGCAACCTTCCTGGAGCTCAGTCTTCTGCACTGGATGGCTCTCTTGAATCTGCTCTCTTGTGGATTGGTGCTCTTAGAGATAATTATCTGATGGTCTTTGACAATGCTGATATATTGACTCCAGAGGAGCTGGAACATTATTTTCCACCTGGACTAGGTGGAAATATCTTTATAACTAGTTGCAACTCTGCCATGCAATGTCTGACTTCACCAGCCAATTGTCTAGAAGTTAAGGAAATGGAAGAAAGTGATGCTATCTTGCTACTGTTGAAGGCCAGCTGCTTGGATATAGCCCAGACTGATGATCTCCATGAGAAAGCTTCTGAGATTGTAAAAGAACTTTTCTGTGTACCTCTTGCTATTGATCAAGCTGGCGCCATTATTCGTTCAGGGGCCATCAGTATCAATGACTATCTAGGAATATATTCTGAACAGAGAAAAACATTGTTATCCCATCCAGAATTCAAAGGAGCATCTAAATATAATTGAACTGTCTATGGAACTTGGGAATTATTGTACAAGGAAATAGAACAGAGGGCTCAGTCTTCTGATTTTGACAGAGCTAGAGCAGCTGAGAATGCAATTCTTATCCTGGCAATATTTTCATTCTTTCATCATATTGGAATTAGTGAGGATATTTTTTCTAATGCAGCTATACAACAAGGCCAGACAAGAAAAGAAAAAAAGACTTGGCTTGGCTTTCTACTCAAGAAGTCAGTGGAGAGTGGAGAGACGGACCCAAGAACCTATGGTGAATGGAAATTTCAGCACACGATGTTTATTTGCTTGAACTGATTGTGAAATCTTAGCTTTCAGGAGGTTATCCTGTGCCTTGAAAATGTCGGTTTCCAGTTGACGAATGACAATGCCACATGTCGATATCGGCAACTGTTGCTGATGATTTAGTGGGTACCAACAGTGGAATAACCCACAGACTTCGACCGAAACAGAGTTGGAAAGGTGTGAAACCTGTTGACTTGTTAATTGTATTCATCATGTCGAATCTAACTCTAGGTAGAGCATGAGCCCATCCCAATTGGTTTTGCTCGACGTGGTACCACAATGCCTGATTGATCATCTTGTTCGTCCTTTCACTTGTGCTGTCAGTTTCAGCTTCACGCTGGTCAGCTTGTGTAGCGCTTTCCAAAACCTAGATGTGAACAATTTGTCCCTGTCGGAAACAATGTCAGTGGGTAGGCCATTTTTGCAGTACCACTTATCGAAGAAGATGTAGGCCAAAGCTTCTGTGGTAATGTCCGTTCAAGTGGGAATGAGCTGAATGTCACTCCCTAGGTGATCAGTGAATGTGACGATACAGTTTTTCCCATTGTCTTCTGGTAATGGGTGAATAAAATCAATCACCACTAGTGTTTAGAAGTCCAGTCTCGTGACTGGAAAAAAACCGTAACCAGACCGGACCAAGACCGCAAAAGACCAGACCTGCAGTTATGGTCTTTTATTTTTGAGATGTTAAGACCGCAAAAAAACCGGTTAACGTGAACCGGTCTTGACCGGTTTGGACCGGTCTTTTGTATCCCCTTAAATACCCTTTAAAACGCACCCAAGAACATAAAATTTGGTAAAGAATCGAGAGAGATATGAATTAAATTGTAAAATATTCTTGGAAATAGTAGATGTACCAGATTTATTTTATAGAAACACCAATTCCTAACTGAATTTAATGTTCTTGGGCTCGTTTTAAAGCCAGTAGACATGTTAATAAATTTACTGATTCATAATTTTAAAATATTAGCCTAAAGACCGGTCATAGACCAGTTAAAACTGGTGCAGACTGCAAAAAGACCACAGTCTTTTGTGGTCCAGTCTGGTCTTTTTGACTTCTGGGAAAAGGGTAGACCGGTTACGGTTACAGTTAAAGCCCCTGGGCATCAAAAGACTGAACCAGACCGGACTTTCAAACACTAATCATCACAGAGTCACACCGTTGGTCTGGTATAGGGAGAGGGTGCAGTGGACCATACAGTTTAGCTGTTGATGATTTGTTGCACTGGCATTCAGGGCATGATGCCATGTAACCTTGTTCGAGGTTGTGACACATATTGGGCCAGTAGTACACATTCCTCAGTGAGCTGTAGGTTTTGTGAAAACCAAAATGCCCTAAAACCTCATGAGCAAGTGCAAACAATGTTTCTCAAAGATTTCCTGCTCGGGGAATGATCAGTCTGTCGCCGATATACCAGAGATTATCGCGCAGAACGAAACCTGATATGCTGGATGCTGCTGATGGTAAGGTTTTACACCAAGCACCATCTGCGTACCCCACTTTAACAGCATTTAGAAAAGCTTTGTCTGCTGTAATTTCAAGTGTTGCCTTGACAGAGTTCAGCGATACATTGCATACAGATAGCAATTTTGCTGTCCCCAACTTCCTTTAGGCGAAGGTACCAACAAACATGCCACGGCACACAGTGTGCAATACTTTACCATCTCCCACATAATCTACATGGACTCCACTGGACTCCACTGGACTCCACTACATACTGGACCATTATAACAATATTCACAAAACTGGACTCTACTGGACTCCCAACACAAAACTGGACTGGACTGGACTGGACTGGACAAACTGGACTCCACTGGACTTTCCCAACACAAAACTGGACTGGACTGGACTGCCAGACCTTAAGCTTGAAGACACTTAGATTTCAAAAAAGAAGAAAATTGAAGTATATTTAATAACTACATAAATTAATTTTACTACATTCTATGTTACAGGGGGGGG